TCAGACTGCTACCATAACAACTGCAGTAAATCCAGACGGATAGAACTAGACACAAAAGGTTGTGAGCTATAAATAACCCCACGCGACAAGGCTGGTCATGTTAGCTGGATAAATATTTACACATGTGTGTTGTTGTCATGGTAACCAGCTGTACACACACAAATATGCACTCTGAAAATAATTCACACGACCATCAAAACATCTTGCCAGATTTCTGTTGCAAAATGTTCAAACTGTTGTGTAATGACAGCTGGCTGTCCAACCAAACTTGTGTAATGACAGCTGGCTGTCCAACCAAACTTGTGTAATGACAGCTGGCTGTCCAACTGTTGTGTAATAACAGCTGGCTGTCCAACCAAACTGTTGTGTAATGACAGCTGACTGTCCAACCAAACTTGTGTAATGACAGCTGGCTGTCCAACCAAACTTGTGTAATGACAGCTGGCTGTCTACCCAAACTTGTGTAATGACAGCTGACTGTCCAACCAAACTTGTGTAATGACAGCTGGCTGTCCAACTGTTGTGTAATGACAGCTGGCTGTCTACCCAAACTTGTGTAATGACAGCTGGCTGTCCAACCAAACTGTTGTGTAATGACAGCTGGCTGTCTACCCAAACTTGTGTAATGACAGCTGACTGTCCAACCAAACTTGTGTAATGACAGCTGGCTGTCCAACTGTTATGTAATGACAGCTGGCTGTCTACCCAAACTTGTGTAATGACAGCTGGCTGTCCAACCAAACTGTTGTGTAATGACTGCTGGCTGTCCAACCAAACTTGTGTAATGACAGCTGGCTGTCCAACTGTTGTGTAATGACAGCTGGCTGTCTACCCAAACTTGTGTAATGACAGCTGGCCGTCTAACCAAACTTGTGTAATGACAGCTGACTGTCCAACCAAACTGTTGTGTAATGACAGCTGGCTGTCTACCCAAACTGTTGTGTAATGACAGCTGGCTGTCCAACCAAACTGTTGTGTAATGACAGCTGGCTGTCTACCCAAACTTGTGTAATGACAGCTGGCTGTCCAACCAAACTGTTGTGTAATGACAGCTGGCTGTCCAACTGTTGTGTAATGACAGCTGGCTGTCCAACTGTTGTGTAATGACAGCTGGCTGTCCAACCAAACTTGTGTAATGACAGCTGGCTGTTCAACCAAACTGTCAAGAAAGCAGGACTCCTGTTAACTTGAGTTCCGATCGCGTGCTTGTTCAAGCGAACATTTTCGGTCAACATAGTTGTCGCTCCTGTGTGATTGTACGTGTGGGTATATATATGTGTGTGTGTGTGGGGGGGTGAGGATTTTATTTATTCAAGAAAACAGTCGACATGCGTCTCCGGTAAGATTGCAGTATCTAATGGTATAGACCAGTGTAGAGGTCGGAGGATCTAATGATATAGACTAGTGTCTAATGACAGACTTGTTTAAGTTGTATAATCCAAAAAAACCTACTTGCGTTTTGTCTGCATAAGGAAATAAACCATTTTACTCGCAGACTGAAAAAGTGACAGTTTTAGAAATATGACACTAAAGTGACATTGAGTCAGTATTTTACGTCCTCATTGACGTGAGAACAATTTCCTGACCGGATATTTTTTGTTTGAGCCGCCGTTCAAGAAATATCAAGCACAGGGCGGCCATAGGCACCGAACGATCAGCATTGGAAGCCGCAGTGAGCACAACGGAAGTGAAACTGGAGGGATCGCTAGAGACTGCCGAGTACCGGAAGCTCCTAGCTCAGTCTTTTGTTGGGAAAGTGCGGATGTCCTGCTAGTCCTAGACGGTTGGTGTGGTCTTGTCACCCGCCACACACAAAAACCTGTCTGGCTGTATCACGTGACTCTCTATTACCTTTGTCGACTGGCACGCGATTGATACCATGACGTGACATCCGGCACTTGAGTGACCAAAGCCTTCAATCTTCACACTCTCTCTCCATGACAGACACCTCAAGAGGTGGATTGCCTTATGTAACACGGAAACATATGCAAATTATCGAGACACTTCTGCCCACTCTCAGAATATCTAGAAACTACTGCCCACTCTCAGAATATCTAGAAACTTCTGGTCACTCTCAGAATATCTAGAAACTTCTGGTCACTCTAGAATATCTAGATACTAATGGATTATTATAACTGATTGGAACATTCGACACTGGTTTTTACAAAACTGCTAATTTCAAAAGCTGTCAATTATGTTAAATGAGCGACAAATTGGATACAAACACGCTAACCAAAATGTACCCATTTAGTTTTAGTTAGATTATATCGTCAAAATTGCTAGATCCATAAATTGATGATTTCTTATCTTCCCAAGATAAATCTATCTTAGTCGCTAAAGAAATTACAAGCTAACTAGTATAGCCTAACGGTTTTGGGCCTATTGTAATTTTTAAAAAATTGCGTATGCAATAGGTGGTAGAACGCGCGACTGCTAACCCTAAAGACCTGAGCTCTGATACCTAGCTCAAAGCAGAGAACACCCAACTCAGATGGGTATCTCACTCTCTCTCTCTCTCTCTCATTTTTAAAACTTAAGGCGGCTAAGCATAGATCTAGATATTAGACATAGAAACTGATCAGAATGTCTCCTCATTTGCTGAGATCAACTAAATATGTGAACTCTACCTAATATTTCCTATGATCACCAGGTCCGAATGGGCAACTAAGAAATGCATCTAGGGAATTTTAATCCAAAATAACAAGATCGAGATATCCTGTACCTAAAAAAACGAATATCCAAAACCTCACTTCCAATAACAAAAATGCTAAACATCTTTCATACCTTTCTTAGTAGCGTAGCGGGTAAGCAAAGAGGGTCTGTTATTTTTAGTCTATAATGCTGCTTGTCTGAATGCTTGCGAGTGAGAGCTAATTCACAATATAGACCCTATCTGACTGAATAACTTTCAATTGCTGTACATTTTTTAAGAGGCGTCAATCATAAACTCATTTGTCGGAATTCGGCCGCTGTTTGTGTTTTTTGACTCTAAAATCAACTCATTTTATTGTCATAATGCGAACGCTGTCAGGACTATTTATTTTAGGAAGTGTCGGCTTTACGTAAACAATGTCTGGGGAGGAGGTGATGACAGCTGGTATTTATACTAAAAGTGGGAAGTCGTGTTTTATCTTTAAAAAAAAATAAAAAATAAATAAGCTTGTGCTTCAACTATTAAAGCATTGTTCTTATAGTAAAAATAAACCAAACAATTGCGCTTTGTAGTGAAATTTACTATGATTGGAAAAGGAAATTGGGGGCACCTTAAAATCGGAGGCCCCTGACTACAGCCCTATCAGCCCCCCACCCCCCCCCCCCTTTAAATCCACCACTGTCTAGAAACATCTTTTTTTCTATTACAGACTGTCATGTAGCATTTATTTTGCGAGACTACCTGGAAGCGTGCCAAACAATATTTAATTTGATCAAAGAAATTTCTTTTCGGCACTAATCCTATTTAAAGTAGTGCTTTATTAAGGAAACATTTTTTAAACGTTAGACCGAATTGAACAACGTAGGCCTACTAAGTAACATTTTATGTCACAAAGCATTATAATTGAGTCTTGTGAACAACGTGAAAAGTTAGACAGTAATCGGTCCGGTAAAAGTGGTTGAAATTTTGATCGCAGGTTTACACCCATAACTGACGATGGACAGAGGAATCAAGGTAAATAAATTTTTTTATGGTTTTTGAGAAATCGGAAATAGCGTAGGGGTCATCCATAAATGACGTCACGTTTTTTTTTGACGATTTTTACCTCCCCCCTCCCCTCCGTCACACATCGTCACAAAAAGCCAGACGTCACACCCCAGCCTTCACCCCTCCCCCTCCCAAAATTGCAGTTGAATTTTGCTTTAAAAATCGATATTTTTCTAAAATCTTGTCTGAACTTTGTCAACATAGAGTATTTTAATCAATTCCTATTACAATTTATTAAAACCGTTTTCTAAAACGCGAAATAACAGCTATAACTCTTTTTCTAACATTGCTTTTTTATAATGCAAAAGTGTGACATCACCACACCATCTGAACCCCCCCCCCCCCTCCCCCCTCATCACACACCGTCACAAAATAACGGAACCCCATCACCCCCCCCCCCCCCCCCCCCCACCTTTTCGAGTGTGACGTCATTTATGGACGACCCATGAAGTACTAGAGATCATCTAGATCAGTGTTTCTTCCAGACTTTTTTCTCCGGGGGGGCACTGGAAATCTTCGGGGGGGGGGGGGGGCGGTAAACTTTCTTCGGGGGGGGGGGGGGGGGCGGACACTGTTAAAAGTATATATTTTCTATATAAATTATATAAATTTCATTTCGTTCGGGGGGGCGGTAAAAATTTTTCGGGGGGGCGAAGCCCCCCCGAAGAGATGCCTGGAAGAAACTCTGATCTAGATCTAGATCTAGATCTAATTCTAATCTATCTCTGATCCTAATATAAGTCCTACTGAAAAGGTAGGCCTAGGAGGCCCTACTCATGTTGACAGTATTTTGAAAAGCAGAAATAGATTAAAGAACGACTTCTGAATATTAGAGTTCACCCAAAACTTGAAACTAATCTGAGATCTGATACTTATGTATGAAATTCCATCTTCATTACCAGATTCTAGATCTAGTGTAGGCTTCTAGATCTAGATCTATATGCTTAAAAATACGAAGGGTGATTAAACGGGTTTGCAAATTTACGATAATATTTGTAGTGGTTATGTCCCTTTGAACATACAATCAATCTTATTTAACAAATATTTTGCATATATTTATATATGATATAAATCTAGCTAGGCCTACCTGTTATTACCACAAATTAAGATCTTTGCAGATCTCCTTTTTTTGTTTGTTTATAATATTTTTTATTATGTTGTTTTTAGTTTTAGAAAGATTTAGGATAGAAAAGTTATAATAATATCGTCTGCTCATGAAAGAGTTTAAAAAGGTTAGGACTTCCGACACGCATTTGCACATGCGCAAGAATGCGGTAACTAACCTAAACAATGATAAATAGTAAACAGCGGTGCGTGGGACTAGTGATGAATACTTAATACTTAACATAGTATTGAATTATAATTAATTGCTTGTGCACCGTGAATTTTATGAATATGGGTATTACAGTCAAATAAAGTTAGTATACATTAATTTCATAGACATAGGCCTAACAATATGTTTTTTTTTTAATTAACGCCTAACCCTCTACTACTGCCTCTAGTAGTAGATCTAGTACTAGTACTGAAAGTACTGTAGTCTCTAGAATTACTAGATTCAAGATTCTAACTACTAACTACTAGTACTAGTAGTCAAGTACTAACTACTAGATCTAATAATTCTAAATCTATTTATGTACTACTGCTACTTATTAAGTCCTAAGACTAAGTCGGCCTAACGACCTGACCTGGCTAAACTAGTATAGTTAAGTATAGGTAGCCTATAGGCCCTAACTACTATTACTATAATATTAAATAACATATCTAGGGCAAAAAAAAATACGATAGGCCTAGAGATCTAGATCTAAGTCCCTAAGAAGACGCTAATTAAAAAAAAGGCAAAGCCAAAGGACTAGCCCTACTAGGCCTACTTTAATTTTCTTATATAAATAATTAAAATACGCCTACTAGACACTGGATCGAATAAAAATAATAGATGCTAGCAGACCTGAATCATGTGACACACTCTTTTGGTCTATGTCATTACACTATTTGTGATGTCAGAACAGTGTCATTACACTATTTGTAATGTCAGAACTGTGTCATTACACTATTTGTGAAGTCAGAACTAGATGTGTCATTACACTATTTGTGATGTCAGAACTAGATGTGTCATTACACTATTTGTGATGTCAGAACTGTGTCATTACACTATTTGTGAAGTCAGAACTAGATGTGTCATTACACTATTTGTGATGTCAGAACTAGATGTGTCATTACACTATTTGTGATGTCAGAACTAGATGTGTCATTACACTATTTGTGATGTCAGAACTAGCTGTGTCATTACAATATTTGTGATGTCAGAACTGTGTCATTACACTATTTGTGATGTCATAACTGTGTCATTACACTATTTGTGATGTCAGAACTGTGTCATTACACTATTTGTGATGTCAGAACTAGATGTGTCATTACACTATTTGTGATGTCAGAACTGTGTCATTACACTATTTGTGATGTCAGAACTGTGTCATTACACTATTTGTGATGTCAGAACTAGATGTGTCATTACACTATTTGTGATGCCAGAACTGTGTCATTACACTATTTGTGATGTTAATTCTAAAAACAAATGTTTTAATCGATTTAATATAGGCCTATTTGAAATATTATATTCGAAAACTATTTGTTCTTGATATAAATGTTGTTTTATTAAGACAGAATTTCCTGTCCATGAAACAACTGTCCATGAATAATTTACCTTACAGTGAATTGTTAAGTTGACAGATACACTAAAGCATGCAGCAGCCCAACAACAATAGTGATGCTGTCAAACGCTGCATGACAGTACCAATAGCCCCAGCATCAAGTCAACTCCGGTTTCAGCCCCATCCACCATTTGCAGCTGGACATACAAACAAACAAAGGCCAAGGCCATATTCAGGTTTGTTTTTAAAATAAACATGTCATTGTTTCAGTTGATTTACTCAGCTGGCATTTTAGCTAGTCTATACAAACATATGTGGTTTAGCTAGCTGGGTCTATACAAACATAAGTTTTTAGCTAGCTTGGTCTATACAACATTTAGTCAGCCCCAGTTAACATTTAGTCAGCCCCAGTTAACATTTAGTCAGCCCCAGTCAACATTTAGTCAACCCCAGTTAACTTGACTTTTTCAGCCCCAGTTAACATTTAGTCAGCCCCAGTTAACATTTAGTCAGCCCCAGTTAACATTTAGTCAGCCCCAGTTAACATTTAGTCAGCCCCAGTTAACATTTAGTCAGCCCCAGTTAACATTTAGTCAGCCCCAGTTAACATTTAGTCAGCCCCAGTCAACATTTAGTCAACCCCAGTTAACTTGACTTTTTCAGCCCCAGTTAACATTGAGTCAACCCCAGTTAACATTTAGTCAACCCCAGTTAACTTTTAGTCATCCCCAGTTAACATTTAGTCAGCCCCAGTTAACATTTAGTCAGCCCCAGTTAACATTTAGTCAGCCCCAGTTAACATTTAGTCAGCCCCAGCTAACATTTAGTCAGCCCCAGTCAACATTTAGTCAACCCCAGTTAACTTGACTTTTCCAGCCCCGCTAGCCAGAAAGAGCTACACTGTACCCTGGCATGCCCCAGTTAACTTTTACTTTTCCAGCCCCGCTAGCCAGAAAGAGCTACACTGTACCCTGTCATGCCCCAGTTAACTTTTACTTTTCCAGCCCCGCTAGCCAGAAAGAGCTACACTGTACCCTGTCATGCCCCAGTTAACTTTTACTTTTCCAGCCCCACTAGCCAGAAAGAGCTACACTGTACCCTGGCATGCCCCAGTTAACTTTTACTTTTCCAGCCCCGCTAGCCAGAAAGAGCTACACTGTACCCTGGCATGCCCCAGTTAACTTTTACTTTTCCAGCCCCGCTAGCCAGAAAGAGCTACACTGTACCCTGGCATGCCCCAGTTAACTTTTACTTTTCCAGCCCCGCTAGCCAGAAAGAGCTACACTGTACCCTGGCATGCCCCAGTTAACTTTTACTTTTCCAGCCCCGCTAGCCAGAAAGAGCTACACTGTACCCTGGCATGCCCCAGTTAACTTTTACTTTTCCAGCCCCGCTAGCCAGAAAGAGCTACACTGTACCCTGGCATGCCCCAGCCTATGAGGAGCCCAGAAACCCATCCAGATATTACAACGTGTCTCTTCTCAACCACACGCCTTTGGAGACATCCGTCAGCAGACATGCTCCATACGCAGGTCATTACCATTTTCTTAAGTCACTAGATTTGTTATTTGATAGTCCTTAAATCTCTGTTTGTTATTTGAGTGAGTGTCATCAAAGCTCTCTGTTATTTGATAGTCCTTAAATCTCTGTTTGTTATTTGAGTGAGTGTCATCAAAGCTCTCTGTTATTTGATAGTCCTTAAATCTCTGTTTGTTATTTGAGTGAGTGTCATCAAAGCTCTCTGTTATTTGATAGTCCTTAAATCTCTGTTTGTTATTAGACTGTCATCAAGTCTAGTTACTGACTTTTGACATGGTTCTACTCTGACCTTTGACATGGTTCTACTCTGACCTTTGACATGGTTCTACTCTGACCTTTGACATGGTTCTACTCTGACCTTTGACATGGTTCTACTCTGACCTTTGACATGGTTCTACTCTGACCTTTGACATGGGTCTACTCTGATGATTTCTTTCAAACTTTGAATCCAAGTCAAATGGCAGCACCAGAATTTCTGCACTTGGATCTGCTCTGAGAGTAATTAGACAAGATGATAAATATATAGCACAGTAGAGTTGTGAATGCTTCCAGAGATTTTTCAACACATGAAAGTGTTAAAGATGTGTTTATTTTAACACGTTTTTCTTAACTCAGCTTCGCGTTTGTTTGTTTGGTTGTTTGGATGTTTGTTGTTAAAATTGACTTCGAAAATTAGCCCACTTCTGATTGCTCTAGAGACCTGAAATTTGGCATGCATGCTACTTTCGCCTAACAATTTCAGATGCAATCATAAAAACTAGCAATTAGTGACCGTAATTAGCTTAATTTAATTACGCCCCAAGGACCATAAAATTGAGGACATGATTTCTAAAGATACCGACAAGACTTGAGGCCTATTGACACAGTTACTTCGGCCCCAATCGATGTTAGCGCGCTGGCCGTGATCGTATAGTGGTTAGTACTTCGCGTTGTGGCCGCGACAACCCAGGTTCGAATCATGGTCGCTCAAGATTTTTAGTCCGTGTATTTATAAACACTTTTTTAAAAACCACGTTTTTCATGTGTAGCAACGGACTAAAAAGGAGAAAATAAAATACTTAAAAAAAACTTTTAAAAAACCACGTTTTTTATGTGTAGCAACGGACTAAAAAGGAGAACGGACACGGTAACACATTGTTAACGGTGACACGGTTGGTACGCTGGGCATGCTAAAATACACATAAACACGTTTTTCCTTAACTCAGCTTCGCGTTTATTTGTTTGTTTATGGGAGATTTGATCACGTGATTCGTGAGTAGATCTCCACGCCAGCAACGTAAATTACACCCTTTCTCTGTTTAAAGCGTATCGGTCGCTCAAGATTTTTTTAGTCCGTGTATTTAAAAACACTTAGTCAAGTCATACTTAATCAAGTGACTAGATAAAGTAGAAAATAAACTATATAAAAAACTTTTTAAAAACCACGTTTTTCATGTGTAGCAACGGACTAAAAAGGAGAAAATAAAATACTTAAAAAAAACTTTTTAAAAAACCACGTTTTTCTTGTGGACTAAAAAGTAGAAAATAAATTTTCATACATTTGATGACAAAAAACGTGGGTCGGGCAGATGGGTCGGGAAATTTGATGGTGAACGTACCCACGTTTTTTGTCATCAAATGTATGAAAATTTATTTTCTACTTTTTAGTCCACAAGAAAAACGTGGTTTTTTAAAAAGTTTTTTTTAAGTATTTTATTCTTATTTTTCCCTTAAGTTTTTATATGTGTGTTAGGGGTCATCCATAAATGACGTCACGTTTTTTTGGACGATTTTTACCTGCCCCCTTCCCCTCCATCACTAAATGACATCACACCTCAGCCTACGACCCCCCTCAAAATTTGAGGTTGAATTTTTCTTAAAACAGCGAGATTATTTGAACATAGAGTATTTTAATCAATTTCTATTACAATTTATTAAAACAGTTTTCTAAACTCAAAATAATGGCTAAAATTTGTTTTCTAGAATTGCTTTTTTATAATGCAAAAGTGTAACGTCAAACCATATGAACACCCCCCCCCCAACTCCTCATCAACACACACCATCACAAAATTATGGACCCACCCTGCCCCCTACAAGCGTGACATCATTTGCAGATGACCCCTTACATGTCTATGTGTGTTATGTTATTACATGTCTACATGTGTTATGCTGTTACATGTCAACGTGTGTTATGTTGTTACATGTTACAAGTCTACGTGTGTTATATTGTTACATGTCTACGTGTGTTATGTTGTTACACGTTACAAGTCTACATGTGTTATATTGTTACATGTCTATGTGTGTTATGTTGTTACGTGTCTTCCTGTTCAACACCCAGTTGATTTTCCTAGTTTTCCCCCTTGCAAGCGTAGTCAACATTTTCTTATCAACACCTTTACATCCTGGCATTTTGACAAGAATTTTTGAGTGCTTCGTTCTCTCTTTACTTCTTTGTGTGCTTCTTTCTCTGTTTCTCTTTACTTGTGTGTGTGCTTGGTTCTCTCTCTCTTTACTTGTGTGTGTGCTTGGTTCTCTCTCTCTCTACTTGTGTGTGTGCTTGGTTCTCTCTCTCTCTCTTTACTTGTGTGTGTGCTTGGTTCTCTCTCTCTCTCTTTACTTGTGTGTGTGCTTGGTTCTCTCTCTCTCTCTTTACTTGTGTGTGTGCTTGGTTCTCTCTCTCTCTCTCTTTACTTGTGTGTGTGCTTGGCTCTCTCTCTCTCTTTACTTGTGTGTGTGCTTGGTTCTCTCTCTCTTTACTTGTGTGTGTGCTTGGTTCTCTCTCTCTTTACTTGTGTGTGTGCTTGGTTCTCTCTCTCTTTACTTGTGTGTGTGCTTGGTTCTCTCTCTCTTTACTTGTGTGTGTGCTTGGTTCTCTCTCTCTCTCTTTATTTGTGTGTGTGCTTGGTTCTCTCTCTCTCTCTTTACTTGTGTGTGTGCTTGGTTCTCTCTCTCTTTACTTGTGTGTGTGCTTGGTTCTCTCTCTCTCTCTCTCTTTACTTGTGTGTGTGCTTGGTTCTCTCTATCTCTCTTTACTTGTGTGTGTGCTTGGTTCTCTCTCTCTCTCTCTTTACTTGTGTGTGTGCTTGGTTCTCTCTCTCTCTTTACTTGTGTGTGTGCTTGGTTCTCTCTCTCTTTACTTGTGTGTGTGCTTGGTTCTCTCTCTCTCTTTACTTGTGTGTGTGCTTGGTTCTCTCTCTCTCTTTACTTGTGTGCGTGCTTGGTTCTCTCTCTCTCTCTTTACATGTGTGTGTGCTTGGTTCTCTCTCTCTCTCTTTACTTGTGTGTGTGCTTGGTTCTCTCTCTCTTTACTTGTGTGTGTGCTTGGTTCTCTCTCTCTCTCTTTACTTGTGTGTGTGCTTGGTTCTCTCTCTCTCTCTTTACTTGTGTGTGTGCTTGGTTCTCTCTCTCTCTCTTTACTTGTGTGTGTGCTTGGTTCTCTCTCTCTTTACTTGTGTGTGTGCTTGGTTCTCTCTCTCTCTCTTTACTTGTGTGTGTGCTTGGTTCTCTCTCTCTTTACTTGTGTGTGTGCTTGGTTCTCTCTCTCTTTACTTGTGTGTGTGCTTGGTTCTCTCTCTCTTTACTTGTGTGTGTGCTTGGTTCTCTCTCTCTCTCTTTACTTGTGTGTGTGCTTGGTTCTCTCTCTCTCTCTTTACTTGTGTGTGTGCTTGGTTCTCTCTCTCTCTCTTTACTTGTGTGTGTGCTTGGTTCTCTCTCTCTCTCTCTTTACTTGTGTGTGTGCTTGGTTCTCTCTATCTCTCTTTACTTGTGTGTGTGCTTGGTTCTCTCTCTCTCTCTTTACTTGTGTGTGTGCTTGGTTCTCTCTCTCTCTCTCTTTACTTGTGTGTGTGCTTGGTTCTCTCTCTCTCTCTTTGCTTGTGTGTTTATCTGAATAATGTGTGTATTGCCCTGGATGTTGTGTGTTTATCTGAATAATGTGTGTATTGCCCTGGATGTTGTGTGTTTATCTGAATAATGTGTGTGTTGCCCTGGATGTTGTGTGTTTATCTGAATAATGTGTGTATTGCCCTGGATGTTTATCTGAATAATGTGTGTGTTGCCCTGGATGTTGTGTGTTTATCTGAATAATGTGTGTATTGCCCTTGATGTTGTGTGTTTATCTGAATAATGTGTGTATTGCCCTGGATGTTGTGTGTTTATCTGAATAATGTGTGTATTGCCCTGGATGTTTATCTGAATAATGTGTGTGTTGCCCTGGATGTTTATCTGAATAATGTGTGTGTTGCCCTGGATGTTTATCTGAATAATGTGTGTGTTGCCCTTGATGTTGTGTGTTTATCTGAATAATGTGTGTGTTGCCCTGGATGTTGTGTGTTTATCTGAATAATGTGTGTGTTGCCCTGGATGTTGTGTGTTTATCTGAATAATGTGTGTATTGCCCTGGATGTTTATCTGAATAATGTGTGTGTTGCCCTGGATGTTTATCTGAATAATGTGTGTGTTGCCCTGGATGTTGTGTGTTTATCTGAATAATGTGTGTATTGCCCTTGATGTTGTGTGTTTATCTGAATAATGTGTGTATTGCCCTGGATGTTGTGTGTTTATCTGAATAATGTGTGTATTGCCCTGGATGTTTATCTGAATAATGTGTGTGTTGCCCTGGATGTTTATCTGAATAATGTGTGTGTTGCCCTGGATGTTGTGTGTTTATCTGAATAATGTGTGTGTTGCCCTGGATGTTGTGTGTTTATCTGAATAATGTGTGTGTTGCCCTGGATGTTTATCTGAATAATGTGTGTGTTGCCCTGGATGTTGTGTGTTTATCTGAATAATGTGTGTGTTGCCCTGGATGTTTCAGCTAGAAAGATGGAATCCTTTATCAACTCAGCTCTGGGCTATCCCCGTGTGGAGGGTGGAAAAGTTGTCCCGATACCTTCGTACGATCCACTTAACGACCCACACCTGGTGGAGTATTTTGAAAGAAGATTTGGCTCAATCCAGACAGAATCATTAAGACGACAGGTAAGTGTTCTTTAAAGGTGAAAACTCTTTACATAAAAATGTATTACACAAGAGAGACAACTCTTTAAAAAAAAATTGCAATGGAGGAGGGGAGTTAACTACCCACAGCTGAATGTTAGAACATGGAAGCCAGAGATTTTATTTTATAAAGTTAGAGCTACATGTTTACTTTAAAAAGTTAGGGCTACATGTTTATCTTGGTAAAGTTAGGGCTACATGTTTACTTTAAAAAGTTAGGGCTACATGTTTATCTTGGTAAAGTTAAGGCTACATGTTTATCTTGATAAATTTAGGGCTACATGTTTATCTTGGTAAAGTTAGAGCTACATGTTTATCTTGGTAAAGTTAGAGCTACATGTTTATCTTGGTAAAGTTAGGGCTACATGTTTATCTTGGTAAAGTTAGGGCTACATGTTTATCTTGGTAAAGTTAAGGCTACATGTTTACTTTAAAAAGTTAGGGCTACATGTTTATCTTGGTAAAGTTAAGGCTACATGTTTACTTTAAAAAGTTAGGGCTACATGTTTATCTTGGTAAAGTTAGGGCTACATGTTTATCTTGGTAAAGTTAAGGCTACATGTTTATCTTGGTAAAGTTAGGGCTACATGTTTATCTTGGTAAAGTTAAGGCTACATGTTTATCTTGGTAAAGTTAGGGCTACATGTTTACCTTGGTAAAGTTAGGGCTACATGTTTATCTTGGTAAAGTTAGGGCTACATGTTTATCTTGGTAAAGTTAGGGCTACATGTTTACCTTGGTAAAGTTAGGGCTACATGTTTACCTTGGTAAAGTTAGGGCTACATGTTTACCTTGGTAAAGTAAGGGCTACATGTTTATCTTGGTAAAGTTAGGGCTACATGTTTACCTTGGTAAAGTTAGGGCTACATGTTTATCTTGGTAAAGTTAGGGCTACATGTTTATCTTGGTAAAGTTAGGGCTACATGTTTACCTTGGTAAAGTTAGGGCTACATGTTTATCTTGGTAAAGTTAGGGCTACATGTTTATCTTGGTAAAGTTAGGGCTACATGTTTACCTTGGTAAAGTTAGGGCTACATGTTTACCTTGGTAAAGTTAGGGCTACATGTTTACCTTGGTAAAGTTAGGGCTACATGTTTACCTTGGTAAAGTTAGGGCTACATGTTTACCCTGGTAAAGTTAGGGCTACATGTTTATCTTGGTAAAGTTAGGGCTACATGTTTACTTTTAGGTCACCTGACATTCAAACATTTGTAGTGCTGTAGTCGTCGCCAGCAGTTAAAAATTGTTTTGATTCTAGAAACTTCATGGCCAGCAGTTAAAAATTGTTTTGATTCTAGGAACTTCATGGCCAGCAGTTAAAAATTGTTTTGATTCTAGAAACTTACTAGCCAGCAGTTAAAAATTGTTTTGATTCTAGAAACTTACTAGCCAGCAGTTAAAAATTGTTTTGATTCTAGAAACTTCATGGCCAGCAGTTAAAAAATTGTTTTGATTCTAGAAACTTCATGGCCAGCAGTTTTAAATTGTTTTGATTCTAGAAACTCTTCAATGCCTGGAGTAGCAGCTCCAGCAGTCCATCAACTTTTGGTCTTTTACCCAAGAGGAGAAAACTGGACAAGGGGAGCGACATTTTGTATAAAGTAGCCGTGACAACAGGAAATGTAAAGAACGCAAGCACAGATGCCAAGGTCAGCTTTCATTTGGGTTACTCAATCTTTTTTCAATGTTCTTTAGGATATTTCCAATATCAGATACTATCCTAATAATGTTTAGGATAAATGCAATACTATGTTTCATCCTGGTTGAAAGAAATTGTCAAAATTGCTCCATTACAAATTAATTATTCCAAATTTGTTTAAAAAAATATGAATCAATCTTCCACTACATGATATTTTGTTTTAGATCATAAACAAACTTTATAATTACCATCCACCAGAGTTTAATCTAATAATATTATAGTCAGGAAAGGAAGTTAAAATCTAAATTTAGCCAAAGTTGATATGATTTAATTAATATTTGAGAGGCATCCATCATTGATTTCAGTCTCTTTAAAACAGTTTTCACCTTCCCCACTTCCCATTGTCACAAAAAACAACCACCCTCCTCTAAAGTCATGTCACACCTCAGCCAACCACCTTCCTCTAAAGTCATGTCACACCTCAGCCAACCACCTTCCTCTAAAGTCATGTCACACCTCAGCCAACCACCTTCCTCTAAAGTCATGTCACACCTCAGCCAACCACCCTCCTCTAAAGTCATGTCACACCTCAGCCAACCACCCTCCTCTAAAGTCATGTCACACCTCAGCCAACCACCCTCTTCTTAAGTTATGACAAGATTTGAACATTTAAAAGTGACTTGACAAAATCTGAACATTTAAAAGTGACTTGACAAAATCTGAACATTTAAAAGTGACTTGACAAAATCTGAACATTTAAAAGTGACTTGACAAAATCTGAACATTTAAAAGTGACTTGACAAAATCCATGGTGGTAAACATCGATGTACAAAGACTGACCCTAAAGTTTGAGCATGATGGAGGGTTCATAAAAGGTGCCTGCATGTTTGAGCACACTCAGGATTCAAAAACTCTTAAACCTCCAAAGTACAAGTGATGGGAAATGTCTCTTCTACACCTGGCATAGGTTCTACAGCTGGTGTAGGTTCTACAGTTGGTGTAGGTTCTGCAGCTGGTGTAGGTTCTACAGCTGGTGTAGGTTCTACAGCTGGTGTAGGTTCTACAGCTGGTGTAGGTTCTACAGCTGGTGTAGGTTCTACAGCTGGTGTAGGTTCTACAGCTGGTGTAGGCTCTACAGCTGGTGGTGGTTCTACAGCTGGTGTAGGTTCTACAGCTGGTGTAGGTTCTACAGCTGGTGTAGGTTCTACAGCTGGTGTAGGCTCTACAGCTGGTGTAGGCTCTACAGCTGGTGGTGGTTCTACAGCTGGTGTAGGTTCTACAGCTGGTGAAGGTTCTACAGCTGGTGTAGGCTCTACAGCTGGTGTAGTTTCTAAACCTGGCATAGGGTCTACAGCTGGTATAGGTTGTCAAACCATAAGATGAACCAACTTTGGCAACCAAAAAAACATGAACCTACTGACCCAAAACATGAACCTACTTGTGCTCAAGTAGGTTTGACATTTGATCCAGTGTTTGCTTGATCTCTCATTTGTAATTAGGAAATTAGGATTTTTCTGGACATCGTTAGTCACTTGACATGGTTTGGCTTAAGTGTTGGGCCAGACTGTTAATTAGAAGCACTTAAGTAGGTGACCTCTCCAGGGGTCAGCTGACCACATGATAGAGAAATCTTGATAGAGATCATTAGTAGCTCCAGCACTGAGGTACACATTTGTTGGCTCCCTTCAACTGCCAAGTTATGTGCCCCTACCACACAATACTAAGTTACACATTTGTTGGCTCCCTTCAACTGCCAAGTTATGCGCCCCTACCACACAATACTAAGTTACACATTTGTTGGCTCCCTTCAACTGCCAAGTTATGTGCCCTTACCACACAATACTATGTTACACATTTGTTGGCTCCCTTCAACTTCGGTTTTCTTTATTGTTTTTTTTTTTGCTACATTTTTCCAGAAAGTTGCCACTAGCTAACTGATTCTCCCCTGAACTTAATACAAGAGTTTGAAATTGTTTCAATTTAAAAATTTGTAATTGTTCAAATATCAAGAATTAATAAGTGATTTTCTTTCAAATGATTTCATTCATTCGTTTTTAGTACAAACATTTTTTGATCCAGTCCACTATTGTGTTTTATCAGGCTGGAGAAATGAAGCTAACACATTAGTGTTTTATAATTGTTATATTTATACTATTGTTTTATTATTTGTTAAATTTATATTATTGTTATATTTATATTATTGTTTTATAATTATTATATTTATATTAATGTTTTATTATTGTTATATTTATATTATTGTTATATTTATACTATTGTTTTATTATTGTTATATTTATATTATTGTTATATTTATATTATTGTTCTATTATTGTTATAGTTATATTATTGTTATATAAACTGTGGTTGGTGGTTGTGAGAAATCTGATCTGAAAAAACTTAAATTAAAAGTAGAAAATAAACTTTGTATAAAAATCCCTTATTATAACAACTTTAAATGCACTAAAAAAAAATAGAAAATAAAATAATGTAATCAGTGGTGCACAGCGTGGGGGTGCTGGGTGCTGTCTGCACTGGGTGACAGCCCACCTAGTGGCATCTACAGATGTAATAAAAAAATATAACTGTTGGTCACTCTAGAAATCTTTCCAAGCTTGAAAGAAAATTTATCTGGCCAGTCTCAGGTTTTCATATCACTTATCTGGCCAGTCTCAGGTTTTCATATCACTTATCTGGCCAGTCTCAGGTTTTCATATCACTTATCTGGCCAGTCTCAGGTTTTCATATCACTTGTCTGGCCAATCTCAGGTTTTCATATCACTTATCTGGCCAGTCTCAGGTTTTCACATCACTTATCTGGCCTGTCTCAGGTTTTCATATCACTTATCTGGCCTGTCTCAGGTTTTCATATCACTTATCTGGCCTGTCTCAGGTTTTCATATCACTTATCTGGCCAGTCTCAGGTTTTCATATCACTTATCTGGCCTGTCTCAGGTTTTCATATCACTTATCTGGCCTGTCTCAGGTTTTCATATCACTTATCTGGCCTGTCTCAGGTTTTCATCAAGTTAAAAGGACTGCGAGGGAAACTTCCGAAGACACGTCTGACCAAAAAAGCTGGCTCAGTCAAGTCTGGCAAGAAAGTTCCGTTTCGCTTCACCAAAGGGTCAACACACATCTTCAAAGTTTGGGGTCCAAACATCGGAGAAATCAAGTCACTGCTTGTTGAGGTATTGCTTTAACTGTGTAGAAGAGTTTAACGCAACTATTAATTACCTTTTTTAAAAAATTAGCAATTTTGTATCTATTTTAAGGCTGAAAATTTACATCAATTTCCGTGAAGTTATTACAGAAATACATTTTATCCAGCTAAATAAGAAATGTTTTGACCTTTGACCCATGCAGACTTCTGCTATAAAGATGGAGGAGGCCTGGTTCCTGGAGCAGATTGAAGTGGTGAACACCAAGAGCAAAAAGTCCTACCTCTTTCTGTGTAACCAGTGGCTCTCCCTCTACCACGCCGATGGTCAGGTGTCCAGGGAACTGTTTGCACTCAGGGCTTCTAAAACTGGTCAGTGGCTTCATACTGATGTACACATACACATACACAACCATTACTAGGTGAATACTGACCTACATATGATGTTAGTATGCATCTCATGTATGTATGCTATATGTTGTAAGTATGCATGTCATGTATGTGTATGCATGTGATGTATTAAGTTTTGTTGGTGCCAACAGAATACGAAGTTGTCACGGTGACGGGCAACAAAGCGAATGCTGGCACCAGCGCTAATGTTTTTATGACGTTGTACGGCAAGACGGGCGTGACAGAGAAGATCCACCTGAAGAACAACAGCAAGTCCCTGTTCACCAGCGGGGCGACGGACATGTTCACCTTCAAGTCCAGCTGTGTGGGGCCCATGAAGAAGCTGCGCATAGAGCACGACAACCAGGGCAGCTTTCCTGGCTGGTTCCTGGAGCGGGTGAGACCTGACTGACACCACCAACCTGACTGACACCACCAACCTGACTGACTGACACCACCAACCTGACTGACACCACTAACCTGACTGACACCATCAACCTGACTGACACCACCAACCTGACTGACACCACCAACCTGACTGACTGACACCACCAACCTGACTGACACCACTAACCTGACTGACACCACCAACCTGACTGACACCACCAACCTGACTGACACCACCAACCTGACTGACTGACACCACCAACCTGACTGACACCACCAACCTGACTGACACCACCAACCTGACTGACACCACCAACCTGACTGACACCACCAACCTGACTGACTGACACCACCAACCTGACTGACACCACCAACCTGACTGACACCACCAACCTGACTGACTGACACCACCAACCTGACTGACACCACCAACCTGACTGACACCACCAACCTGACTGACACCACCAACCTGACTGACACCACCAACCTGACTGACTGACACCACCAACCTGACTGACACCACCAACCTGACTGACACCACCAACCTGACTGACACCACTGACCTGACTGACACCACCAACCTGACTGACTGACACCACCAACCTGACTGACACCACCAACCTGACTGACACCACCAACCTGACTGACACCACTGACCTGACTGACACCACCAACCTGACTGACACCACCAACCTGACTGACACCACCAACCTGACTGACACCACCAACCTGGCTGACTGACACCACCAACCTGACTGACATCACTGACCTGACTGACACCACCAACCTGACTTACACCACCAACCTGACTGGCTGACACCACCAACCTGACTGACACCACCAACCTGACTGACACCACCAACCTGACTGACACCACCAACCTGACTGACACCACCAACCTGACTGACACCACCAACCTGACTGACATCACCAACCTGACTGACACCACCAACCTGACTGACACCACCAACCTGACTGACACCACCAACCTGACTGACACCACCAACCTGACTGACACCACCAACCTGACTGACACCACTGACCTGACTGACACCACCAACCTGACTGACACCACCAACCTGACTGACACCACCAACCTGACTGACACCACCAACCTGACTGACTGACACCACCAACCTGACTGACACCACCAACCTGACTGACACCACCAACCTGACTGACACCACCAACCTGACTGACACCACTGACCTGACTGACACCACCAACCTGACTGACTGACACCACCAACCTGAATGACACCACCAACCTGACTGACACCACCAACCTGACTGACACCACCAACCTGACTGACACCACCAACCTGACTGACACCACCAACCTGACTGACACCACTGACCTGACTGACACCACCAACCTGACTGACTGACACCACCAACCTGACTGACACCACCAACCTGACTGACACCACCAACCTGACTGACACCACCCACCTGACTGACACCACCAACCTGACTGACACCACCAACCTGACTGACTGACACCACCAACCTGACTGACACCACCAACCCAACTGACACCACCAACCTGGCTGACTGACACCACCAACCTGACTGACACCACCAACCTGACTGACACCACCGACCTGACTGACACCACTGACCTGACTGACACCACCAACCTGACTGACACCACTGACCTGACTGACACCACCAACCTGACTGACACCACCAACCTGACTGACACCACCAACCTGGCTGACTGACACCACCAACCTGACTGACACCACCAACCTGAATAACACCACCAACCTGACTGACACCACCAACCTGACTGACACCACCAACCTGGCTGACTGACACCACCAACCTGACTGACACCACTGACCTGACTGACACCACTGACCTGACTGACACCACCAACCTGACTGACACCACCAACCTGACTGACTGACACCACCAACCTGACTGACTGACACCACCAACCTGACTGACTGACACCACCAACCTGACTGACACCACCAACCTGACTGACTGACACCACCAACCTGACTGACTGACACCACCAACCTGACTGACTGACACCACCAACCTGACTGACACGACCAACCTACCTGACTGACACCACCAACCTGACTGACACCACCAACCTGACTGACACCACCAACCTGACTGACACCACCAACCTGACTGACACCACCAACCTGACTGACACCACCAACCTGACTGACTGACACCACCAACCTGACTGACACCACCAACCTGACTGACACCACCAACCTGACTGACTGACACCACCAACCTGACTGACACCACCAACCTGACTGACACCACCAACCTGACTGACACCACCAACCTGACTGACACCACCAACCTGACTGACACCACCAACCTGACTGACACCACCAACCTGACTGACACCACCAACCTGACTGACACCACCAACCTGACTGACACCACCAACCTGACTGACACCACCGACCTGACTGACACCACTGACCTGACTGACACCACCAACCAACCTGACTGACACCACTGACCTGACTGACACCACCAACCAACCTGACTGACACCACCAACCTGACTGACACCACCAACCTGACTGACACCACCAACCTGACTGACACCACCAACCTGACTGACACCACCAACCTGACTGACACCACCATCTGACTGACACCACCAACCTGACTGACACCACCAACCTGGCTGACTGACACCACCAACCTGACTGACACCACCAACCTGACTGACACCACCGACCTGACTGACATCACCAACCTGACTGACACCACCAACCTGACTGACACCACAAACCTGACTGACACCACCATCCTGACTGACACCACCAACCTGACTGACACCACCAACCTGACTGACACCACCAACCTGACTGACTGACACCACCAACCTGACTGACACCACCAACCTGACTGACACCACCAACCTGACTGACACCACCCACCTGACTGACACCACCAACCTGACTGACACCACCAACCTGACTGACACCACCAACCTGACTGACTGACACCACCAACCTGACTGACACCACCAACCTGACTGACACCACCCACCTGACTGACACCACCAACCTGACTGACACCACCAACCTGACTGACACCACCAACCTGACTGACTGACACCACCAACCTGACTGACACCACCAACCTGACTGACTGACACCACCAACCTGACTGACTGACACCACCAACCTGACTGACACCACCAACCTGACTGACACCACCAACCTGACTGACACCACCAACCTGACTGACACCACCAACCTGACTGACAGTTTGTGTCACTCTGCAGGTTGTAGTGACTGACCTCAAACACCCGGAGTGGAAATATTTTTTCCCCTGTGGTCAGTGGTTGGCTAAAGATGAAGGGGACCATGAGATCTCACGTGATTTGATCGGCAACCGTGATCCCCTGGCCATTAAAAAGCGTGAGTTTTTTTTTTGTGTGCATCCACACAACATGGGTCTCTGCATTAGTTAAGGAACATGGGTCTCTGCATTAGTTAAGGAACATGGGTCTCTGCATTAGTTAGGGAACATGGGTCTCTGCATTAGTTAAGGAACATGGGTCTCTTCATTTGATAAGGAACATGGGTCTCTGCATTAGTTAAGGAACATGGATTTCTGCATTAGTTAAGGAACATGGGTCTCTTCATTTGATAAGGAACATGGGTTTCTGCATTAGTTAAGGAACATGGGTCTCTGCATTAGTTAAGGAACATGGGTCTCTTCATTTGATAAGGAATATGGGTCTCTGCATTAGATTGTAATTGCATCTCCTCCAGCGTGCCAGTATAAAGTGACGGTCTATGTAATTATATCTCCCGCAGCGTGCCAGTATAAAGTGACGGTCTACACAGGTGATAAGCTTGGAGCAGGGACAGACGCCAATGTTACCCTCACAATGTTTGGAGAGTTTGGGGATTCAGGAGAGAAGAAATTGCGCAAGAGCAAAAAAAACTGTTTTGAACGCAAGGCGTGAGTAGCACTGATTACATTTAGGCCAAAGTTGATCATTAGTTGATTACATTTAGGACAAAGTTAATCATTAGCTGATTACATTTAGGCCAAAGTTAATGATTAGCTGATTACATTTAGGTCAAAGTTAATCATTAGCTGATTACATTTAGGCCAAAGTTGATCATTAGCTGATTACATTTAGGCCAAAGTTGATCATTAGCTGATTACATTTAGGACAAAGTTAATCATTAGTTGATTACATTTAGGCCAAAGTTGATCATTAGCTGATTACATTTAGGTCAAAATTAATCATCAGCTGTCATTTTTTCAAATTTGTCACCAAAAATGTTAGCATATATGGTTGTTGAAATCTTGTTAGCTAATGTAACACATACCATGTTAATCAATGTTTTAGGATTGAAGAGTTTATCTTAACCTGCCCGAAGCTGGGGCGCTTGGATCGAATCCGGATTGGTCACGATAACTCCGGGCCCAACGCTGGCTGGTTTCTTGACAAGGTAAACCTCTCTTCCAACCCACTGCAATCATTTTAAACTTCCAACCTACTGCAATCATTTTAAACTTCCAACCTACTGCAATCATTTTAAACTTCCAACCTACTGCAATCATTTTCCCACGTTTTCTTTAACTTGCTTTCGTCTCTGTCTTTCCAATCAAATCTTGCGATCGAAATTTCTGGCACTTCCCAGAGTTAGCTAGCGCGCTGAAATTTTCAGGGAAGCTTTGTTTTGGATGACAATAGAATATTCAATTGTTATTATTACTAAATTGATCCATGGAAACATTTTATTGAGCATTTTAGACCGCTATATAATCTATATATATAATTCTCCTCTGCGAGCCGTTAGAAAACAAGCTGCAAGCGCCTCCTTACAGTCCCCTCTCTTTCTCTCTATCACTATCACTACCACCCTACCCCACCCCCACATGGTCTGCTGAGCTGTGGTCACGTTAATGTTTACAAACCGTACAGCCAGATTTAGTGACGGCTATTAGGGGCAGATAATTAAGTTTGAACCGACTTTAAACTTACAGGAGGCTGCTTTCAGGGGGGGGGGGGGTGTAGGGTTAGGGGAAAGGAGGGGGGTTAGTGATTTAAAGCAAATATTTTCAGTGGCAGCATTGGTACTGTCGAATTCACAAATTATGAATTACTGAAAGTAGAAAATAAATCAACTAAATAGCGGCGTATGATACGCTGCGGGTCGGCTCGTTGTAGTAAAAACGTGGGGAAAAAGGGACATAACCCAGTAACTGTAATTTGTGTACAAACAACCGTAACAACTGGTGGCCAGTATGGGGGAGAGGATATGGTCGAGGGGTTGGGCACACGATTGCTATCCCACTCGACACGGGTTCAAATCTATGTGTTCTAGTCAGTAACGTATACACACGTGTTTTTTACGAGTTGTCTTTTTACGAGTTGTCTTCGTTTACCCAAAAAAAAGTGAAAAGATAAAATCGATAGCAAGATTTTAATGCAAACAAACAGACAAAGACTAAAAAGTAGAAAATAATAATCATTAAAAAAGTTTTAAAAAACCCACGTTTTCTGATTGAACTAAAAAGTAGAAAATAAATGCTATACATCACAATAATGCAAGAGATCACTCTACTATAAGCGATCAAAAACGTGGGGCGCCGTGATTTTCTTACAGTTTCTAATACTGTCGACTCTCTACAAGCTCCCTAATAAAAGTCAATAGTATTATCTAATCAATAGTAATATAACTTTTACTTCAGCGCCCCACGTTTTTCATCGCTTATAGTAGAGTGATCGCTTGCATTATTGTGATGTATAGCATTTATTTTCTACTTTTTAGTTCAATCAGAAAACGTGGGTTTTTTTAAACTTTTTTAATGATTATTATTTTTAAACTTCCAACCTACTGCAATAATTGTAGACTTTTACAACCATCATTTTAAAACAAAACAAGGTGAAGATTTTTTAAAATGTTTATTCTATGTTTGTTTCTAATGATGCACCTTCTATTTTGGTCAAGTCCATATCAAAGAAATTACAAAAACTATCAACATTACACAAACTATCAACATTACACAAACTATCAACATTACACAAACTATCAACATTACACAAACTATCAACATTACACAAACTATCAACACTACACAAACTTTAACATTACACAAACTATCAACATTACACAAACTATCAACACTACACAAACTATCAACATTACACAAACTATCAACATTACACAAACTATTAACATTACACAAACTATTATTTTTACACAAACTATCAACATTACACAAACTATCATTTTTACACAAACTATCAACATTACACAAACTATCAACATTACACAAACTATCAACATTACACAAACTATCAACATTACACAAACTATCAACATTACACAAACTATCAACATTACACAAACTATCAACATTACTCAAACTATCAACATTACACACACTATGTTGCACACATACTTAATATTACAGTAAATTACACAAACGATAATTTACATTTTTTAACAAATGGTAACAAAATGCTAATTTCCCTTTTGTGTCCACCCAATAATTTGGATCAGATCTAAGTTCCAGCAGTAAAGGCTGCACATGAGCTTGTTGAGTTTTTCATCATTTGCTTCTATGTAGCCGCCAGGTATATCATTTCTTATAACACCTGGTTATAACAGTCATATTATTTATAACCCAGTCAAATTGAACAAAATGGAAAAAATAAAATTTCACATCAATGTGAAAAGCAAAATACAGTGGTACCTCAACATATGAGTGCCCTTATATTTGAGATTTTTTAACTACGAGCATTTGAGAGAGCCAAATTTTTTGCATTGAATTAGAGACCATCTGGCTTTACAGTTGATAGAGTTAGAGAAAAGATTGGGATATGAGTAATCTGTTCTCCAGTAAGCTCAGGTTTGCTGATTGCCAAAGACTTTATAAACTTTATAGAACCAGTTAATTTATTGACTTGATCCTTATCTTTTTATACAAAATTAGCAATTTATAAATGCATTTCTCTTATTTGAATGTGTAACAATACAAATGAGCAATGTGACGGGGTGAATTAAACTTGTATCTCGAGGTACCACTGTATATAAATAACATATCTGTCTGTAACCATGAAACTATGTATAATTTACAACAAGTTTTCTAAGCTACAGAATTTGTCATCTGTTTCCTTAATTGAGCCACTGGCCGCTTCCTTCTAGTGGCTGTTTACATTTTAGCCACTTCTATTTTGGCCACTTCTATTTTGGTCATTTCTTTTTTAGCCACTTCAATCTATTTTCCACTAAGAAATACTCCATATAGTAATACAAGTAATGACTCCATGTAATGACTCCATTGGCCAATAAATAAATTGACATAAAGAACAGCAAAAAGTGTTAAAAATATAGAAGTATCACAATTTGGTACTGTAACAGTCTGCATAGTTTGTCCATTCCAACATGACCTGCTGTGGGGAGGGGGGAGGGAAACAAACCATCCAATGGCTGACCAGCCTAAGTCTTTCAGCAATTCTGTGACAAGTTATATGACAAGTTTTGTGAGCAGTTTGCCCATGAACAGGACATGTACAGGTTGAGCTCCACCCTACTCTCTGTAAGCTCCACCTTCTCTCTTTAAGCTCCACCCTACTCTCTGTAAGCGCCACCTTCTCTCTTTAAGCTCCACCCTACTCTCTGTAAGCTCCACCCAAACTCTCTTTAAGCTCCACCTTCCTTCTTTAGGCTCCGCTCTTCTCTCTTGAAGCTCCGCCCCTCTATGGGATAGTCACGCCGCACTCGTACCAGTCAGGTGAGGGTCTGAGAGCGTTGAGGGAGTGGAGGGTTGGCTCCTGACCCCAGTTGCCCCGGGCATAGCCTGGTGGTAAAAACAAGAACAAACATTCATCTTTGCTGCAATTGTAAGGAAACTTGTGTCTGTACAGGTTCCTGGTCAGGTAATGGGCCAGGTACATTACACCTGATGTTGGCCAGGTAATGGGCCAGGTACATTACACCTGATGTTGGCCAGGTACATTACACCTGATGTTGGCCAGGTACATTACACCTGATGTTGGCCAGGTACATTACACCTGATGTTGGCCAGGTACATTACACCTGATGTTGGCCAGGTACATTACACCTGATGTTGGCCAGGTACATTACACCTGATGTTGGCCAGGTAAATGGGCCTGTTACATAACACCTGATGTTGGCCAGGTACATTACACCTGATGTTGGCCAGGTACATTACACCTGATGTTGGCCAGACACATTACACCTGATGTTGGCCAGGTACATTACACCTGATGTTGGCCAGGTACATTACACCTGATGTTGGCCAGGTACATTACACCTGATGTTGACCAGGTAAATGGGCCAGGTACATTACACCTGATGTTGGCCAGGTACATTACACCTGATGTTGGCCAGGTAAATGGGCCAGGTACATTACACCTGATGTTGGCCAGGTAAATGGACCAGACACATTACACCTGATGTTGGCCAGGTAAATGGACCAGACACATTACACCTGATGTTGGCCAGGTAAATGGGCCAGACACATTACACCTGATGTTTGCCAGGTACATTACACCTGATGTTGGCCAGGTAAATGGACCAGACACATTACACCTGATGTTGGCCAGGTACATTACACCTGTTGTTGGCCAGGTAAATGGGCCAGACACATTACACCTGATGTTGGCCAGTAAATGGACCAGACACATTACACCTGATGTTGGCCAGGTACATTACACCTGATGTTGGCCAGGTACATTACACCTGATGTTGGCCAGGTAAATGGACCAGACACATTACACCTGATGTTGGCCAGGTAAATGGCTCAGGTACATTACACCTGATGTTGGCCAGGTACATTACACCTGATGATGGCCAGGTAAATGGACCAGACACATTACACATGATGTTGGCCAGGTACATTACACCTGATGTTGGCCAGGCACATTACACCTGATGTTGGCCAGGCACATTACACCTGATGTTGGCCAGGCACATTACACCTGATGTTGGCCAGGTAAATGGGCCAGGTACATTACACCTGATGTTGGCCAGGTAAATGGGCCAGACACATTACACCTGATGTTGGCCAGGTAAATGGACCAGGTACATTACACCTGATGTTGGCCAGGTAAATGGTTGGTTTCTTAATGGTGCAGGTTGTGTAATATGGTTGTTACCATACTTCATTCCAAGAGCAGAAGGGGTGGTGGTTGATGATGATCTGTTAGTGGTTGTTTTGTTGATGGTGGGTAGGTGTGTGTGAGTAATGTAGAGAGTATTTGTTACTGCGACTAATGTGATGTGTGTGTTGGTGTGTGAGTAATGTGATGTTTGTGTTGGTGTGTGAGTAATGTGATGTTTGTGTTGGTGTGTGAGTAATGTGGTGTGTGTGTGTTGGTGTGTGAGTAATGTGGTGTGTGTGTGTTGGTGTGTGAGTAATGTGGTGTGTGTGTGTTGGTGTGTGAGTAATGTGGTGTGTGTGTTGGTGTGTGAGTAATGTGGTGTGTGTGTTGATGTGTGAGTAATGTGGTGTGTGTGTTGGTGTGTGAGTAATGTGGTGTGTGTGTTGGTGTGAGTAATGTGGTGTGTGTGTTGGTGTGTGAGTAATGTGGTGTGTGTGTGTTGGTGTGTGAGTAATGTGGTGTGTGTGTTGATGTGTGAGTAATGTGGTGTGTGTTTGTGTGTTGGTGTGTGAGTAATGTGGTGTGTGTGTTGGTGTGTGAGTAATGTGGTGTGTGTGTGTTGGTGTGTGAGTAATGTGGTGTGTGTGTGTGTTGGTTTGTGAGTAATGTGGTGTGTGTGTTGGTGTGTGAGTAATGTGGTGTGTGTGTTGGTGTGTGAGTAATGTGGTGTGTGTGTGTTGGTGTGTGAGTAATGTGGTGTGTGTGTGTGTTGGTTTGTGGGTAATGTGGTGTGTGTGTTGGTGTGTGAGTAATGTGGTGTGTGTGTTGGTGTGTGAGTAATGTGGTGTGTGTTGGTGTGTGAGTAATGTGGTGTGTGTGTTAATGTGTGAGTAATGTGGTGTGTGTGTGTTGGTGTGTGAGTAATGTGGTGTGTGTGTTGGTGTGTGAGTAATGTGGTGTGTGTGTTGGTGTGTGAGTAATGTGGTGTGTGTGTGTTGGTGTGTGAGTAATGTGGTGTGTGTGTTGGTGTGTGAGTAATGTGGTGTGTGTGTTGGTGTGTGAGTAATGTGGTGTGTGTGTTGGTGTGTGAGTAATGTGGTGTGTGTGTTGGTGTGTGAGTAATGTGGTGTGTGTATTGGTGTGTGAGTAATGTGGTGTGTGTGTTGGTGTGTGAGTAATGTGGTGTGTGTGTTGGTGTGTGAGTAATGTGGTGTGTGTGTTGGTGTGTGAGTAATGTGGTGTGTGTGTGTGTGTTGGTGTGTGAGTAATGTGGTGTGTGTGTTGGTGTGTGAGTAATGTGGTGTGTGTGTGTTGGTGTGTGAGTAATGTGGTGTGTGTGTTGGTGTGTGAGTAATGTGGTGTGTGTGTGTTGGTGTGTGAGTAATGTGGTGTGTGTGTGTGTTGGTGTGTGAGTAATGTGGTGTGTGTGTTGGTGTGTGAGTAATGTGGTGTGTGTGTTGGTGTGTGAGTAATGTGGTGTGTGTGTTGGTGTGTGAGTAATGTGGCGTGTGTGTTCCGCCCACCCAGCCAGGAAGTGTGAGGTGGCAGCCTAGGTGCCGAGGATTTCCCAAACTCTTTGATGTTTCCGTCGGCTTCATACCTTTACAAGTTTCGTCTGGCCAGGGGAGGGGGCGGGTAATGGCTGATTTGTTGGGAGAATGCAGGTATGATATCAATCTAAAGACCCCCACAACCCCCACACAACCCCGCCCGCTGACTCAACTGGTTAGAAAACACAAGGGTATAGAACTGTCGACACTATGATTGTGGGTGTTGAACTGTCGACACTATGATAGTGGGTGTAGAACTGTCGACACTATGATAGTGGGTGTAGAACTGTCGACACTATGATAGTGGGTGTAGAACTGTCGACACTATGATTGTGGATGTTGAACTGTCGACACTATGATTGTGGGTGTTGAACTGTCGACACTATGATTGTGGGTGTAGAACTGTTGACACTATGATTGTGGGTGTAGAACTGTCGACACTATGATTGTGGGTATAGAACTGTCGACACTATGATTGTGGGTGTAGAACTGTCGACACTATGATTATGTGTGTAGAACTGTCGACACTATGATTGTGGGTGTAGAACTGTCGACATTATGATTGTGGGTGTAGAACTGTCGACACTATGATTGTGTGTGTAGAACTGTCGACACTATGATAGTGGGTGTAGAACTGTCGACACTATGATTGTGCGTGTAGAACTGTCGACACTATGATTGTGCGTGTAGAACTGTTGACACTATGATTGTGGGTGTTGAACTGTCGACACTATGATTGTGGGTGTAGAACTGTCGACACTATGATAGTGGGTGTAGAACTGTCGACACTATGATTGTGGGTGTAGAACTGTCGACACTATGATTGTGGGTGTAGAACTGTCGACACTATGATAGTGGGTGTAGAACTGTCGACACTATGATAGTGGGTGTTGAACTGTCGACACTATGATAGTGGGTGTTGAACTGTCGACACTATGATTGTGGGTGTAGAACTGTCGACACTATGATTGTGGGTGTAGAACTGTCGACACTATGATAGTGGGTGTTGAACTGTCGACACTATGATTGTGGGTGTCTCCGAGCTGGTTACCTAGCTATGTTGTGAGAGGTTTTAGATTAGGGTTTGTAAAACTTGGCGCTTAATTTTGAGATATCGGTCGAGGGGAGATGGATGGGGGTGATGGAGAGGGGGGGGGGGGGGGGTTGTGTAGATGAATGAGAACAAGTCAAGAGGACGCGTGTAATCAGCGCTTATATCACCCCCTTGATTAACGCGCTTTACCATGCTATTTTTAGACGCGCATATAAAAATAGCTGTTTTATAGTCATTCACGTTAAGCTGCTCATCAACATCCGTACTTTATCTAGAACTTTCTTTAGCATTGCTCTAGAACTTTCTTTAGCATTGCTCTAGAACTTTCTTTAGCATTGCTCTAGAACTTTCTATAGCATTGCTCTAGAACTTTCTATAGCATTGCTCTAGAACTTTCTATAGCATTGCTCTTGATGCTACAGTGGGTCGGGGTACTACTTGATGCTACAGTGGGTCGGGATACTACTTGATGCTACAGGGGTCGGGGTACTACTTGATGCTACAGGGGTCGGGGTACTACTTGATGCTACAGGGGTCGGGGTACTACTTGATGCTACAGTGGGTCGGGGTACTACTTGATGCTACAGGGGTTGGGGTAACTACTACAGCAGTGAGTGACTGACCTTGAACCGAGTAGTGCACCGTCCTGAAGGGGCTGAGCTTGGGTGTGACGTCACGGCTTGCCCCCACAAACTCGCAGTGATCCTCGCCCAGGCCGTTAGCGTCCCCGACGTTGAGGAACTTTGACTGGAGCGTGTTGGCCAGGAAAATCTTGTACCGTGTGGGTGAGCAGAGCACCACGCCCACTAGCCGCACGGCCTTGTAGTCGACACGCTTGATGTACTGGTCGCCATGGCAGTCTGTCCTGGAGCTGTCGAACTCAAACGCCATGGGCAGCCACTCGCCCAGAATGTTGAGCTTGACCTCAGTCTTTAGATCCGACACCTGCTTGGCCGTGCCGTTGATGTAGTCGGCCATCGACTTCTGCTGATGGTCGACCTCGTCGAGTTTCTTCTTGAGCTCGCGTTGTTTGCTGGACAAGTCTCTGATGGCGGCCTGGAGGTCGCCGCTCTCCCGCTCTAGACGAGGCAGCTGGTTGATCTTGCGCTGCATGTTGGAGCCGTCCACCTGCAGGATCACCACGTTGTCCTCCAGCGCGCGCACCCGGCCCTTGATGTCGAACAGCTTCTCGCTGTGCGTGTAGTTGAGCTTGTCGAGAGCGGCGCTGATGCTGTCCTGCACGGCCTTGACGGCTGACCTGAGTCCAGCGCTCTCCTTGTCCAGCAGATCCCTCATCTCGCGGTACCTGACCTTCGTCTCGTTCTGTAAAGGTTCCAGCGACTTATTGTATACCGACATAAGCCGCTCCATCTTTTTGATTTTTTTAATTTGTTCTTCGATCTCTAGCGGCGCCATTGAGAGCCCCTCCCCGCTGATATTTTTCTTCAGTTCATAAACAAGGCTCTCTAATGTCCTGACCTTGTCCAGCTGTTGGCTGGAGGCCACTAAATCCTGGGACAAGGTGTCCGTCTGCTCCATCACGTCCTTGACACTTTGGTCAAGATCCTTGACCTTGGATGAGATGTTTGTGGCGACGGCTTGGTTTTTCTCGTCCTGTGATTGGATCTTCTCCTCCAGCGCCGCCGTCCTCTTCTCCACCACGCCGATGAACTCTGCCAGCTGCGAGAGGAGCGTCTTGCTGATCTCCTCCTTCAGCCTCTCCTCCAGCTCCGCCTGCCGGTACGTCTGGTCCCGCAGCATGCTCTCCCTCTCGTCGCTTGTCTCGTTGTCGTCCACAGATTTAGCGTCCGTCAGGACGAGGCTGCCGGGGCCTGCTCCTATCCTGGCGGCGGAGATCTCAGTCAAGGCCACCGTCTCGTTCAGCTCCAAGTTCTCTCCACTAAAAGAGTCGTTGGCTCCGGACATATCGTCTTTGATGACCAGCTCCGAGCTGTTGGCCGTGGCCAGCTCCTCGTAGGAAGCTGTAGACAGCTCTTCGTAGGAAGCTGTGGTCATCAAGTCCAGGGGGGACGGGCTGTCTTCGCTGGAGATAGAAACATTACCGACCTGCTGCGCCATCTCGTCCTCGGTGGCGTTCGCCTTTGATACGACCTCGTCAATCTCGGTAGTGTCGCCGCTAGGGGGCGCGGGGGTCGTCTTGACCGGCGCTGCAGACGCCGGTTTGCGCATCCCGGTGGTCTTGCCTTGCGACATCTTGTGGACCGTCCCGAGGACTGTGGTGTAGAGAACAACCTGCTCCTTGATGTACGCCTCCAGTCGCTTGCTCAGGTTCTCGTACATGCCCTTCACCTCTAACTGCAGGAGCGACTTCACCGTCGGGATGGTTTCTATGGCGTTCACGTGCGAACCATCGTCGGCCATGTTGGTTTTTTTGCTTTTGATGATGTCTGCGTGAAGCTGCTCTATTTGTTTCTCCAGTAGACCTAGCCTGTCTACTAGAAAATCCACACTTTTACTATCCAAGCCAAACCGCCGTTCTAGCTGTTGCAGTTTGCTGGTCGTTAGCTCGCGTTCTTTTTCTAGCTGTGTCGTCAGTTGGATCACCTCCCTCTTGCAGTCGTTGGTCTTCATCTCCATGGCACCAAGTCGTCGGCTCACCTGGGGGATAAAAGCGGGCTGTTTAACACGGGCTGTTTAACACGGGCTGTTTAACACGGGCTGTTTAACACGGGCTGTTTAACACGGGCTGTTTAACACGGCTGTTTAACACGGGCTGTTTAACACGGGCTGTTTAACACGGCTGTTTAACTCGGGCTGTTTAACACGGGCTGTTTAACACGGGCTGTTTAACGCCTGCCGAGCTGATTAACATTTCCTGTAGTCGTCTCAAACAGATACAAAATATATAGGGGGGGGGGGGCTATTCGAGCAGTTCTCTACAACTACAAACTTTAGTACATTGGAGCCGTTGTCTAGCTGAAACTACAAACTTTAGTACATTGGAGCCGTTGTCTAGCTGAAACTACAAACTTTAGTACATTGGAGCCGTTGTCTAGCTGAAACTACAAACTTTAGTACATTGGAGCCGTTGTCTAGCTGAAACTACAAACTTTAGTACATTGGAGCCGTTGTCTAGCTGAAACTACAAACTTTAGTACATTGGAGCCGTTGTCTAGCTGAAACTACAAACCTTAGTACATTTGAGCCGTTGTCTAGCTGAAACTACAAACTTTAAGTAACCTCCTCTCTATTCGAATAGAACATAACGGTTGGGATGGCACATAATGAAACCACAAGCTTTAAGTAACCTCCTCTCTATTCGAATAGAACATAACGGTTGGGATGGCACATAATGAAACTACAAGCTTGTAACCTCCTCTCTATTCGGATAGAATATAACGGTTGGGATGGCACATAATGAAACTACAAGATTTAAGTAATATTGGGATGGCACATAATGAAACCACAAGCTTTAAGTAACCTCCTCTCTATTCGGATAGAATATAACGGTTGGGATGGCACATAATGAAACCACAAGCTTTAAGTAACCTCCTCTCTATTCGAATAGAACATAACGGTTGGGATGGCACATAATGAAACTACAAGCTTTAAGTAACCTCCTCTCTATTCGGATAGAATATAACGGTTGGGATGGCACATAATGAAACTACAAGCTTGTAACCTCCTCTCTATTCGGATAGAATATAACGGTTGGGATGGCACATAATGAAACTACAAGATTTAAGTAATATTGGGATGGCACATAATGAAACCACAAGCTTTAAGTAACCTCCTCTCTATTCGAATAGAACATAACGGTTGGGATGGCACATAATGAAACTACAAGCTTTAAGTAACCTCCTCTCTATTCGGATAGAATATAACGGTTGGGATGGCACATAATGAAACTACAAGCTTGTAACCTCCTCTCTATTCGGATAGAATATAACGGTTGGGATGGCACATAATGAAACTACAAGCTTTAAGTAATCTCCTCTCTGTTCGAATAGAACATAACGGTTGGGATGGCACAAAATGCTATGGGCTATAGAAATGCTAGTTAATTTTAGGACCAAACCGCTTCGAAAAAAACACCGAGTTGTATGCTGCTCGATGTGAATAAATTGAACTATCAAATTGTGAAGGTTTTAAATAGAACAGTTAAGGTTTCTTGCTGAAAAGGTACTCGTTATCTTGTTCACACCCGCAGACAAACGCATACATACAAACACACACGTACATGCAAACACATATATGCAGACAAACATACAAACACATACATTCATACAAAACATACAAACATACAAACACATACATACAGACGAACATACATACAAACACATATCTACAGACACATACATACGAACATACACATACATACAGACAAACACATACATACAACAGACTAGATTTATAAACTGTGTTTCTGACTCCGGAAGGAGTAAGACGTTAACGTATGTACAATTATAATCCTTCCCTTTATAATCCTTCCCTTTATAATCCTTCCCTTTATAATGTTCTCTTGTATTAAAATTTCCTTTATATTTGATATAAAGTTGATATTCGAATAAATTGAAAATAAGAATAGATGACTGAGTGTGGACCCCGCCTCTGATGGTTAACTCATAGATTAGGGATGTTACTGGTAGAAAAACTAATTGACCCCCCCCCCCACCCGCGCCCCTATGCAAAAGGGTAAAGCACGTGACGTCACCTTGTCGTCCAGTTGACACGAATGTTTGACCTGCTCGCGCGGTACCACGAAGCTGTAGATGCAGTTGTCCTCTACTGTCTGCAGCTGTAGCGCCCAGCTCCAAGCCACGGCTCCCAGCAGCAGCAGCAGTAGTCCCGTCATCATCGGTGCTCGCTGTCACGTCACACCACGATGGCCTCTGTCCACGTTCCACTAGTGACGGACATGGTCACGGTCCACTGGTCACGGACCAATTGATTAGGTAACTTATAACAGGTGGCAGATATCCAATGAAAAACACAGTTGATCACCAGACGTGCGAATCAGTGAAGCGTAACGCAATGAAGTTAGGGTTCCAGTGAGGCGTGATTGCTGCGCTAAGAATCGTGTAGCACTGCCCGCTCACGCTCCGTTTAGTCACGTGATCTGCACCGAGCCCGACCAGCGCCGTAATGAGTTTACCTAGTTAGAGCGGGATGTAATCGCCCGCCCCGTCTGCCGCCACTCAACAGCCGTCTGCGCACGCGCGAAAACTCTGGTAAACTTTATCTCACCCCAGTCCACTCACCTTTTATATCTGCATCTGTCTAAATCACTAATTGTCATCTCGCAAATGACAACATGTCATCCACCAATGACGTGTCATCTCGCTAATGACAACGTGTCATTGCGCCTATGACAAGATGTCATTTTGACAAACTGTTTAAAAAATAAGTAAAAAACCTGAATTATTTTGGCGGTTCATTACTTGGTCTTAAGACAATTGATGGGGTGTGATTGTATGCATGTGGGATGGGGTTGTAAGATGGGGTTGGTTATATGGTAATATAGATGTTGTATGGGATCAGTAGTATGGTTGTGGTATAGGGTTGTCAGTATGGTTGTGGTATAGGGTTGTCAGTATGGTTGTGGTATAGGGTTGTCAGTATGGATGTGGTATAGGGTTGTCAGTATGGATGTGGTATAGGGTTGTCAGTATGGATGTGGTATAGGGTTGTCAGTATGGTTGTGGTATAGGGTTGTCAGTATGGTTGTGGTATAGGGTTGTCAGTATGGTTGTGGTATAGGGTTGTCAGTATGGTTGTGGTATAGGGTTGTCAGTATGGTTGTGGTATAGGGTTGTCAGTATGGTTGTGGTATAGGGTTGTCAGTATGGTTGTGGTATAGGGTTGTCAGTATGGTTGTGGTATAGGGTTGTCAGTATGGATGTGGTATAGGGTTGTCAGTATGGATGTGGTATAGGGTTGTCAGTATGGTTGTGGTATAGGGTTGTCAGTATGGTTGTGGTATAGGGTTGTCAGTATGGTTGTGGTATAGGGTTGTCAGTATGGTTGTGGTATAGGGTTGTCAGTATGGATGTGGTATAGGGTTGTCAGTATGGATGTGGTATAGGGTTGTCAGTATGGATGTGGTATAGGGTTGTCAGTATGGTTGTGGTATAGGGTTGTTAGTATGGTTGTGGTATAGGGTTGTCAGTATGGTTGTGGTATAGGGTTGTCAGTATGGTTGTGGTATAGGGTTGTCAGTATGGTTGTGGTATAGGGTTGTCAGTATGGATGTGGGATAGGGTTGTCAGTATGGATGTGGTATAGGGTTGTCAGTATGGATGTGGTATAGGGTTGTCAGTATGGATGTGGTATAGGGTTGTCAGTATGGATGTGGTATAGGGTTGTCAGTATGGATGTGGTATAGGGTTGTCAGTATGGATGTGGTATAGGGTTGTCAGTATGGATGTTGTATAGGGTTGTCAGTTGGTTGTGGTATAGAGTTGTTAGGGATGTGGTATAGGGTTGCTGGGGATGTGGTTGGCAGTAGGATTGCAGGAGATCCTTCTGTAAATTTTTGCCCTCCTAATGGCACAAGAATTGTTTGGGAGCCTTAAGTAAACAGCCTTCCCTCCCCCCCCCCCTCACCTGACTCACGCTGTTTGCTCTGTTAAATGCCAGATGCACGTCAATGTAAATAAAGGGGCGGTTTGGGTGGTGTCTGAAAGCTTTTACCTCGACAGTCTTTTATTTAACGCTCTCAAATGTCTGCCATTAGAAGAATCAGCCGGCAGGAAGTGCTCCGCCATCTTGTTTGATCATATCTTAGCTGGTGTTCTTTTTGGCCGGATATCTCAAAGCTGTTTGAGTTCAACCGTGCATAGATCTATGATCGGACATCAGACTCTGGCTGGCCGCTAAAGTTTTGTCTCTAACGCTAGACCTTGAGAGATGTCGTCGTCACACCCACCCCCATCTTTAATGACTAAATTGCTAATTTTTGGCTATAAGCCTTCAACGTAAAGTGAAATGATTTCGCTTAGCTCAAGAATGTACCGAATGTAAAGGCAATGAATTGTGCAGGTAACGACCTCGATAACCCCAGCCTCAGACATAACTGGCTGACCTCCCTGCCTGCACACAACGCCCCAATTCATGCCGGATGAAACGTGAATTACAGGGAAATATGGAGATCTAAAACTGTTAAATGTGAAAACTCTCATACAAAGAAATATGGCGATCTAAAAAATCAAACCCGATCTAGAAATCTAGGCCCTAGATCTAGATCTAGATCTACATCGAAATTTAGCTGTTAAAAAATACTTGGTAACAGACCGGAAGTCGGTATTTTGGTTTACAATGAAATGACTGCGCACATGATGACGTAATGTAGACTAGCCTACCTACAACTAAGTGGGAAGTTTGACCGAGCCCAATAATCTGAAACAAAATACCAAGTTGGCCGTAAATCTTGTTAGGCCGATATGAAATCAAATTATGAAATGGAAATTTCAATGGAGTATTTCAAAATTCCATCGTTTGTTCCCTACATACTACATGCTGCATTAAATTTTTCCTTGCCAGTTCCTCTGTTTTCATTACCTGTAAGCTGATAGGCCTATAAGAAAATGGTTGTTTGATGGAGCACGTGCCGACTGATGGGCGTGGCCAAGCATTAGATGCTCGAGTGCAAGGTGAAGGTCATGCACTGCAGCACTGTACTAACAGGCCAAGCGAATGGGAGAGTGCAGTGCGAAGATTGTTTACGTTTTCAATACAAAAATTAATTGTTGATCCAAATAACGAGAAAAATGACATCACTGGGTGGGGGTTCTGAAACCCCTAACATTCCCTTCTCCACAGGTCGTGGCCACGCCCAGTGAAATGTTTTCTTTTTTTTTTAGTCGGTGATATCTCCGTCAAACTTTTTATTAATCTAGCAGGCATGGATAAATCTAGATCTAGAATATTGTAGGAACGAACTCACGGTAAACTAACTTTAACACAGACGGCAAGTCTTAACATTAGGGATGTCTACTAGAGTTAAGATCTAGATCTAGGACTGTTGAGTGGTGTTTGCTGACTTGTCTGCTGGCTGTCTCACGCTGTCATATTTTGTTTACCAGATAATTGTTGACGATGTACAAGCTAAAACTGTATACAACTTCCCCTGTCAAAGATGGCTGGCCAAGGATGAAGATGATGGTGCAATCACTAGGGAGTTGTATGTCAATGTTGGACCACGTGATATGTCTAAAGGTTAGGTCAACTTCAAATCTTCTAGCACATCATGTCCCTAACAGCCCTAACTTATACAAAGACCCTCCTGTCCTAAATATTGTAGCAAGCCCATCCTTTCCCATATCTTGTGGCAAGCCCATCCTGTCCCAATTCTTGTAGCAAGCCCATCCTGTCCCAGCTCTTGTAGCAAGCCCAATCTGTCCCAAATCTTTTAGCAAGCCCATCCTTTCCCAGATCTTGTGGCAAGCCCATCCTGTCCCAGCTCTTGTAGCAAGCCCAATCTGTCCCAAATCTTTTAGCAAGCCCATCCTTTCCCAGCTCTTGTGGCAAGCCCAATCTGTCCCAAATCTTGTAGCAAGCCCAATCTGTCCCAAATCTTTTAGCAAGCCCATCCTTTCCCAGCTCTTGTGGCAAGCCCAATCTGTCCCAAATCTTGTAGCAAGCCCAATCTGTCCCAAATCTTTTAGCAAGCCCAATCTGTCCCAAATCTTTTAGCAAGCCCATCCTGTCCCAAATCTTGTGGCAAGCCCATCCTTTCCCAAATCTTGTAGCAAGCCCAATCTGTCCCAAATCTTGTAGCAAGCCCAATCTGTCCCAAATCTTGTAGCAAGCCCATCCTGTCCCAAATCTTGTGGCAAGCCCATCCTTTCCCAGCTCTTGTGGCAAGCCCAATCTGTCCCAAATCTTGTAGCAAGCCCAATCTGTCCCAAATCTTTTAGCAAGCCCATCCTGTCCCAAATCTTGTGGCAAGCCCATCCTTTCCCAAATCTTGTAGCAAGCCCAATCTGTCCCAAATCTTGTAGCAAGCCCAATCTGTCCCAAATCTTGTAGCAAGCCCATCCTGTCCCAAATCTTGTGGCAAGCCCATCCTTTCCCAGATCTTGTGGCAAGCCCATCCTGTCCCAGATCTTGTGGCAAGCCCAATCTGTCCCAAATCTTGTAGCAAGCCCAATCTGTCCCAAATCTTGTAGCAAGCCCAATCTGTCCCAAATCTTGTAGCAAGCCCATCCTGTCCCAAATCTTGTGGCAAGCCCATCCTTTCCCAAATCTTGTGGCAAGCCCATCCTGTCCCAGATCTTGTGGCAAGCCCAATCTGTCCCAAATCTTGTAGCAAGCCCAATCTGTCCCAAATCTTGTAGCAAGCCCATCCTTTTTAAAATCTTCCAGCAAGGCCATCCAGTCTTCTAGCCTCAGATTTCTCAGGAATTGTAATGTTGGTTTTTTTTTTTTTTTTTAATTTTCTTCGCTGCTAGATGATGATCCAGGTAATTTCTATTTTTACTGCGTTCACCTTTGCTTGGTGTTTAGTTTTATAGTTGAGTGTTAAACCTTTGGTGTATTTAGTTTAGTTTTATAGTTTAGTGTTAAACCTTTGGTGTATGTTGTTTAGTTTTATAGTTGAGTGTTAAACCTTTGGTGTATGTTGTTTAGTTTTATAGTTGAGTGTTAAACCTTTGGTGTATGTTGTTTAGTTTTATAGTTGAGTGTTAAACCTTTGGTGTGTGTTGTTTAGTTTTGTAGTTGAGTGTTAAACCTTTGATGTATGTTGTTTAGTTTTATACTTGAGTGTTAAACCTTTGGTGTATGTTGTTTAGTTTTGTATTTGACAGTGTTGGAACTGTACACAACCATTGCTTTGAGTGTTGTTTGTTGTAAAAAAAATTGTTATCAATAATTTGAACTTTTGCTTTCCATTGTCATACTAAATTACCATTTTGTATTATCAATTAATAATTAAGCATTAATTTCAACCAACAAATCATGCAGTGTAAAAAATTGTATTAAAGATAAGCTTTTAAAATTGTTTCACTACTGTCAAGAAGCTGTTAAATAGTTTAAATGCCATCATTAAACCGTTATTTTATCTCTAGTATGTAGATGTGTTATGCTTGTTGAGAGTTTGTTTTTTAATTATTCTTCACCTCAGAGCACTTGTGCAATCAGTAACATACAAGTTTAATTTTAATTAATCTATTTTAGAGAAAATCACTTCCATAAGCATTTTATTGTTCCTGTGTCTTTTGTTCAAGTGATATAAACAACATCATTAGTTTCTTTTATTTTTGTTAACATTTCAAATTTTTATGAGATTTTTGTTTTAAACTTTTATTGTCAATATTTGGTTTGAAACGTTTAGGCTTCCCCTTTGTTGTGACTGTAAAAACTGGCAACAAGAGCAATGCTGGAACAGATGCCAGGGTCTATATCATCATGCATGGAGGGGACAAGGGGGCAGACACCAGCGGGAAAATCTGGCTCGACAATGGGAAATTTGAACGCAATGTCACAGATATTTTCAACGTTGATGTTGCCAAAATGATCAGCCCGCTGTCCAAGCTTGAGATAGGTCACGATGACACAGGGGCTGCTGCCGGCTGGTATCTGGAATCTGTTCTGGTGAGTTTTGGTACTAGAAATCTGGCAAGATGACCAGCCAGATATATCCCAATGTACTGACTCCCCTTCTCAATTTCTTGTTCCAGATCTATTGCCCCACCACAGGGATAGAGCAATACTTCCCCTGCCACCAGTGGCTGGCAACAGATGAGGGAGATGGTCTCATTCAAAGGGTCCTTCTTGAGCAAAAGTCCATGCGCAAAACTAAAGAAAAACGTAAACTATTTTTTTATTTAATTTAATTATGCTTACTTTCATTAAGACCAAGTCAGTTGTCCCACAGTTCCACCACCCACAGGTCTACCACCCACAGGTCCACCACCCACAGGTCCAGTTGTCTACCACCCACAGGCCCACCACCCACAGGTCCACCACCCACAGGTCCACCACCCACAGGTCCACCACCCACAGGTCCACCACCCACAGGTCCACCACCCACAGGTCCACCACCCACAGGTCCAGTTGTCCACCACCCACAGGCCCACCACCCACAGGTCCACCACCCACAGGTCCACCACCCACAGGTCCACCACCCACAGGTCCACCACTCACAGGTCTACCACCCACAGGTCCACCACCCACAGGTCCAGTTGTCCACCACCCACAGGCCCACCACCCACAAGCCCACCACCCACAGGCCCACCACCCACAAGTCCAGTTGTCCACCACCCACAGGCCCACCACCCACAAGTCCAGTTGTCCACCACCCACAGGTCCACCACCCACAGGTCCACCACCCACAGGTCCACCACCCACAGGTCCACCACCCTCAGGTCCACCACCCACAGGTCCACCACCCACAGGTCCACCACCCACAGGTCCACCACCCACAGGTCCACCACCCACAGGCCCACCACCCACAGGTCCACCACCCACACTCTCCTATTTTCTCAGAGATTACCTGGCAATGTTGGGTCACCACAAGTGACATCAAAAATGCTGGCACTGATGCCAATGTTTACATCTGTATCTATGGAGACAAGAGTAAAACAGATGACATCCCATTAGACAACAAGGGGGACAACTTTGAGCAGGGTCAGATGGACGCTTTCAGATTTACCACTGTGGAGATTGGCAAGCCCTACAAGCTTAGGGTGTGGCATGACAACGCTGGCTCATTTCCTGGCTGGCATCTTGACAAGGTTGGTTTAGGATGTCAAACTTGTCTGTCTGGGGATGTCAAACTGTCTGGGGATGTCAAACTTGTCTGTCTGGGGATGTCAAACTTGTCTGTCTGGGGATGTCAAACTTGTCTGTCTGGGGATGTCAAACTTGTCTGTCTGGGGATGTCAAACTTGTCTGTCTGGGGATGTCAAACTTGTCTGTCTGGGGATGTCAAACTTGTCTGTCTGGGGATGTCAAACTGTCTGGGGATGTCAAACTTGTCTGTCTGGGGATGTCAAACTTGTCTGTCTGGGGATGTCAAACTGTCTGGGGATGTCAAACTTGTCTGTCTGGGGATGTCAAACTGTCTGGGGATGTCAAACTGTCTGGGGATGTCAAACTTGTCTGTCTGGGGATGTCAAACTTGTCTGTCTGGGGATGTCAAACTGTCTGGGGATGTCAAACTTGTCTGTCTGGGGATGTCAAACTTGTCTGTCTGGGGATGTCAAACTTGTCTGTCTGGGGATGTCAAACTGTCTGGGGATGTCAAACTTGTCTGTCTGAGGATGTAGCCTGTACTGTCTGTTGAAACTTATCTTGGGAAGACTAATTTTGTGTCTAGATATGTTTATTATTTGATGATTTAATGAGATATAATTTATGGGCATTTAAATGGGTCTATGTTTGAAGTGATGTGGATATTTGACTGGGATATTAGTGCTGTGGATATTTGACTGGGATATTAGTGCTGTGGATATTTGACTGGGATATTAGGGCTGTGGATATTTGACTGGGATATTAGTGCTGTGGATATTTGACTGGGATATTAGTGCTGTGGATATTTGACTGGGATATTAGTGATGTGGATATTTGACTGGGATATGCTTGTACATCCTAGATTGAGCTGGAGAGCATGGAAGGAAAGGAAAGATTTGTTTTTGTGTGTGGACGTTGGCTGGCAGAGGGGGAGGATGATAAGATGACAATCAGGGAACTGCCTGCTGAGTCCCCCAGCATCAAGCGACCTTTGCCATGTGAGTGACATCTTTTGTTTGGACTTTTTTTTCTTCTGCGCAACATTTTTCACCTTGGAATGAAGTGTTATATTTGTCTAAGGTTGCTGGTACTATTTTTTTTAAAAACCATTAACAAAACTTTTTAAAATAAAGAACGTTTTAAATAAAATCTTGTAAAAACAATTTTTTCCCTCTATTTGGTGTAACATTTTTTCTATGGTCTGCTGCAAATGTAACCTTAACCAGTTTTATTCTAGTGGCCAGCTACATGTGTAACCTTGTTTTATTCTAGTGGTCAGCTACAGGTGTAACCTTGTTTTATTCTAGTGGTCAGCTACAGGTGTAACCTTGTTTTATTCTAGTGGTCAGCTACAGGTGTAACCTTGTTTTATTCTAGTGGTCAGCTACAGGTGTAACCTTGTTTTATTCTAGTGGTCAGCTACAGGTGTAACCTTGTTTTATTCTAGTGGTCAGCTACAGGTGTAACCTTGTTTTATTCTAGTGGTCAGCTACAGGTGTAACCTTGTTTTATTCTAGTGGTCAGCTACAGGTGTAACCTTGTTTTATTCTAGTGGTCAGCTACAGGTGTAACCTTGTTTTATTCTCTCAGTCAGCTACAGGTGTAACCTTGTTTTATTCTAGTGGTCAGCTGCAGGTGTAACCTTGTTTTATTCTAGTGGTCAGCTACAGGTGTAACCTTGTTTTATTCTAGTGGTCAGCTACAGGTGTAACCTTGTTTTATTCTAGTGGTCAGCTACAGGTGTAACCTTGTTTTATTCTAGTGGTCAGCTACAGGTGTAACCTTGTTTTATTCTAGTGGTCAGCTACAGGTGTAACCTTGTTTTATTCTAGTGGTCAGCTACAGGTGTAACCTTGTTTTATTCTAGTGGTCAGCTACAGGTGTAACCTTGTTTTATTCTAGTGGTCAGCTACAGGTGTAACCTTGTTTTATTCTAGTGGTCAGCTGCAGGTGTAACCTTGTTTTATTCTAGTGGTCAGCTACAGGTGTAACCTTGTTTTATTCTAGTGGTCAGCTACAGGTGTAACCTTGTTTTATTCTAGTGGTCAGCTACAGGTGTAACCTTGTTTTATTCTAGTGGTCAGCTGCAGGTGTAACCTTGTTTTATTCTAGTGGTCAGCTACAGGTGTAACCTTGTTTTATTCTAGTGGTCAGCTACAGGTGTAACCTTGTTTTATTCTAGTGGTCAGCTACAGGTGTAACCTTGTTTTATTCTAGTGGTCAGCTACAGGTGTAACCTTGTTTTATTCTAGTGGTCAGCTACAGGTGTAACCTTGTTTTATTCTAGTGGTCAGCTGCAGGTGTAACCTTGTTTTATTCTAGTGGTCAGCTACAGGTGTAACCTTGTTTTATTCTAGTGGTCAGCTACAGGTGTAACCTTGTTTTATTCTAGTGGTCAGCTGCAGGTGTAACCTTGTTTTATTCTAGTGGTCAGCTACAGGTGTAACCTTGTTTTATTCTAGTGGTCAGCTACAGGTGTAACCTTGTTTTATTCTAGTGGTCAGCTACAGGTGTAACCTTGTTTTATTCTAGTGGTCAGCTATAGGTGTAACCTTGTTTTATTCTAGTGGTCAGCTACAGGTGTAACCTTGTTTTATTCTAGTGGTCAGCTACAGGTGTACCTTGTTTTATTCTAGTGGTCAGCTACAGGTGTAACCTTGTTTTATTCTAGTGGTCAGCTACAGGTGTAACCTTGTTTTATTCTCTCAGTCAGCTACAGGTGTAACCTTGTTTTATTCTAGTGGTCAGCTACAGGTGTAACCTTGTTTTATTCTAGTGGTCAGCTACAGGTGTAACCTTGTTTTATTCTAGTGGTCAGCTGCAGGTGTAACCTTGTTTTATTCTCTCAGTCAGCTACAGGTGTAACCTTGTTTTATTCTAGTGGTCAGCTACAGGTGTAACCTTGTTTTATTCTAGTGGACAGCTGCAGGTGTAACCTTGTTTTATTCTAGTGGTCAGCTACAGGTGTAACCTTGTTTTATTCTAGTGGTCAGCTACAGGTGTAACCTTGTTTTATTCTAGTGGTCAGCTACAGGTGTAACCTTGTTTTATTCTAGTGGTCAGCTACAGGTGTAACCTTGTTTTATTCTAGTGGTCAGCTACAGGTGTAACCTTGTTTTATTCTAGTGGTCAGCTACAGGTGTAACCTTGTTTTATTCTAGTGGTCAGCTACAGGTGTAACCTTGTTTTATTCTAGTGGTCAGCTACAGGTGTAACCTTGTTTTATTCTAGTGGTCAGCTACAGGTGTAACCTTGTTTTATTCTAGTGGTCAGCTACAGGTGTAACCTTGTTTTATTCTAGTGGTCAGCTACAGGTGTAACCTTGTTTTATTCTAGTGGTCAGCTACAGGTGTAACCTTGTTTTATTCTAGTGGTCAGCTACAGGTGTAACCTTGTTTTATTCTAGTGGTCAGCTACAGGTGTAACCTTGTTTTATTCTAGTGGTCAGCTGCAGGTGTAACCTTGTTTTATTCTAGTGGTCAGCTACAGGTGTAACCTTGTTTTATTCTAGTGGACAGCTGCAGGTGTAACCTTGTTTTATTCTAGTGGTCAGCTACAGGTGTAACCTTGTTTTATTCTAGTGGATAGCTGCAGGTGTAACCTTGTTTTATTCTAGTGGTCAGCTGCAGGTGTAACCTTGTTTTATTCTAGTGGTCAGCTACAGGTGTAACCTTGTTTTATTCTAGTGGTCAGCTGCAGGTGTAACCTTGTTTTATTCTAGTGGTCAGCTACAGGTGTAACCTTGTTTTATTCTAGTGGTCAGCTACAGGTGTAACCTTGTTTTATTCTAGTGGTCAGCTACAGGTGTAACCTTGTTTTATTCTAGTGGTCAGCTACAGGTGTAACCTTGTTTTATTCTAGTGGTCAGCTACAGGTGTAACCTTGTTTTATTCTAGTGGTCAGCTACAGGTGTAACCTTGTTTTATTCTAGTGGTCAGCTACAGGTGTAACCTTGTTTTATTCTAGTGGTCAGCTACAGGTGTAACCTTGTTTTATTCTAGTGGACAGCTGCAGGTGTAACCTTGTTTTATTCTAGTGGTCAGCTACAGGTGTAACCTTGTTTTATTCTAGTGGATAGCTGCAGGTGTAACCTTGTTTTATTCTAGTGGTCAGCTACAGGTGTAACCTTGTTTTATTCTAGTGGTCAGCTACAGGTGTAACCTTGTTTTATTCTAGTGGTCAGCTACAGGTGTAACCTTGTTTTATTCTAGTGGTCAGCTACAGGTGTAACCTTGTTTTATTCTAGTGGTCAGCTACAGGTGTAACCTTGTTTTATTCTAGTGGTCAGCTACAGGTGTAACCTTGTTTTATTCTAGTGGTCAGCTACAGGTGTAACCTTGTTTTATTCTAGTGGTCAGCTACAGGTGTAACCTTGTTTTATTCTAGTGGTCAGCTACAGGTGTAACCTTGTTTTATTCTAGTGGTCAGCTACAGGTGTAACCTTGTTTTATTCTAGTGGTCAGCTGCAGGTGTAACCTTGTTTTATTCTAGTGGTCAGCTACAGGTGTAACCTTGTTTTATTCTAGTGGTCAGCTGCAGGTGTAACCTTGTTTTATTCTAGTGGTCAGCTACAGGTGTAACCTTGTTTTATTCTAGTGGTCAGCTGTAGGTGTAACCTTGTTTTATTCTAGTGGTCAGCTACAGGTGTAACCTTGTTTTATTCTAGTGGTCAGCTACAGGTGTAACCTTGTTTTATTCTAGTGGTCAGCTACAGGTGTAACCTTGTTTTATTCTAGTGGTCAGCTACAGGTGTAACCTTGTTTTATTCTAGTGGTCAGCTACAGGTGTAACCTTGTTTTATTCTAGTGGTCAGCTACAGGTGTAACCTTGTTTTATTCTAGTGGTCAGCTACAGGTGTAACCTTGTTTTATTCTAGTGGTCAGCTACAGGTGTAACCTTGTTTTATTCTAGTGGTCAGCTACAGGTGTAACCTTGTTTTATTCTAGTGGTCAGCTACAGGTGTAACCTTGTTTTATTCTAGTGGTCAGCTACAGGTGTAACCTTGTTTTATTCTAGTGGTCAGCTACAGGTGTAACCTTGTTTTATTCTAGTGGTCAGCTACAGGTGTAACCTTGTTTTATTCTAGTGGTCAGCTACAGGTGTAACCTTGTTTTATTCTAGTGGACAGCTGCAGGTGTAACCTTGTTTTATTCTAGTGGTCAGCTACAGGTGTAACCTTGTTTTATTCTAGTGGATAGCTGCAGGTGTAACCTTGTTTTATTCTAGTGGTCAGCTACAGGTGTAACCTTGTTTTATTCTAGTGGTCAGCTACAGGTGTAACCTTGTTTTATTCTAGTGGTCAGCTACAGGTGTAACCTTGTTTTATTCTAGTGGTCAGCTACAGGTGTAACCTTGTTTTATTCTAGTGGTCAGCTACAGGTGTAACCTTGTTTTATTCTAGTGGTCAGCTACAGGTGTAACCTTGTTTTATTCTAGTGGTCAGCTACAGGTGTAACCTTGTTTTATTCTAGTGGTCAGCTACAGGTGTAACCTTGTTTTATTCTAGTGGTCAGCTACAGGTGTAACCTTGTTTTATTCTAGTGGACAGCTGCAGGTGTAACCTTGTTTTATTCTAGTGGTCAGCTACAGGTGTAACCTTGTTTTATTCTAGTGGTCAGCTACAGGTGTAACCTTGTTTTATTCTAGTGGTCAGCTACAGGTGTAACCTTGTTTTATTCTAGTGGTCAGCTACAGGTGTAACCTTGTTTTATTCTAGTGGTCAGCTACAGGTGTAACCTTGTTTTATTCTAGTGGTCAGCTACAGGTGTAACCTTGTTTTATTCTAGTGGTCAGCTACAGGTGTAACCTTGTTTTATTCTAGTGGTCAGCTACAGGTGTAACCTTGTTTTATTCTAGTGGTCAGCTACAGGTGTAACCTTGTTTTATTCTAGTGGTCAGCTACAGGTGTAACCTTGTTTTATTCTAGTGGTCAGCTACAGGTGTAACCTTGTTTTATTCTAGTGGTCAGCTACAGGTGTAACCTTGTTTTATTCTAGTGGTCAGCTACAGGTGTAACCTTGTTTTATTCTAGTGGTCAGCTACAGGTGTAACCTTGTTTTATTCTAGTGGTCAGCTACAGGTGTAACCTTGTTTTATTCTAGTGGTCAGCTACATTGTCCAGGTGTATACTGGCAATAAGAGTTTTGCTGGGACAGATGCCAATGTTTACATCAACATATTTGGGGAGCTGGGGGACACAGGGAACCGCCCACTCAAGTACTCCAAGACCAGTAAAAATAAATTTGAGAAAGGAAAGGTCAGTCTTCATGGGTTGACTGAATTTGTAATTACAGTTACAATTTTGCAAGAAAGTCTGAGTGTTGACTTCATCTTATCAAAAATATTTTATAGACATGAAAAGCTGGTTTCAAATTGTTCCAAATTTTTGTTGCCAGAAAGCATATTTTTCTACCTAAATTGAATATTTGTGCAAAAAGTACAAAATCACTTCCGGTTTTATTAAGGTTAGAAATAGTTAAACAAATAATTACTGGTAATATAGTATTTTAGCAAAAACTTTTATTTTTAATTTGGATTAGTAGAGTCAGGGTGTTTGGTGATAGGAGATTTTAATTATATAAATCCAATACTTGGCTATCATGGAAAACAACTGTTCTGACTTTAATAGTTTTAATCTCCCCGGCCATTCCTGTTGACTTGCAGGAGAGGTTGAGGGCAGTTTTTTTAAATATTTGAATTGATAAAATAATTCTAAACAGCTTTTCAACGGCTTATATTCAAAACAAAAATATGAAAATGAGTGTAATCGATGGTTACCAAACAACTTTAAGGTTTTAAAATGTAACTAATTTTTATCACTTGACATATTTTTGTAAAGATTTTTTTAAAACTTAGTACATAGACTTTTCAAGACTATTGTGATTGTAAATAAATATATGTTAAATGGTTGGTGTTACAACCCTAATGTTATACATTTAATTTTGTTCTTGCAATTTTAGATGGATGAGTTTGAAATTGAGGCGGTTACCTTGCACAAGTTGAAGAAGATCAGGATAGGTCATGATGGCAAAGGTCCAGGGGCTGGGTGGTTTTTGGATAAAGTGGTCATTTTTTGTAAAGAGGAGAAGGATAAATTTGGAGAGGTCACTTTTAATTGTAACCGCTGGCTAGCAGAGGACAAGGATGACGGCCTCATTGAAAGAGAGATAACTGTGGGAGGAACACAAATGCTCAGCAGTAAGAGCCTTTGGTCATTCTCAAACTGATAATATAGGAACCTTTGATCATTACATTCTCAGACTGATTACATAAGAACTTTTTGTCATTACATTCACAAACTGATAATAAAGGAACCTTTTGTTATTATATTTTCAGACTATAGGAACATTTAGTCACAAACTTACAACTACATCCCTACACCTACAAACTTGACCACATAACACACCTACAAGTTTCCAACTAATAAACCCACAACAACCTATACCACACAACACAACTGCAACCAGTTACAACTCCGAAAATAGCAAGTTTCACCACTTGTAGCCACATTTAGCAGCTTACAGGTTTTTGTCAACCCCGTTTAGCAGCTAGATTATCCTTACAGGTTTTGGTTAACCCCATTTAGCAGCTAGATTATCCTTACAGGTTTTGGTTAACCCCATTTAGCAGCTAGATTATCCTTACAGGTTTTGGTTAACCCCATTTAGCAGCTAGATTATCCTTACAGGTTTTGGTTAACCCCGTTTAGCAGCTAGATTATCCTTACAGGTTTTGGTTAACCCCGTTTAGCAGCTAGATTATCCTTACAGGTTTTGGTTAACCCCATTTAGCAGCTAGATTATCCTTACAGGTTTTGGTTAACCCCGTTTAGCAGCTAGATAATCCTTACAGGTTTTGGTTAACCCCATTTAGCAGCTAGATTATCCTTACAGGTTTCATTTGACTGAGATTTGCCCCACCCCCACTCTCTCGTCTTTAGCCACATCGTACCATGTGTCAGTCAGGACGGGTGATAAGAAAGGTGCCGGCACTGACGCCAATGTTTTCCTGAAAATTTTTGGCACTCGGGGAGACACAGGCATCCTGCAGCTGAGACAATCTGAGAATTCTAGCAACAAATTTGAGAAGGGGAAGACAGACCTGTTCAAGCTGGAGGCTGAGGATATTGGGAAGGTCTGGAAAACATTAACCCCACCTCTAGCCTGTCTCCATTAACCCCACCTCTAGCCTGTCTCCATTAACCCCACCTCTAGCCTGTCTCCATTAACCCCACCTCTAGCCTGTCTCCATTAACCCCACCTCTAGCCTGTCTCCATTAACCCCACCTCTAGCCTGTCTCCATTAACCCCACCTCTAGCCTGTCTCCATTAACCCCACCTCTAGCCTGTCTCCATTAACCCTTTAACACTTGCCGTCTCCTTTAACTCATAAAAGAGGAATCACTTTCATGTTTTACCAGAATTCCAATAAGAATTATTTATTATTCGGTCCAATGGAGTTAACCCTTTACCACCTGCCTTCTCTTTACATCAAGCTTGCTGTGCCACTAACCTATTTGTACCCACATTACAAGTCATGTGATTCTCATCATCTTGAAACACACGGTTGATTACATTATTGCATGCAAGCTAATTATATTTGCACTAAAATAAAAAACCAGGCAACTTTTTGTGTCAAATAAAAAATGTGAAATTATTTTTTTTAATGAGTTGTTTAGAAAACATAAATGTGTCTATTTTTACGCTGATCAAATCAATTATGTATGAGAACTAGCAATTTTTTTTTTTGTAAATAATTTTTCTGAGTGATGTGTAAATGCTTAGGTGGGTGTGTGGAAGGTTGTTCCACTGTGTATGGGAAGTTAACTTGAAAACATTTACATTGTCCCTAAAGTTACCAAACTAACATGCTTTGTATTAGAGAAATGTAAACATTTCCTACAGTAGCAAAATAACATGCTTTGTATTAGAGAAATGTAAACATTTCCTACAGTAGCAAACTAACATTCTCTGTATTAGAGAAATGTAAACATTTCCTACAGTAGCAAACTAACATGCTCTGTATTAGAGAAATGTAAACATTTCCTACAGTAGCAAACTAACATGCTTTGTATTAGAGAAACGTAAACATTTCCTACAGTAGCAAACTAACATGCTCTGTATTAGAGAAATGTAAACATTTCCTACAGTAGCAAAATAACATTCTCTGTATTAGAGAAATGTAAACATTTCCTACAGTAGCAAAATAACATTCTCTGTATTAGAGAAATGTAAACATTTCCTACAGTAGCAAACTAACATGCTTTGTATTACTATTGATCTGACTTCTGTAATATGAAAAGAGCATGAAGAACAGTTTTTGAATGATTGAAAACACAAACTCATCTTATCAAAATGAAGATAATTGTTAAAATGAAATGCAAAAATGTTTCAGATCAAGAAAATCAGGATAGGCCATGACAATAGCAAACTTGGAGCTGCTTGGTATTTAGAGGAAGTTCTCATCAAAGTGCCTTCAAAGGGAGAGCATTATTCATTTGCTTGTAGAAAGTGGTTGTCTGACAAGGAGCAAACTGAAGTGGATTTAGAGCCCTTAGTTACTCAAGCTGTTGAAAAAAGTTTGTTTTATCTTGTTACTACAATCATAATACATTGTGCTTTGTCATTTTGTCTGCCCTAGTTAACCATGTGCCCTGTTGTGTCTGCCCTAGTTAACCATGTGCCCTGTTGTCTGCCCTAGTTAACCATGTGCCCTGTTGTCTGCCCTAGTTAACTATGTGCCCTGTTGTGTCTGCCCTAGTTAACCATGTGCCCTGTTGTGTCTGCCCTAGTTAACCATGTGCCCTGTTGTGTCTGCCCTAGTTAACCATGTGCCCTGTTGTGTCTGCCCTAGTTAACCATGTGCCCTGTTGTGTCTGCCCTAGTTAACCATGTGCCCTGTTGTCTGCCCTAGTTAACCATGTGCCCTGTTGTGTCTGCCCTAGTTAACCATGTGCCCTGTTGTGTCTGCCCTAGTTAACCATGTGCCCTGTTGTCTGCCCTAGTTAACCATGTGCCCTGTTGTGTCTGCCCTAGTTAACCATGTGCCCTGTTGTCTGCCCTAGTTAACCATGTGCCCTGTTGTCTGCCACAGCCATACCCTATGAGGTGACCATATGGACAGGCACTGAGAAAGGTGCAGGAACTGATGCCAATGTTTTCATCCAGATGTATGGAGACAGTGGTAAAACACAAGAAATTCCCTTAGATAACAAATCTGACAATTTTGAAAAAGGTCAAGTTGACAAGTTCAAGGTTAGTTGGTTTTATTACATGTCTTATACCTTATTTGTTACATTTAAAATAAAGTGGCATTGATCTCCCCTAAACTTTATCATATATCCTAATATATAAACGCCCATGTGCAGACCTCTCTCTCTCTCTCTCTCTGCAACATTTTTTAGGCTATGTGATCTGTATGTTCAGCGATATATGGAGAACTTAAAGATACAGACTTTTGTTGAAAATAATTTGGATGTTTTAAATCTATCAACAAAATTTTATTTAAAGAAAAAAAAATAAACCAATATAAAGTAGAAACAAATTTTTTATTATGCAACAGGAAAAGTGTTTATGGTTGTGACAAGAATACAATGACATCACATGCAACATGTTTAAACTACTGAAAGAATAAAAAAACGAATGGAGAAATGAACTATTTCATTCAAATTTGATATAGATCTATAGACATACGCTATGAAATTTATACAATTTTCTCTCCCAAACTTAAGGCAAATTACTTTTTTTTTAAAAACAGCATACATTCCATTGAACAGCAGAGTTTTTAACAGAATCATTTAAGTCTCTTAAACATTGTATTCATTTCTGCCCATGATGGACAGGGGAATCAAGTTTTTTTTGTTGTTGAGAAATTAGAAAAAGCATAAAGTACTATTTCTTGTCACCCAAAAACACATAAAATTCTACAGAAACCAGAAAATAAGATCTTTTACTTATATAAGAAATTTCTTCTACCTAACTGAAACAGTATTCAAGTTAAAGATTTTTGAGAAACCGAAAAAGTGCCACTTCTAGTAACCAGAAATTGCTCAAAAGTTAAAAGAAAACTAAAGATTTGATATATAGGCCTATATATATATTTTTGTCAACCTAGCTGTACTTTAGTAGGCCTAAGTACAAACGGACGGACAAGATTGCAAACAAACTAAGTGGTAAAAAAAAGTTGAGATTTGTAAAAATCTTTGAGATTTTACAAATTCCAATTTTGATTTTGTACATGATTACAATACTTGCCCTATACTCTGTATACAAGAAAGTAAAAGGGGGGCAAAACTTTTTAAAATGTGACAAAAAATGTTTCCTGTAAATAAGAATGTGACATTTTGTGACCTAGATTGAAGCTCCAGATGTAGGGACTTTGCTCAAGGTGCGCATTGGTCACGATGGTGCTGGCATGATGTCAGGATGGTTTCTGGAAAAGGTGAGTGTGTAGATAGGTGGGGTGGGCATGTTGTATGTGTGGTGGGCATGTTTTTGTGTGGGCATGTTGTATGTGTGTATAGGTGGGGTGGGCATATTGTATGAGTAAGGCATGAACTGCCACATGAAACACTACATGGAACATTTTACCCCTTCAGATGTTGATACAGAGAGAAGCATCCCATAAAAAATCACTCAAGCGTAAGTTGTCTGAGCAGGACAGACGAAAGTCCATCCTTCGTTCTGATGAAGATTCTGAGAGCCCCTCATCACCTGGCCGACGGCGCAGTAATTTTAAAGGGTCAAGGTTAGATAAAGCATTGCTAAATTTTAAAATGACAAAAGGTGTGTAAGTTGGGTTGTGTGTATTGAACATTTGTCTCTCTCAAGGTGTGTAAGTTGGGTTGTGTGTATTGAACACGTGTCTCTCTCAATGTGTGTAAGTTGGGTTGTGTTTATTGAACACGTGTCTCTCCCCACCCTCCCCAGGTCTCAACTAGAAGTTCTGGAGGAGGAGGATGAACATGCAGACACAGAAGATTATTGGTTCTTTGTTAACAAGTGGTTCTCAAAGAGTGATGGGGACAAACTCATTGTAAGGGAGCTAATACCAACAGATGAGAAGGGGAGGCCACTCAAAGGGGCTCTAGAAGGTACATTTCTGTCCATAGTAATCATTTCTTTGTTACATTTCTGTATTTATTAATTGATGAGTCTTTTGTCACCAAAATAAATGCTAGTTGATGGGATTTTTAAAAAAAATATTTTTTAAACTGTCTGAATTTTTGTCTCTAGATTTGCATTAATAACACGATGAACAATCCACTACCATTATATAACTTTGATCTGACATTATGTTATAACATCGACCTGACATTATCATGTTACAACTTTGGCATGACATAATGTTATAACTTTGGCCTGACATCATGTTATAACTTTGGCCTGACATCATGTTATAACATGGACCTGACATAATGTTATAACTTTGGCCTGACATAATGTTATAACTTTGGCCTGACATCATGTTATAACTTTGGCCTGACATAATGTTATAACTTTGATCTGACATGTTATAACTTTGGCCTGACATAATGTTATAACTTTGGTCTGACATAATGTTATAACTTTGGCCTGACATAATGTTATAACTTTGGCCTGACATAATGTTATAACTTTGGTCTGACATAATGTTATAACTTTGGCCTGACATAATGTTATAACTTTGGCCTGACATAATGTTATAACTTTGGTCTGACATAATGTTATAACTTTGGCCTGACATAATGTTACAACTTTGGCCTGACATAATGTTATAACTTTGGCCTGACATAATGTTATAACTTTGGCCTGACATAATGTTATAACTTTGGCTTGACATAATGTTATAACTTTGGTCTGACATAATGTTATAACTTTGGCCTGACATAATGTTACAACTTTGGCCTGACATAATGTTATAACTTTGGCCTGACATAATGTTATAACTTTGGCCTGACATAATGTTATAACTTTGGCCTGACATAATGTTATAACTTTGGCCTGACATAATGTTATAACTTTGGCCTGACATAATGTTATAACTTTGGCCTGACATAATGTTATAACTTTGGCCTGACATAATGTTATAACTTTGGCCTGACATAATGTTATAACTTTGGCCTGACATAATGTTATAACTTTGGTCTGACATCATGTTATAACTTTGGTCTGACATAATGTTATAACTTTGGCCTGACATAATGTTATAACTTTGGCCTGACATAATGTTATAACTTTGGCCTGACATAATGTTATAACTTTGGTCTGACATCATGTTATAACTTTGGCCTGACATAATGTTATAACTTTGGCCTGACATAATGTTATAACTTTGATCTGACATAATGTTATAACATGGACCTGACAACTTTAATATAAACTAATTTGGTGTAAAGAAAATTGTAATAGAACTCATGTGTTTCCAAAAATAGCTAGAAAAGTATTTCAAATGTGATGAGTAAAAAATGAGTTGTGTATTATTGACAGATGAGTCTGAGGAAGACAGTAAGTAATGTAGGCATGCATGGGCGTTGTCATTTTATTATGTCTGCTTTTAAACATTTCACATACAGTAAAACACATCACACATTCTATAAATCACACAATAAAACATTCACAGGTAAAATAAATAGAATAAAAAAACTATCTACTAGTTGGGTCTGTACAATTCAAACTTTGACATGAATAAGCCTTATTGTTTCTATTAAAAAAAATTCTAGAAAATCTTCCCAAGCTTTCATGTGCCATAACCAATGAAATGTTTCACTTTTGGTCATGTGATGGTGGTAACCCCAGTAGCTCCCAGTCAAACAAAAATTATAAACTACTTTAAAATAACAAATAATTTGCTAACGACTTTTAGTTATCACCTTGGAGTTATCCTTGTCATAATCTTAACACATCAGTTTGTTAGTTATTAAAGAACCATACCAGTTTACTATAAAAACCCATCAGTTTGTTAGTTATTAAAGAACCATACCAGTTTACTATTAAAACACATCAGTTTGTTAGTTATTAAAGAACCATACCAGTTTACTATTAAAACCCATCAGTTTGTTAGTTATTAAAGAACCATACCAGTTTACTATTAAAACACATCAGTTTGTTAGTTATTAAAGAACCATACCAGTTTACTATTAAAAACCCATCAGTTTGTTAGTTATTGAAAAATCACATGTTTGAAAACCACATGTAAAGTAGCTTCATTAATCAGCTCTAGCCTATTCCCTGCTTCATATATGGACCTTTGGCTTCATGAATTAAATCTTTGTCATGATTTAACTGATTACATCTAAGAAGTATAAATCCTGCCTTTAATTGCAACTTGCATGCAGTATTAAAAAAAAATGTAAATTCAGCTTAAAATATGTTGATTTAAATTGTTAAAGTATTTGAAATCCTCAGCAAACAATGAGAGAGGTTTAAAACATTTTTTACTAATAGAGCTCCTCCCAGCACTAAGCTTTTATTTGGAAAAAAATTCTTTCATAAAAAATGATTGTTTAAGAAAAATAAGTTTTTAATTAAAACAATTTGAAAAGTGGTTGTTTGTTTATCAGCAAATGGTGCTTTGTCCTGGTAGCTCTGTTTGTAAATATTCTGAAAGCAAATCTTGATTCCCATATTTTAACTATTTCAAGTAGTTATATTGTAAATTAAATGTAGGTTTCCATAAAAAAAAATTTAAAAAGTAAATTTGTTACATTATAACGTAGATTCCCTTATTTTAACTATGTAATGTGGTTACAATTTAAAGTATGTTTCTAAATTTTATAAATATATAGTATTTATATTATAATGGTATTTCCCATATTTTAAAAAATTTGACTTGTTACATTATGTTTCAATTGATCGACAGCTTGGACATGTAACTCTACTATTGGTTACCTAACAGACTGACCAGTCAGCTGACATGCTGACCAGTCAGCTGACACGCTGACCAGTCAGCTGACACGCTGACCAGTCAGCTGACACGCTGACCAGTCAGCTGACACACTGACCCATTGGCTGACCAGTTGGCTGACACACTGACCAGTCAGCTGACACACTGACCAGTCGGCTGACACATTGACCAGTCGGCTGACACACTGACCAGTCGGCTGACACATTGACCAGTCGGCTGACACACTGACCAGTCGGCTGACACACTGACCAGTCGGCTGACACACTGATCAGTTGGCTGACACACTGACCAGTTGTTGACAGACACACTGACCAGTCGGCTAACACACTGACCAGTCGGCTGACACACTGACCAGTCGGCTGACACACTGACCAGTCGGCTGACACACTGACCAGTCGGCTGACACACTGACCAGTCGGCTGACACACTGACCAGTCGGCTGACACACTGACCAGTTGTTGACAGACACACAGACCAGTTGTTGACAGACACACTGACCAGTTGGCTGACACACTGACCAGTTGGCTGACACACTGACCAGTTGGCTGACACACTGACCAGTTGGCTGACACACTGACCAGTTGTTGACAGAAACACTGACCAGTTAGCAGACATGCTGGCCAGTTGTTGACAGACACGCTGGCCAGTTCTTGACAGACACTGTCCAGTTATTGACAGACACACTGGCCATTTGGCTAACAGATATGTCCAGTTCTCATACTATAGATGTGTGTAGCTACATTGTTGAGTGCCATGTAATAATCTGCTTTCTTCAATACTAGCGTGAAGTAGCTGTGTTTACTTGTCTTGACAAATTTATAGCATGTTTTAGCTTTGGGTTTCTTTGTGTATCCCATGGCAAGATTTAAAACAAAATATTTCTTCTGATCAATTTTTTATAATTTTTTGTAAGGTTATGGTTAGTATATAAACTTGTGGATTTTTTTCTACTGCTATATAAATGAATAATGTTGCTTGTGAAAATGTTGGTCCAATAATTGCTAATGATGAAGCTAAGTTTTTGGGGAAGCTGATTGCCCTTTTGGGTGGTCTAGTGTGACATTGATGGCCCTCTGTTTATTGGGATGTTGGTGGTCTATTTTTTAGTAGGACATTGATGGCCCTCTGTTTATTGGGATGTTGGTGGTCTAGTGGGACATTGATGGCCCTCTGTTTATTGGGATGTTGGTGGTCTAGTGGGACATTGATGGCCCTCTGTTTATTAGGATGTTGGTGGTCTATTTTTTAGTGGGACATTGATGGTCCTCTGTTTATTGGGATGTTGGTGGTCTAGTGGGACATTGATGGCCCTCTGTTTATTGGGATGTTGGTGGTCTATTTTTTAGTGGGACATTGATGGCCCTCTGTTTATTGGGATGTTGGTGGTCTATTTTTTAGTAGGACATTGATGGCCCTCTGTTTATTGGGATGTTGGTGGTCTAGTGGGACATTGTTGGCCCTCTGTTTATTGAGATGTTGGTGGTCTAGTGGGACATTGATGGTCCTCTGTTTATTAGGATGTTGGTGGTCTAGTGGGACATTGATGGCCCTCTGTTTATTGGGATGTTGGTGGTCTAGTGGGACATTGATGGTCCTCTGTTTATTGGGATGTTGGTGGTCTATTTTTGTTATTTCAAACCAAGTGTTAACATGTTTGTTTTATCTTGACCAGAGCTGGAATATGTGGTCAAGGTGCGGACAGGTGATGTCAGGTTTGCTGGCACAGATGCCAATGTTTACCTGACAATTTACGGGGCCAACGGTGACACAGGTGAGAGATATCTGGAACAGTCTAAAACAAACATCAACAAATTTGAGCAGAATCAAGTAGGTGTAACTTTCACCTCAGTATTTCTCTACATTCTTGTACATGACATGTACTAGAAATATTTCATACTTAAAATTGAATTCCTTTACAGGAGGATATTTTCACAATTAAAGCGGTTGACCTTGGCATCTTAAACAAGGTGAATATCCGTCATGACAACAAGGGTGGCGGTGCTGACTGGTTTCTGGACTCAGTTGAAGTGGAGGACACTAAAAATAAAAAGAGGTTGTTTTGCCATTTTTGCCCCTCTGTTCATTGCTGCTTCAATATTTATTGCAATGTTCTCCTTCTGTTTGGCAATATTTTCTAATTCAATTTTTACCCACTTTTAATGCAGAGTTTTATTCTAATACTACACCAACATTTATAGAAGTAGAAGTAAAAAGCAGAGGTCAATCATGTAATTTAGTGAAGGTATTCAGTTGTAAGCAGTATTTACTAGTAAATGAATAAACTATATTATGCTGAATATAGAGATTATAGGTCTCTATATATTTATTTAGGTATGTTTATTATTTAATTCACTATGGCCTTTGGTTGGTTTGTTCACTTTCCTGATACATTTGTCTCCAAGGGAAACGCGAGAATATCTTTTTAGGCTTTAAATTAGTCATTCAATATTAATTAAATGATTACTAAATTCAATGTGGGTCGGAATAGTTGAATTGTAGAGCATATTGGCTGCAGCCTGAAGGTCTAGAGTTCACATCTCAGTTTGGACTTGTGACTGTGGGATGTCCCTGAGTCCACCCAGCTCTGATGGGTACCTGACTCAGTTTGGGGAAAGTAAAGGCAGCTGGGCATAGTGCTGACCATACCATCCCTTTATATGCTGAGGTCACAAAACATGAACTCTACTTCATCTACCTGATTGATCACTAGGTCTAAAGTGGAACTTTTTAAATTCAATCATAGAAAAAGGGAGATAATAGGATTAAATTTGACTAATCGCCCAGTGTAAGAAAGTTTTGTGAACTGTTTTCACTCCTGAGAACCAACCATTGTTGTTAGGAAATAGCAGATAATTGCCAGCCACTGATGGGGTTTCAAAGCAAATAGTTTAAATTGTAAAGTGAGCTGGAAATAGTTTTTAAAAACTTACAATGAAATCTATTACACATTTTTATTTTTATTTTTTCTCAAATGGGGGGAGGGGGGGGGGTTAAATCAGTCAAGTTTTTTTAATAATTAGGCTCCAATATGATGGAAATTGAACTTAAATATCTCCAACCTAACATGTCATTTGAAAACCTAATTGTAATCTAGTTTATTTCATATGAAAACTCTAACCCAAAGCAAACTCTCATTAAAACATTAACCTTAATATATTAATTAAAACACTAACCTTAATGCTCATTATTTTCTTCTCAGCTATTTTTTCCCCTGCCAGCGCTGGTTGGCTGTATCTAAAGATGACGGTCAGCTGTCCAGAGATCTGATGCCAGTTGACCAGGCATTAAAGAGAAAATTATCCAAGAAGGATTCAAAGACAAATATTAGAGATGAGATTGGCTTGGAGGTCAAAGGTTATATCAAAGTCGTTTTAAAAATTGTCTTTTCTCTTTAGGCTAAGTTAAAAATTGTACTTAAGTTTGACACACACAAAAATTTAAATCAAGTTGGACATGTTTTTTTTTTTTTAAATTGTTCTAATTGAAATTTGACCTTGTGTTTTAACAAAAAATGATACTAAAGTTTTACTGTGTCTTTCCCTCAGCTGCCCTTACCACTTACCATGTCAAGGTTTTCACTGGGGACAAATTTGGTGCAGGAACTGATGCCAATGTTTATGTCATTTTGTTTGGTGACAAGGACAGCTCCAGTAAGTTATCTGGGAGTTTTTTCTTTGAAACTTCAATGGCTTGATTTGTTTTCCCATCCTTTGTCACAGTGCTGCTTGATTGGTTTGTTTTCTCTAGACAAAATGTTAGTGAAATGTTTTGTTTTCTCTAGACAAAATGTTACTGAAATGTTTTGTTTTCTCTAGACAAAATGTTACTGAAATGTTTTGTTTTCTTTAGACAAAATGTTAGTGAAATGTTTTGTTTTCTCTAGACAAATTGTTACTGAAATGTTTTGTTTTCTTCAGACAAAATGTTACTAAAATGTTTTGTTTTCTTTAGACAAAATGTTACTGAAATGTTTTGTTTTCTCTAGACAAAATGTTACTGAAATGTTTTGTTTTCTTCAGACAAAATGTTCCTGAAATGTTTTGTTTTCTTTAGACAAATTGTTCCTGAAATCTTCAATGAACAACAAAAACAAATTTGAGAGGAACCAGATGGATGAGTTTATTTTGGAGCTGGCCAACATTGGAGAATTAAAAAAAATAAAGTAAGTGTGACCTTACATGCTGGTCCTACAGCAGGTTGGGCCAATGTGACATCACATGCTGGCTCTCATATAAAAAGTAAAGCATCCTTACTGGGTTTTTTTGCTTTCAGTGTCATACATCTTTGAAATAGTTAATTATAAATAACTAACCTCACCTAGCTAAACTGTGCCTAACATTAATGTATTTGTGCATAAATGACTAGGATTGGACATGACAATGCAGGAGGTGGTGGAGCCTGGTTTCTTGATAAAGTCCTCATCGATGCGCCTTCTCTTGGACGAGCCTGGCTATTTCCCTGTGGCCGCTGGCTGTCTGATTCTGATGATGACCGCATGATTGAGAGGGAGCTGTTTCCACAGGAACTGGCCACAGAGGAGTACAAGCCATGTCAGTAGTGCTTAGGATATGTTGCTAGTGCTTAGGATATGTCACTAGTACTTTGGATATGTTGCTAGTACTTTGGATATGTCGCTAGTGCTTAGGATATGTTGCTAGTGCTTAGGATATGTCACTAGTACTTTGGATATGTCGCTAGTACTTTGGATATGTCACTAGTACTTTGGATATGTTGCTAGTACTTTGGATATGTTGCTAGTACTTTGGATATGTCGCTAGTACTTTGGATATATTGTTAGTGTTTAAGATATATTATTGATTGACCTGGCAACCTCTGTTGTTGAGGTACAAAAAAAAGTCCAACAATACCATACAAAAATTTCTGGTAATGAAATGTGTTTGACCCTAGGTATTCCATATGAGATCACAACATACACAAGCAACATATCAGGCGCTGGGACTGATGCTATGGTGCACATAGCCTTGTATGGCAAGGAAGTTGCCACACAGCAGAAAGATCTGTGTAGCAACAAGCGGGAGTGTAAGGCAAAGTTCAACAAGGGTTCAGTGGACAAGTTCATTGTAGAGGTAAGTCAAGTCTGGGGCTCAGTGGACAAGTTCATTGTAGAGGTAAGTCAAGTCTGGGGCTCAGTGAACAAGTTCATTGAGGGGTAAGTCAAGTCAGTTCTGTCAAACATTTTTTACTGCCATCAGTGATACAAGAAATGATCCTACTTATATGTTTTAAAATTAGTTTTATAAGATTAAAAAACAGACTTAAATTATTTTAGAGATTTAACATTTCATTTAAAATATTGTGAAAGTCCCAACTTCTTGGTAAATATGACATAAATACACTTTCAGCTAGAGGATGTTGGAGATACCATAGAGAAACTTCGTATTGGCCATGATGATTCAGGTTTTGGTGCAGCATGGCATTTAGACAAGGTTGAGGTCAGGCGCTTGCATGACACTGGCAAGGTGAGAAAACTCTTAGAGCAGAACATGACAGAAAATGTAGTGCTGAAAACAAAACTTTATTTGTGTCAACAACATTTTTAATTTGTTGAAAAAGTTGCAATTTGTGACACTGTTTAAGTTAAATGGTTGTGTATTTTTCTTTTCTGCCTTCTGGATTTCTACAGAATACACACGTAAGTTTATCTTTTATAACTGCTTGTAGCCATAGCACATGATAGGCAGATAAGTTTAGGGGCTAGAGCCATTTTACCAACAAATATTTCAAAGTATCACAAAAACCATTGTTTTGATTAATGATAACACCTAGAAATATCAATTCTTTTGCTTGAATTATTATCAATGTCCTATATGATGCATGAATTTTTGTCAGTGTATCAATGTCCTATATGATGCAATTTTTTAAATATGTATAGCTGTGTAGAATAAATATCTATGTATAATAATCTTTCACTATTCATTTTATACCCTCTTAGTGTTGACAAGTAGGCCTAAAGACTATTTCATGACTGTTTTATATTTAATATTAAGTATATTGCTAAACACATATCTTTTCATTGTATTGTAAGGTTTACGCCTCTTGTAGCATTTTCTACCAAATGTTGAAGTCTCAAGGATGGTTCCTAATTTCTTTATTTCTTCCTGAACAGTTTACATCTATTCTTAAAGTTGCCTGGGTTGCACACATCTATTGTAGACTGTCACGGCTGTCTCTGTGAATATAGTAACCCTCCTTATTGACCGTGTCCCACTAGCTACCTATCTTTTGGTTCCTGGCCCCATATATAGTCCTAGTCTATCCCGGCCCAATGTATGGGCCTAGTCTACCCTGGCCCCATATATAGTCTTAGTCTTAGTCTACCCTGGCTCAATGTATGGGACTAGTCTACCCAACCCTTACCATTTCTCCTGAGTCAAACATCGCGAGTCACACCATGTGATGTCACTCAATGCTCAATATAACACCAGGTCACTCGGGTTCAGTGAGTCAGTCTTAGGGGTTCGGGATGCACATATAAAACTAGTGGGGTTCAAAAAAATTAAGAACCACTGGTAGACATTAAATTAAATATTATATAGGAAGGCTAAATGGTTCTTAAAAAGACAATTAAATAATTCACTAGAGTATTTCTTTTTGTTTACTCTTATAAATGACTGCTTGAAATTGAACTATGATAATTGTGTGCACGTTCACATTAAAACTCCAACCTGTAAGCTTTGTTGATCAAAAAAAAAGTGTGACATAAAGTGTGAGTAGCTGATCCATGGATAGAACTCATGTGACTGATTTGCTTCCTTTAAATGTAGGGTTCCATCACATACACCTTCCCCTGTGGCAGGTGGCTGGCCAAAAACCAAGAGGATGGGGCCATAGAGAGAGAGCTGGTCCCAGAGAAGGCTGTACAGGAGCTTGTGGGCAGGGATGGGGAGACCAAGGCCAAAGAGTTGAAAATAAAGGAAAAACTAGAAGGTAGGGGCATTCTCATCTACTACAAAGCCATCTTTAAACTGTTATTTTATTATTGTTATCTCATATGGTTATTTAAGTTTTTAAAACCTGGCTAATTAATTTTTATTTCAGCCAAAAAATACACCGTGGAAGTTTACACAGGAGACGTGTCAGGTGGAGGGACAGATGCCAATGTGTTCCTCACCATGTTTGGTGACAAGGGGGACAGTGGGGAGAGACAACTGAGAAACTCTGAGACCAACAGAGACAAGTTTGAACGGAAACAGGTGAGGGACTGGTGTCAATAGATTCAGATGGAACACCCTCTTCTGGTCCTATAACTAGTGTCAATAGATTCAGATGGAACACCCTCTTCTGGTCCTATAACTGGTGTCAATAGATTCAGATGGAACACCCTCTTCTGGTCCTATAACTGGTGTCAATAGATTCAGATGGAACATTGGAACACCCTCTTCTGGTCCTATAACTAGTGTCAATAGATTCAGATGGAACACCCTCTTCTGGTCCTATAACTAGTGTCAATAGATTCAGATGGAACACCCTCTTCTGGTCCTATAACTAGTGTCAATAGATTCAGATGGAACATTGGAACACCCTCTTCTGGTCCTATAACTAGTGTCAATAGATTCAGATGGAACACCCTCTTCTGGTTCTATAACTAGTGTCAATAGATTCAGATGGAACATTGGAACACCCTCTTCTGGTTCTATAACTTGTGTCAATAGATTCAGATGGAACATTGGAACACCCTCTTCTGGTTCTATAACTAGTGTCAATAGATTCAGATGGAACATTGGAACACCCCCTTCTGGTCCTATAACTAGTGTCAATAGATTCAGATGGAACATTGGAACACCCTCTTCTGGTTCTATAACTAGTGTCAATAGATTCAAATGGAACATTGGAACACCCTCTTCTGGTTCTATAACTAGTGTCAATAGATTCAGATGGAACACCCTCTTCTGGTCCTATAACTAGTGTCAATAGATTCAGATGGAACACCCTCTTCTGGTTCTATAACTAGTGTCAATAGATTCAGATGGAACATTGGAACACCCTCTTCTGGTTCTATAACTAGTGTCAATAGATTCAGATGGAACACCCTCTTCTGGTCCTATAACTAGTGTCAATAGATTCAGATGGAACATTGGAACACCCTCTTCTGGTTCTATAACTAGTGTCAATAGATTCAGATGGAACACCCTCTTCTGGTTCTATAACTAGTGTCAATAGATTCAGATGGAACACCCTCTTCTGGTCCTATAACTAGTGTCAATAGATTCAGATGGAACATTGGAACACCCTCTTCTGGTTCTATAACTAGTGTCAATAGATTCAGATGGAACACCCTCTTCTGGTCCTATAACTAGTGTCAATAGATTCAGATGGAACATTGGAACACCCTCTTCTGGTTCTATAACTAGTGTCATTAGATTCAGATGGAACACCCTCTTCTGGTCCTATAACTAGTGTCAATAGATTCAGATGGAACACCCTCTTCTGGTCCTATAACTAGTGTCAATAGATTCAGATGGAACACCCTCTTCTGGTCCTATAACTAGTGTCAATAGATTCAGATGGAACATTGGAACACCCTCTTCTGGTCCTATAACTAGTGTCAATAGATTCAGATGGAACATTGGAACACCCTCTTCTGGTCCTATAACTAGTGTCAATAGATTCAGATGGAACACCCTCTTCTGGTCCTATAACTAGTGTCATTAGATTCAGATGGAACACCCTCTTCTGGTCCTATAACTAGTGTCAATAGATTCAGATGGAACACCCTCTTCTGGTTCTATAACTAGTGTCAATAGATTCAGATGGAACATTGGAACACCCTCTTCTGGTCCTATAACTGGTGTCAATAGATTCAGATGGAACATTGGAACACCCTCTTCTGGTCCTATAACTAGTGTCAATAGATTCAGATGGAACACCCTCTTCTGGTCCTATAACTAGTGTCAATAGATTCAGATGGAACACCCTCTTCTGGTCCTATAACTAGTGTCAATAGATTCAGATGGAACATTGGAACACCCTCTTCTGGTCCTATAACTAGTGTCAATAGATTCAGATGGAACACCCTCTTCTGGTTCTATAACTTGTGTCAATAGATTCAGATGGAACATTGGAACACCCTCTTCTGGTTCTATAACTAGTGTCAATAGATTCAGATGGAACATTGGAACACCCCCTTCTGGTCCTATAACTAGTGTCAATAGATTCAGATGGAACATTGGAACACCCTCTTCTGGTTCTATAACTAGTGTCAATAGATTCAAATGGAACATTGGAACACCCTCTTCTGGTTCTATAACTAGTGTCAATAGATTCAGATGGAACACCCTCTTCTGGTCCTATAACTAGTGTCAATAGATTCAGATGGAACACCCTCTTCTGGTTCTATAACTAGTGTCAATAGATTCAGATGGAACATTGGAACACCCTCTTCTGGTTCTATAACTAGTGTCAATAGATTCAGATGGAACACCCTCTTCTGGTTCTATAACTAGTGTCATTAGATTCAGATGGAACACCCTCTTCTGGTCCTATAACTAGTGTCAATAGATTCAGATGGAACACCCTCTTCTGGTCCTATAACTAGTGTCAATAGATTCAGATGGAACATTGGAACACCCTCTTCTGGTTCTATAACTAGTGTCAATAGATTCAGATGGAACATTGGAACACCCTCTTCTGGTCCTATAACTAGTGTCAATAGATTCAGATGGAACACCCTCTTCTGGTCCTATAACTAGTGTCAATAGATTCAGATGGAACACCCTCTTCTGGTCCTATAACTAGTGTCAATAGATTCAGATGGAACACCCTCTTCTGGTCCTATAACTAGTGTCAATAGATTCAGATGGAACATTGGAACACCCTCTTCTGGTCCTATAACTAGTGTCAATAGATTCAGATGGAACACCCTCTTCTGGTTCTATAACTAGTGTCAATAGATTCAGATGGAACACCCTCTTCTGGTCCTATAACTAGTGTCAATAGATTCAGATGGAACACCCTCTTCTGGTCCTATAACTAGTGTCAATAGATTCAGATGGAACACCCTCTTCTGGTCCTATAACTAGTGTCAATAGATTCAGATGGAACATTGGAACACCCTCTTCTGGTCCTATAACTAGTGTCAATAGATTCAGATGGAACACCCTCTTCTGGTTCTATAACTAGTGTCAATAGATTCAGATGGAACATTGGAACACACTCTTCTGGTTCTATAACTAGTGTCAATAGATTCAGATGGAACATTGGAACACCCTCTTCTGGTCCTATAACTAGTGTCAATAGATTCAGATGGAACACCCTCTTCTGGTCCTATAACTGGTGTCAATAGATTCAGATGGAACACCCTCTTCTGGTTCTATAACTAGTGTCAATAGATTCAGATGGAACATTGGAACACCCTCTTCTGGTTCTATAACTAGTGTCAATAGATTCAGATGGAACACCCTCTTCTGGTTCTATAACTAGTGTCAATAGATTCAGATGGAACACCCTCTTCTGGTCCTATAACTGGTGTCAATAGATTCAGATGGAACACCCTCTTCTGGTCCTATAACTGGTGTCAATAGATTCAGATGGAACACCCTCTTCTGGTCCTATAACTAGTGTCAATAGATTCAGATGGAACACCCTCTTCTGGTCCTATAACTGGTGTCAATAGATTCAGATGGAACATTGGAACACCCCCTTCTGGTCCTATAACTAGTGTCAATAGATTCAGATGGAACATTGGAACACCCTCTTCTGGTCCTATAACTAGTGTCAATAGATTCAGATGGAACACCCTCTTCTGGTTCTATAACTAGTGTCATTAGATTCAGATGGAACACCCTCTTCTGGTTCTATAACTAGTGTCAATAGATTCAGATGGAACATTGGAACACCCTCTTCTGGTCCTATAACTAGTGTCAATAGATTCAGATGGAACACCCTCTTCTGGTTCTATAACTAGTGTCAATAGATTCAGATGGAACACCCTCTTCTGGTTCTATAACTTGTGTCAATAGATTCAGATGGAACATTGGAACACCCCCTTCTGGTCCTATAACTAGTGTCAATAGATTCAGATGGAACATTGGAACACCCTCTTCTGGTCCTATAACTAGTGTCAATAGATTCAGATGGAACATTGGAACACCCTCTTCTGGTTCTATAAAAACTTTCATCAAATTGTTTAATTTTAACTTCCAACGTAAACCCCATTTTAAAACATTATCTTTAAAAAAAAATTCTGTCATTGATTCATGAACTTGTTTTGAAGTAGTCCCTGTCAAACTGACCAACATTAGTCCCTGTCAAACTGACCAACATTAGTCCCTGTCACTGACCAACATTAGTCCCTGTCATACTGACCAACATTAGTCCCTGTCAAACTGACCAACATTAGTCCCTGTCAAACTGACCAACATTAGTCCCTGTCATACTGACCAACATTAGTCCCTGTCAAACTGACCAACATTAGTCCCTGTCAAACTGACCAACATTAGTCCCTGTCATACTGACCAACATTAGTCCCTGTCACTGACCAACATTAGTCCCTGTCAAACTGACCAACATTAGTCCCTGTCAAACTGACCAACATTAGTCCCTGTCAAACTGACCAACATTAGTCCCTGTCAAACCATCCATCATTGGGCTCTGTCAACAGATCAACAAGAAAGTTGATGTAACTATCATAAATCTACCTAAATAGGGTTAAAGCTGAGATTTATTCAACAGATGGACAGATTTATTGTTGAAGCTGTTGACCTTGGGAACCTGTACAAAATAAAAATCCGCCATGACAACTCCATGATAAGCCCAGCTTGGTTTCTGGACAGAGTGGAAGTCATTGATGGCAAAGATAAATATGTTTTCCATTGTGAAAGATGGTTGGCAAAGAACAAAGATGATGGTAAAATAGAAAGAACTTTATATGTCAAGGTAAATCTTTTTTTGTTACTAACAAGAAACTCTGGTATTTCCTTGTTAAGAGAATGTGTTAAGTTCATATTGTTAGCACATAATTTAGCTTTATCAAGTTAAATTGTTCGACCTAAAATTTAGGCAGCTTAACCTAAATTAATCAGCCCAAAATTTAGTTGGACCTAAATTGTTCAGCCTGAAGTTTAGGTAGCTTAACAAAAAAAACCACGATGAAAACCGAAAAGGTTGGAACATTCTGTTAAATATTATAAGTATAACGGAATTAAAACCTACATACTTTATACTAAATATTTGTACGTGTATCGTACATACCTATACAACATACACACATATTTCTAAAATCTTTACATTACATCGTAAGTAGGTTGAACTTTCTGAATATTTAATACATAAAAGTATTAAATTACATACAAACACTTTTTTTTACTTTTTTTCTATAATCTAAAATTTATGTAGCTTAACCTCAATTGTTCAACCTAAAATGTAGGTAGCTTAAACTAAATTATTCAACCTGAAATTTAGGCAGCTTAACCTAAATTGTTCAGCCTTGCATCTAACATATAAAAACTTTGTACCAGGGTTATGATGGGGATATGTCCAGCACAGGGACACTCAAATCTACAAGATTCGGAGGATCTGTTGCTAGTCTAGAATCTATGAGAACCACTGATGGCTTCTCTAAAAGTCCAAGAGTCACCCGGAAACAGCTAGAGACTTTGAAGGAGGATGATTTTAAGGGACCAAGTGAGTAGTTTGAGGATGAGTTTAAGGCACCAAGTGAGTAGTTTGAGGATGAGTTTACAGGACCAAGTGAGTAGTTTGAGGATGAGTTTAAGGGACCAAGTGAGTAGTTTAGTTTGAGAATGTGTCTATATTATGTTTGAAACCAGGCAACTTTTAAAATTATAAGACATAAGGTAACCCTGTCAGCTGTGAGGGAGTATTGAGGCAGACATGTGTTAAGCTTAGGTAAAGTACCAACAGCCAGCCTTTAACATAGCTACAGCTAGTCTTATTTTGTGCAAAGTATTGAATGTTTCTCCCAACAGCCATTCCATACACCATCAAAGTCTTAACTGGTGATGGGAGTGACAATGGCACTAGCAGTAATGTCTGGGTGCAAATCTTTGGTCTCAAGAAGAAAAAAACTGGTCAGTTATTTTTGGAGCTTGCCCAGAAGGACAGTTTTGCTCCAGGATCAACAGAGACTTTTTCACTGGAGGCAGCAGATGTGGAGGAGGTTAAAAGGGTGGAAGTAAGTCTGCTGATTTGATCTTAGTCAAGTCTTTAAAGTTTAATTCTGGAGGGTACAAGTAAGAAGTCTGTCCACTGTCCCTGCCCTTCTGACCACTGTCCCTGCCCTTCTGACCACTGTCCCTGCCCTTCTGACCACTGTCCCTGCCCTTCTGACCACTGTCCCTGCCCTTCTGACCACTGTCCCTGCCCTTCTGACCACTGTCCCTGCCCTTCTGACCACTGTCCCTGCCCTTCTGACCACTGTCCCTGCCCTTCTGACCACTGTCCCTGCCCTTCTGACCACTGTCCCTGCCCTTCTGACCACTGTCCCTGCCCTTCTGACCACTGTCCCTGCCCTTCTGACCACTGTCCCTGCCCTTCTGACCACTGTCCCTGCCCTTCTGACCACTGTCCCTGCCCTTCTGACCACTGTCCCTGCCCTTCTGACCACTGTCCCTGCCCTTCTGACCACTGTCCCTGCCCTACAGCAGCTGTAGTAAACTGATGTAGGATCTGAATTTGATCAAATATTTTTGTACAGAAGTTTTGTTTAAAACAATCCAAATGTCATTTGTGTACAGAAGTTTTGTTTAAAACAATCCAAATGTCATTTGTGTACAGAAGTTTTGTTTCAAACAATCCAAATGTCATTTCTCTCAGGTTGGTCATGATGGCATTACCCCAGGCAGCGGATGGTTTTTGAAAGAGTTGGATGTGAATCTGCCCACTAAAGGCAAACACTACCATTTTGAATGCAGGCAGTGGCTGGCTGTGGACAAGGGGGACGGAAAAGTTTCAAGAATATTTAGTGTTGAGGATGGCAAAAGTTCCATTACTTCATTTAAACCTAGTAAGTCAGACTTGTGTATATTGTAGTGGTGTCCTATGTAACAAATATTGTAGTGGTTTCGTATGTAACAAATATTGTAGTGGTGTCCTATGTAACAAATGTTTATATTGTAGTGGTGTCCTATGTAACAAATATTGTAGTGGTGTCCTGTGTAATAAATGTTTATATTGTAGTGGTGTCCTATGTAACAAATGTTTATATTGTAGTGGTGTCCTATGTAACAAATGTTTATATTGTAGTGGTGTCCTATGTAACAAATATTGTAGTGGTGTCCTATGTAACAAATGTTTATATTGTAGTGGTGTCCTATGTAACAAATGTTTATATTGTAGTGGTGTCCTATGTAACAAATGTTTATATTGTAGTGGTGTCCTATGTAACAAATGTTTATATTGTAGTGGTGTCCTAAGTAACAAATATTGTAGTGGTGTCCTATGTAACAAATGATTATATTGTAGTGGTGTCCTATGTAACAAATATTGTAGTGGTGTCCTATGTAACAAATGTTTATATTGTAGTGGTGTCCTATGTAACAAATGTTTATATTGTAGTGGTGTCCTATGTAACAAATATTGTAGTGGTGTCCTATGTAACAAATATTGTAGTGGTGTCCTATGTAACAAATGTTTATATTGTAGTGGTGTCCTGTGTAACAAATATTTATATTGTAGTGGTGTCCTATGTAACAAATGTTTATATTGTAGTGGTGTCCTATGTAACAAATGTTTATATTGTAGTGGTGTCCTATGTAACAAATGTTTATATTGTAGTGGTGTCCTGTGTAACAAATGTTTATATTGTAGTGGTGTCCTATGTAACAAATGTTTATATTGTAGTGGTGTCCTATGTAACAAATATTGTAGTGGTGTCCTATGTAACAAATATTGTAGTGGTGTCCTATGTAACAAATGTTTATATTGTAGTGGTGTCCTGTGTAACAAATATTTATATTGTAGTGGTGTCCTATGTAACAAATGTTTATATTGTAGTGGTGTCCTATGTAACAAATGTTTATATTGTAGTGGTGTCCTATGTAACAAATGTTTATATTGTAGTGGTGTCCTGTGTAACAAATGTTTATATTGTAGTGGTGTCCTATGTAACAAATGTTTATATTGTAGTGGTGTCCTATGTAACAAATGTTTAAATTGTAGTGGTGTCCTATGTAACAAATGTTTATATTGTAGTGGTGTCCTATGTAACAAATGTTTATATTGTAGTGGTGTCCTGTGTAACAAATGTTTATATTGTAGTGGTGTCCTATGTAACAAATGTTTATATTGTAGTGGTGTCCTATGTAACAAATATTGTAGTGGTGTCCTATGTAACAAATATTGTAGTGGTGTCCTATGTAACAAATGTTTATATTGTAGTGGTGTCCTGTGTAACAAATGTTTATATTGTAGTGGTGTCCTATGTAACAAATGTTTATATTGTAGTGGTGTCCTATGTAACAAATGTTTAAATTGTAGTGGTGTCCTATGTAACAAATGTTTAAATTGTAGTGGTGTCCTATGTAACAAATGTTTATATTGTAGTGGTGTCCAATGTAACAAATGTTTAAATTGTAGTGGTGTCCTATGTAACAAATGTTTATATTGTAGTGGTGTCCTATGCAACAAATGTTTATATTGTAGTGGTGTCCTATGTAACAAATATTGTAGTGGCGTCCTATGCAACAAATGTTTATATTGTAGTGGTGTCCTATGTAACAAATATTGTAGTGGTGTCCTATGTAACAAATGTTTATATTGTAGTGGTGTCCTATGTAACAAATATTGTAGTGGTGTCCTATGTAACAAATGTTTATATTGTAGTGGTGTCCTATGTAACAAATATTGTAGTGGTGTCCTATGTAACAAATGTTTATATTGTAGTGGTGTCCTGTGTAACAAATGTTTATATTGTAGTGGTGTCCTATGTAACAAATGTTTATATTGTAGTGGTGTCCTATGTAACAAATGTTTAAATTGTAGTGGTGTCCTATGTAACAAATGTTTAAATTGTAGTGGTGTCCTATGTAACAAATGTTTATATTGTAGTGGTGTCCTATGTAACAAATGTTTAAATTGTAGTGGTGTCCTATGTAACAAATGTTTATATTGTAGTGGTGTCCTATGCAACAAATGTTTATATTGTAGTGGTGTCCTATGTAACAAATATTGTAGTGGCGTCCTATGCAACAAATGTTTATATTGTAGTTGTGTCCTATGTAACAAATATTGTAGTGGTGTCCTATGTAACAGATGTTTATATTGTAGTGGTGTCCTATGTAACAAATATTGTAGTGGTGTCCTATGTAACAAATGTTTATATTGTAGTGGTGTCCTATGTAACAAATATTGTAGTGGTGTCCTATGTAACAAATATTGTAGTGGTGTCCTATGTAACAAATGTTTATATTGTAGTGGTGTCCTGTGTAACAAATGTTTATATTGTAGTGGTGTCCTATGTAACAAATGTTTATATTGTAGTGGTGTCCTATGTAACAAATGTTTAAATTGTAGTGGTGTCCTATGTAACAAATGTTTAAATTGTAGTGGTGTCCTATGTAACAAATGTTTATATTGTAGTGGTGTCCTATGTAACAAATGTTTAAATTGTAGTGGTGTCCTATGTAACAAATGTTTATATTGTAGTGGTGTCCTATGCAACAAATGTTTATATTGTAGTGGTGTCCTATGTAACAAATATTGTAGTGGCGTCCTATGCAACAAATGTTTATATTGTAGTTGTGTCCTATGTAACAAATATTGTAGTGGTGTCCTATGTAACAGATGTTTATATTGTAGTGGTGTCCTATGTAACAAATATTGTAGTGGTGTCCTATGTAACAAATGTTTATATTGTAGTGGTGTCCTATGTAACAAATGTTTATATTGTAGTGGTGTCCTATGTAACAAATATTGTAGTGGTGTCCTATGTAACAAATGTTTATATTGTAGTGGTGTCCTATGTAACAAATGTTTAAATTGTAGTGGTGTCCTATGTAACAAATGTTTATATTGTTGTGGTGTCCTATGTAACAAATGTTTATATTGTAGTGGTGTCCTGTGTAACAAATGTTTATATTGTAGTGGTGTCCTATGTAACAAATGTTTATATTGTAGTGGTGTCCTATGTAACAAATATTGTAGTGGTGTCCTATGTAACAAATGTTTATATTGTAGTGGTGTCCTATGTAACAAATGTTTATATTGTAGTGGTGTCCTATGTAACAAATATTGTAGTGGTGTCCTATGTAACAAATGTTTATATTGTAGTGGTGTCCTATGTAACAAATATTGTAGTGGTGTCCTATGTAACAAATGTTTATATTGTAGTGGTGTCCTATGTAACAAATGTTTATATTGTAGTGGTGTCCTGTGTAACAAATGTTTATATTGTAGTGGTGTCCTATGTAACAAATGTTTATATTGTAGTGGTGTCCTATGTAACAAATATTGTAGTGGTGTCCTATGTAACAAATGTTTATATTGTAGTGGTGTCCTATGTAACAAATGTTTATATTGTAGTGGTGTCCTATGTAACAAATATTGTAGTGGTGTCCTATGTAACAAATGTTTATATTGTAGTGGTGTCCTATGTAACAAATATTGTAGTGGTGTCCTATGTAACAAATGTTTATATTGTAGTGGTGTCCTATGTAACAAATGTTTATATTGTAGTGGTGTCCTGTGTAACAAATGTTTATATTGTAGTGGTGTCCTATGTAACAAATGTTTATATTGTAGTGGTGTCCTATGTAACAAATGTTTATATTGTAGTGGTGTCCTATGTAACCAATGTTTATATTGTAGTGGTGTCCTATGAAGTAACTGTAACTACTGGAGATGTTGCTGATGCAGGCACAGACATGAAGATATTAATGACAGTGTTTGGTTTAAAGGGGACATCTTCAGTCATAGAGTTTGAAAAAGGAGAAGATAGATTTGAGCGAGCAAAGACAAACCTCATCAAGGTAATCAAATTTCCAGAAGCTTGTTTTTTTTTTAAACTAATGTCTGGCTGTTAATTGTAATGCAATCTGCAGTTTTGTTTTTAATCAAGTGTTTGACAATGTAAGTATAGTTGGCCTATATAATATGACAAATATTTTATTCACAAGATGGAAATTGATGATGTTGCCCCAATAAAGAAAATCAGACTTGAATTAGCTGGTAAAGGAAGTCGGCCATGTTGGTTTTTAGAAAAGGTAAGCTATGTCAACAGTTTTTTCATTAGACCCTGGAAGTTTTTAACAAAAATCTGTTGAAAAGGTTTGTTTTATTTTTCAAATTTGAAGATCTTGTTATTTTCTTGACCTTGATGGCAAAACCTCCCTTTGTTTGAACCTGTAGTTGGAGTTGAGGAACATGGAAACAGGTGTTTTGTCTGTATTCAAACACAATGGTTGGATCGGTACAGGCAAAGATGGTGCCAAAAACCCAGTAGACATCCCAGCTACTGAGAGAGGCAAAGCTGTCCTTGATAGTGAGTTGTTTTATTTGACCAGCATTGTTTGTTCTTGGATAGTGAGTTGTTTTTTTTACAGTTATATATCCTTGCCAGTAAGCTTTTTTGGATCTGAGTAATCTGTCCTTGCTAGTAAGAGTAGTAATCTTTTCCTAAGAATTTGTTGACACGTCTGTTTTGTTTTTGTTAGAAACCTCATACAAGGTGTCCGTGAAGACATCAGATGTGAGTGGTGCTGGGACAGATGCCAATGTTTACATGATCATGTTTGGGGCTCTTGGAGACTCCGGAGAACTGCACCTGAAAGATTCCAATCAAAGCAAACCCTTCAAGAAGGGGCAGCTGGACAGCTTTGTTTTTAAAGAGATTTTAACTTTAGGTGAACTACACAAAGTTCGGGTCTGGCATGATAACAAAGGTGAGTTGCTGTTTGGTGTCACTTCACAAAGGTCATTTGCTGTGTGCATTAGTGTAATGTGCGATTTTAACTAATGCACTAGATATGACTTGACGCCACTACCATTACAAAAAGTGCTTCTATGGTTATAAAGATGAACAAAAGTGCCCTTATTTTTCCAAAAAGAAGAACATCTACCTCCCCCTATAACAAAATAGAATTTAATTTTAAAAAAATATTCTTTAACCCAAAGAGATGCCTAAAAGAAACCCTTCATGCAGACCACTTATAAAGTAAGATTAGACCAATACATTTGGCGGTAAAGTTAGTCTCTTATTACCTAGTAATAAAAGTATATATTTTCTATATAAATTGTATTTCGTTGGGTGGGTGGGGGGACTTTGCCCCCTTCTCGAAGACATGCAGACCACTTTTAAGATGAGACAAATAAATTAGGTGATAATGTTTAGTGTCTGTATTATCAAGTATCGATGACGTCATTATTGTGTATTTTTTTTTTTTTGGCATTGGCTTTTTAATTGTTTACTCTAGAATTAGTGATGTCATTTAATTGTGTGTACTTTTTCCACTTTTCCTATATGTTCCATGTGACGTCAGGGTCATGGGTAGTTACGTTTTCTTTAGAATGTGAAAGTTTTTATTTTGCTTGTGTTTTCTCTAGAGTAGAAAGGGAAACTATTATTAAAGATTTTCTATGCCCATTTTCAAAAGAATTTTAGACTTGTTTTTGCATTACAGTTGACTTGGCATTTTTGTGGTTTAGAATTTATTTTTAAAGAATCCGATATCTAATTATATTAAGTTGGATGTGAGTACTAAAATTAAAAATCTGATGACTATGTAGAGTCATAATTTTTCATTTAGAATTAGTAATGTTGGTGAGGCATTCAGATTTAGACTCAGATCATGTATTTGCACCATAGGCCCAAATAAAAACTGCTTCTGAAAATACCAAATTATATTTTCTTTGCGTTAAAACATTTCTCTATTTTATCAATTATATTTTGTGATTTTTAATAATCTTGTAAATGATGTGATGTGTGACAGGTGTGGTCTAAAAAAAGGTGTGGTTAGATGTGATGTGTGACAGGTGTGGTCTAACAAAGGTGTGGTTAGATGTGATGTGTGACAGGTGTGGTCTAACAAAGGTGTGTTTAGATATGTTTGCATGAAGGATGAACCTGCTAGCTGGAGTCTGAACATTTCAGGTCTGGGTGCTGCCTGGCATCTCTCTCAGATTGAGGTGGAGGATCAAACAACCAACAAAGTCTACACTTTTATCTGCGACAAGTGGCTGTCAACTAAAGATGACGACAAGCAGATCATACGAGAGTTGACCTGTCATGGCACTGGCAAGCCTGACTCAGCCCGCAGCAGTGGTAAAGACAAGACAGGTACGTATTGCTGTTGTCACATTTTTGGGAACTGGGTGCATATTGGCTGTTGACACATTTTTGGGAATGTTCTTCTTGTCTACAGTGTTTGAAATAGAAGTGACAACAACTGACAAGCAAGAAGGGGGTACAATCCACAATGGCTGGCTAGTCCTTGAAGGGAAACTTGGCACCTCAAAAGTCTTTAGGCTAGAGAACAATGCACACAACAAGATACTCCGCAAGTTTGTACTGCTCTATTACATTGTTGTTTTACAATGACTTCCACATCTTACTGCTAGAAATAGATCTATTACAGTGTACAGTTGCACCATCAGTTTTTTTCTTTGAATGGACAGAAGTGTGTACGTATGATCTTGAAGTTTGTGTTTATCAGCAAGCAGACATGAGATTTTTTAGCCTCACTGCGGCAATGTTTTGACACAGTTGACTGTTTTAACTTCAGGGGAACTACCAATAATTTTTCTATAACTTCAGGGGAATTGCCAATAATTTTTCTATAACTTCAGTTGAACTAACAATAATTTTTCTATAACTTCAGTTGAACTACCAATAATTTTTCTATACCTTCAGGGGAACTACCAATAATTTTTCTATGCCGTCAAAGAATCTGGGTCAGCTTCAGAAGTGCATTGTTGGAGCTTACGAGCGAGAAGACAGACCACTGGACGATGCAGAAGGGAGAGCAGCCATGTGGCACTGCCATGAAATAGTTGTTACTGACACATCCACTGGCATTAGGTAGGTCATGTAGATATCTGTCCAAATGTTTTTCATTGAGTAAACATTTAGGGACAGTTTAAAACTGTATAAGTTTACCCTGAGTGAGGTATATTTCTGTTGTAGATATGTTTTCCCGTGCAAGCAGTGGATCAACATCCATAAGAACATTACAAAATCTGCTGGACAGGTGCTGACACCCCAGAAAGTAGAAGAGACTCAAGTCAGTTTAACACGTAGTAAGTTGCACTGTGCTCAGTACATTGTCTCATTTTCTGGGTATTGTATGTGTGTGGTGTCATATCTGTGAGTATTGTTTGTGTGTGATGTAATTTCTGTGGGTATTGTTTGTGGGATGTAATTTCTGTGGGTATTGTTTGTGTGGGATGTAATTTCTGTGGGTATTGTTTGTGGGATGTAATTTCTGTGGGTATTGTTTGTGTGTGATGTAATTTCTGTGGGTATTGTTTGTGTGGGATGTAATTTCTGTGGGTATTGTTTGTGGGATGTAATTTCTGTGGGTATTGTTTGTGGGATGTAATTTCTGTGGGTATTGTTTGTGGGATGTAATTTCTGTGGGTATTGTTTGTGGGATGTAATTTCTGTGGGTATTGTTTGTGGGATGTAATTTCTGTGGGTATTGTTTGTGTGTGATGTAATTTCTGTGGGTATTGTTTGTGTGGGATGTAATTTCTGTGGGTATTGTTTGTGGGATGTAATTTCTGTGGGTATTGTTTGTGTGGGATGTAATTTCTGTGGGTATTGTTTGTGGGATGTAATTTCTGTGGGTATTGTTTGTGTGTGATGTAATTTCTGTGGGTATTGTTTGTGTGGGATGTAATTTCTGTGGGTATTGTTTGTGGGATGTAATTTCTGTGGGTATTGTTTGTGGGATGTAATTTCTGTGGGTATTGTTTGTGTGTGATGTAATTTCTGTGGGTATTGTTTGTGGGATGTAATTTCTGTGGGTATTGTTTGTGGGATGTAATTTCTGTGGGTATTGTTTGTGTGTGATGTAATTTCTGTGGGTATTGTTTGTGTGTGATGTAATTTCTGTGGGTATTGTTTGTGGGATGTAATTTCTGTGGGTATTGTTTGTGTGTGATGTAATTTCTGTGGGTATTGTTTGTGGGATGTAATTTCTGTGGGTATTGTTTGTGGGATGTAATTTCTGTGGGTATTGTTTGTGTGTGATGTAATTTCTGTGGGTATTGTTTGTGTGTGATGTAATTTCTGTGGGTATTGTTTGTGGGATGTAATTTCTGTGGGTATTGTTTGTGTGTGATGTAATTTCTGTGGGTATTGTTTGTGGTATGTAATTTCTGTGGGTATTGTTTGTGTGTGATGTAATTTCTGTGGGTATTGTTTGTGTGTGATGTAATTTCTGTGGGTATTGTTTGTGTGTGATGTAATTTCTGTGGGTATTGTTTGTGGGATGTAATTTCTGTGGGTATTGTTTGTGTGTGATGTAATTTCTGTGGGTATTGTTTGTGTGTGATGTAATTTCTGTGGGTATTGTTTGTGTGTGATGTAATTTCTGTGGGTATTGTTTGTGTGTGATGTCATATCTGTGGGTATTGTTTGTGTGTGATGTAATTTCTGTGGGTATTGTTTGTGTGTGATGTAATTTCTGTGGGTATTGTTTGTGTGTGATGTAATTTCTGTGGGTATTGTTTGTGTGTGATGTAATTTCTGTGGGTATTGTTTGTGTGTGATGTAATTTCTGTGGGTATTGTTTGTGTGTGATGTCATATCTGTGGGTATTGTTTGTGGGATGTAATTTCTGTGGGTATTGTTTGTGTGGGATGTAATTTCTGTGGGTATTGTTTGTGTGTGATGTAATTTCTGTGGGTATTGTTTGTGTGTGATGTAATTTCTGTGGGTATTGTTTGTGTGTGATGTAATTTCTGTGGGTATTGTTTGTGTGTGATGTAATTTCTGTGGGTATTGTTTGTGTGTGATGTCATATCTGTGGGTATTGTTTGTGTGATGTAATTTCTGTGGGTATTGTTTGTGTGTGATGTAATTTCTGTGGGTATTGTTTGTGTGTGATGTAATTTCTGTGGGTATTGTTTGTGGGATGTAATTTCTGTGGGTATTGTTTGTGTGTGATGTAATTTCTGTGGGTATTGTTTGTGTGGGATGTAATTTCTGTGGGTATTGTTTGTGTGTGATGTAATTTCTGTGGGTATTGTTTGTGTGTGATGTAATTTCTGTGGGTATTGTTTGTGTGGGATGTAATTTCTGTGGGTATTGTTTGTGGGATGTAATTTCTGTGGGTATTGTTTGTGTGTGATGTAATTTCTGTGGGTATTGTTTGTGTGTGATGTAATTTCTGTGGGTATTGTTTGTGTGTGATGTAATTTCTGTGGGTATTGTTTGTGGGATGTAATTTCTGTGGGTATTGTTTGTGGGATGTAATTTCTGTGGGTATTGTTTGTGGGATGTAATTTCTGTGGGTATTGTTTATGTGTGATGTAATTTCTGTGGGTATTGTTTGTGTCAAATCTGTGCTGATATAAATTTGAATCATTTCTCTTAGCAAGTTTGCAACAGTACTTTAGATGCTCTGCATTTGACTTTTTAATTTCGACTTATTGTTTGCAAATTATTTGTCTGTTATGATATGGAGTGAGTAAATGTCTTTGTAAAACCAAATACTTCAGGTCTGGCACCAGTCAAGTATGAAGTGGTTGTTGTCACTGGCGATGAGAAGGGGGCAGGGACCAATGCTAACGTGTCTATCACCATCTTTGGCAGTAATGGCAACACAGGCAAACGACCTCTGACTAAACCACTGAAAAATCTGTTTGAGAAAAATCAGACTGATAAGTTTCAGCTAGAGGCTTTGGACTTGGGTAAGTGTTTTGTTAATGTTATAGTTTCACATTTTACTGGAGGCCCCGGGTAAGTGTTTTGTTAATGTTATAGTTTCACATTTTACTGGAGGCCCTGGGTAAGTGTTTTGTTAATGTTATAGTTTCACATTTTACTGGAGGCCCTGGGTAAGTGTTTTGTTAATGTTATAGTTTCACATTTTACTGGAGGCCCTGGGTAAGTGTTTTGTTAATGTTATAGTTTCACATTTTACTGGAGGCCCTGGGTAAGTGTTTTGTTAATGTTATAGTTTCACATTTTACTGGAGGCCCTGGGTAAGTGTTTTGTTAATGTTATAGTTTCACATTTTACTGGAGGCCCTGGGTAAGTGTTTTGTTAATGTTATAGTTTCACATTTTACTGGAGGCCCTGGGTAAGTGTTTTGTTAATGTTATAGTTTCACATTTTACTGGAGGCCCTGGGTAAGTGTTTTGTTAATGTTATAGTTTCACATTTTACTGGAGGCCCTGGGTAAGTGTTTTGCTTCCCTGTCTAGAGAAATTGTCCTTGTCTAAGATTCCAATGTATGGGGACTTGATGGTGACCTTGTGTTGACAGGTGAGCTGACCAAGGTAAAGATTGAACATGACAACAGTGGCTTCAGACCTGCCTGGTACCTGGACAGAGTTGAAGTGGTCAACATGGCCACCAATAAAATCTCCGTGTTCCCATGCAACAAGTGGCTGGCCAAGGACAAGGGTGACGGGGAACTTGCCAGAGAGTTGTATGTCAAGAATGACTAGTTTGACTGATTCAATTTGAGAGGATCAATTTTACTGCTAGAGTGCAACTGACAACATAAAATGTGATTGCCTAGATTAAATTCATAGGCTTTGACTAAGTTAGACTGCTGAATACACCTGGGATTTTGTTACATTTTTATGCCAGTGGCCCACATGTTTGGTGGAAATGCTGACACAGATAAATCCAATTGTTTTCTAAATACTTACTTATTTTGTATGCTTAGATTGGAATCAGGCATATTTATTAACTCTCCAATTTATTGATATTGATCTCTAAGAAACTATTAATTGTTCCAGCTTTAGAATATTTGTTGTTTTAAACTATTAAGACATATGATTGTTTGTATCATTATGTTGTTATTCATTTTTTAACGACCAACTGCCTTTGGATGTGAGTACTATTTTATTTTTGTGAATGCTCAATGTTTGGACCATGACGTAACTAGTCGTATTTTTTCTTGTCTCACATCCAAGCAGCTCTCTGCTACACATTACTTACAAATTGAGTTATGGTGAAATCATCTTTTATTGATTGATGGTACAAATGAAAGTCTGTGATTTGTGTTAGTCTATGATTTAAGGTGTTGATGGTACACCCCCTCATAGTTTACCTCAGGAAAGACCTTACCCTTCATGGGTTATTTTTAAAAATTTCTTGTGTTTTATGCCAACCCTTTCTTGTTTAAGCCTTATTGCTATTTATTTTTATAGGTTATTTATTCTCTTTTTACTTAGCATTGCCTTCATTTTATTTACTGTTGCCAGATATTCCATTATTGCTGTACATGATTAATTTTAATACAATGTCAACTGCAGCTGTTTATACTGGGTTTTTTTTCTGTAATTTGATAATTTATATTTAATTGTATGAAGCCTATGAACCAAGTCTGATCTAGACATGAAGCTAATGTTGCTGTTCACTTCTTCTGTGTGTATGATTGTGTAAGCTTCAGATGTAAATAAAGGACAATCATCACACTCATGAAAAAATTGTCTGGGTTAGCAAATGTATCAATTGTCTGAAAACATAAGGACCAAATTGTGAACTGTTACCATTTTTTTTACCACCAGTGAATTTTTAACTTTTATAACAAGCAAATACTGATCCTTAAAATTGTTCAAGAAGATTCCCATGTTAGATGTCCACTATTGAAAGTTTGTATAAAATGTCACCTAAATATGTCTGTCCAGTTTCAAGTGTTTATTGGCCAACTATTTCTTGTAATGGGGTCTACCTATTCATTCAATACTAAGTGCCAAACTTATAACATTGTAGGTTGGGGACTTGTTGTGATTTCATTTATAGAAACAAATGAGGTATCAAAAGTATCATATAAGACTGTATAGTTTCCATCCAAAACATGTGTAAACACAAATTGCTGGCTTGACTTTTTTTCAAAAATGATTGCACATCTTTTGTCTAATTGGATGTAAATTTGTTGCATCTAAGCTCATTTTTTTTTAGATATTTTCTCTTCTTCACCTGTCACTTATGTGTCCATTTACACCCATTTTATTCATGTATGTTGTATGACAACCTTATAGCACTCAGCAATATGTTGAAACATTTATCTATTAATCTGTTAGAATGCCTTATTTAATGATGATATTTACAAATACATTTTAAAACAAAAGCCTTCATGATTTCTTGCTTTTAATCACTTTGACAATTATTAAAGTTAATATTCTCCAAAAAAAGTGCTCATTGGGTATCCAAATGTCCAAACCTACTATGTTAGTTCAAAGAAAGCTAATCTACTTAATCACATAACATTTTCACCAACCTTGTACACACTAACATCTCCGCTCTTTCAATCTTGCAGGTTTAAAGATTTTTACACGAATTGAAGAAACAATAATTGCAGCCTTACGACTATTAAGTATTAAGAGGGTTAATAAAATCAAAGCAGCTGTATGCCTACAGACACTGGTATTGAGAGCAATCCATCCATTCCTAACACAATTTAAATAAACTGATAGACCACCCCTGTCCTGTTAGAGGAAACATGTAGCAGGTTACATAAAATACAAAAAATATAAACTTTTTACTAAGGAAGATAATGGAGACCCACGATTAAGGGAGTTCATTAATCATTATTACAATTTTAAATTGTGTAGCTTCCCCTGATCTTAAAACTACTTTGGTTTGCGTTATATTTAAACGCGTTGATAAAGTAGCATAGAGAAATAGTAACTTTCTTAAAAGAGAGGTAGAAATCTAGATCTAGACCCTATGTTTTAAATAACAACAAGGAAATGATACGGTCACAGTGTATTGCTGTGTACCGTGTAGGGAATAACATAGAACTCTTGCCACTGGTCATAGAGATCTAGATCTACTGTTTAGTCCAGTTATGGTGGCTAATTTGTAATTAGGGCCTATTTCTAAAGTATATTTAGAACTCAGTCAATACGTTGTACTGGTGAGTAGTTTACAGTTTAATATACAACTTTATATAGGTCTACTCACATACTGTTGTACTAATTAATTTTAGCTAATATAAAGTATATATTGTAATACTACTTTTATATCATATTTGGTAATCTAACATTATTTTATGTTAGATTACCAAAAATAATATAAAAGTAATTTAGTCAATTAGTTATTTATAGCACTAGAGGTCTAGATTATCTAATATCTAGACTACATTTTAATATATATATATTTAGGCTTTGTTAAAATATCGAGAATTAGTATTAAATAGCGCAATCGGGAGAAGTCCGTAAACGATGCAACTAATAGACTAATTTAAAAAAATGTATTCACTAGACTGTGTGATTCTTTATTGTAAAGTGACCCAGAAATATTCATTGTTACAACTTAATTATGTTTACGCCACACTCTAGTTAGTAATTGTGTGACAATTAGTGATCAGGGGATGGGGGGGGGGGGGGGAATTTAGAGTGTAACGTCACACTTTTGAAATTTAAAAAAAAAATTGTTAGAGCCCAAATATTAGCAGTTATAACGTATTTCAATCAAAGACATTTTTAAGTACAAAAAATTAAATTTAGGTGGGAGGGGATCTAGTTTTTTTGTGGAATATGGCATGGCTGTGAAGGGGGGGGGGGGGGGGGAGTCAAAATCGTGACATTAATTATAGATGAACCCTGTGCATCTATTTGCTTAACAGCAGTCTCCTACATACCGTAAGATAAGAAATTTCTCCGTCTCTCGCTTTGCTGACCCCAACCAGTATTCATCTGACCCCAACATGTGCCCAGCTGACCCCATGTGCCCAGCTGACCCCATGTGCCCACCTGACCCCATGTGCTGCTTGTAGTCAGGGTTAGGGTGAGTGATGTCAAAGAAAATTTGCCACCTATACAAAAGATGCAACAATCCAGTACTCTGTTATGTGCCTTATCAATTTTGTGGAGGTCATTAATTAATTGGACCACTCCAAACCACCAGCAAGCTCATCTATCATATCGTCTGCACACCCGGCAAGGCCGCGTGGGTCAGTCGGTTGTCGATCACGTTCCGCTGACACGCACGGCTGTTGTGTGTCCAGTTCCACTTAGTTACCTGCCAATCATGTCTGTAGAAGTAAGTAGGCTTTATCTGAGACACCCCCCCCCCCCCGCCTGCTGTCCAACGCAAACACTCCACCACCCCCCCTCCCTTTCTCCCTTCAACGCAGACCATCCTCATTCCCCCCCCCCCCTCCCCCAACGTCAAACAAATACAACGTGTCCGTGCGATAAACAGGCCAATGTCAACATGGCCAGAGGCTAAAGGTCAGCTGACACACACGCGTGGTCACCTTAAAGCTGACTTAGCCCGTCGTCTCAACACACCTGACTCGTCTCCTAAGGTGCGCTTTGTCTAGCCAGCGGTCCTAGCGTTTGTCTAGCCAGCGGCCTGGCGTTTGTCTAGCCAGCGGTCCTAGCGACCTTTGTCTAGCCAGCGGTCCTAGCGTTTGTCTAGCCAGCGGTCCTAGCATTTGTCTAGCCAGCGGCCCTAGAGTTTGTCTAGCCAGCAGCCTAGCGTTTGTCTAGCCAGCGACCTTTGTCTAGCCAGCGGCCTAGCGTTTGTCTAGCCAGCGACCTTTGTCTAGCCAGCGGTCCTAGCGTTTGTCTAGCCAGCGGCCTGGCGTTTGTCTAGCCAGCGGTCCTAACGTTTGTCTAGCCAGCGGTCCTAGCGTTTGTCTAGCCAGCGACCTTTGTCTAGCCAGCGACCCTAGCGTTTGTCTAGCCAGCGACCCTAGCGTTTGTCTAGCCAGCGACCCTAGCGTTTGTCTAGCCAGCGACCCTAGCGTTTGTCTAGCCAGCGGCCCTAGCGTTTGTCTAGCCAGCGACCCTAGAGTTTGTCTAGCCAGCGACCCTAGAGTTTGTCTAGCTAGCGGCCCTAGAGTTTGTCTAGCCAGCGGCCCTAGAGTTTGTCTAGCCAGCGACCCTAGAGTTTGTCTAGCCAGCGACCTTTGTCTAGCCAGCGGCCCTAGAGTTTGTCTAGCCAGCGACCTTTGTCTAGCCAGCGGCCCTAGAGTTTGTCTAGCCAGCGACCTTTGTCTAGCTTGCAGCGACCCTAGAGTTTGTCTAGCCAGCGGCCCTAGCGTTTGTCTAGCCAGCGACCTTTGTCTAGCCAGCGGCCCTAGAGTTTGTCTAGCCAGCGGCCCTAGAGTTTGTCTAGCCAGCGACCTTTGTCTAGCCAGCGGCCCTAAAGTTTGTCTAGCCAGCGATCCTAGAGTTTGTCTAGCCAGCGACCCTAGAGTTTGTCTAGCCAGCGACCCTAGAGTTTGTCTAGCCAGCGACCTTTGTCTAGCCAGCGGTCCTAGCGTTTGTCTAGCCAGCGACCTTTGTCTAGCCAGCGGCCCTAGAGTTTGTCTAGCCAGCGGCCCTAGCGTTTGTCTAGCCAGCGACCCTAGCGTTTGTCTAGCCAGCGACCCTAGCGTTTGTCTAGCCAGCGACCCTAGCGTTTGTCTAGCCAGCGGCCCTAGAGTTTGTCTAGCTAGCAGCGACCCTAGAGTTTGTCTAGCTAGCGGCCCTAGAGTTTGTCTAGCCAGCGGCCCTAGCGTTTGTCTAGCCAGCGACCCTAGCGTTTGTCTAGCCAGCGGCCCTAGAGTTTGTCTAGCCAGCGACCCTAGAGTTTGTCTAGCCAGCGGCCCTAGAGTTTGTCTAGCTAGCGACCCTAGCGTTTGTCTAGCCAGCGACCTTTGTCTAGCCAGCGACCTTTGTCTAGCTTGCAGCGACCCTAGCGTTTGTCTAGCCAGCGGCCCTAGCGTTTGTCTAGCCAGCGACCTTTGTCTAGCCAGCGGCCCTAGAGTTTGTCTAGCCAGCGGCCCTAGAGTTTGTCTAGCCAGCGACCTTTGTCTAGCCAGCGGCCCTAAAGTTTGTCTAGCCAGCGATCCTAGAGTTTGTCTAGCCAGCGACCCTAGAGTTTGTCTAGCCAGCGACCCTAGAGTTTGTCTAGCCAGCGACCTTTGTCTAGCCAGCGGTCCTAGCGTTTGTCTAGCCAGCGACCTTTGTCTAGCCAGCGGCCCTAGAGTTTGTCTAGCCAGCGGCCCTAGCGTTTGTCTAGCCAGCGACCCTAGCGTTTGTCTAGCCAGCGACCCTAGCGTTTGTCTAGCCAGCGACCCTAGCGTTTGTCTAGCCAGCGGCCCTAGAGTTTGTCTAGCTAGCAGCGACCCTAGAGTTTGTCTAGCTAGCGGCCCTAGAGTTTGTCTAGCCAGCGGCCCTAGCGTTTGTCTAGCCAGCGACCCTAGCGTTTGTCTAGCCAGCGGCCCTAGAGTTTGTCTAGCCAGCGACCCTAGAGTTTGTCTAGCCAGCGGCCCTAGAGTTTGTCTAGCTAGCGACCCTAGCGTTTGTCTAGCCAGCGACCTTTGTCTAGCCAGCGACCTTTGTCTAGCTTGCAGCGACCCTAGCGTTTGTCTAGCCAGCGGCCCTAGAGTTTGTCTAGCCAGCGGCCCTAGAGTTTGTCTAGCCAGCGACCCTAGCGTTTGTCTAGCCAGCGACCTTTGTCTAGCCAGCGGCCCTAGAGTTTGTCTAGCCAGCGACCCTAGAGTTTGTCTAGCCAGCGACCTTTGTCTAGCCAGCGGTCCTAGCGTTTGTCTAGCCAGCGGCCCTAGAGTTTGTCTAGCCAGCGACCCTAGAGTTTGTCTAGCCAGCGACCTTTGTCTAGCCAGCGGTCCTAGAGTTTGTCTAGCCAGCGACCCTAGAGTTTGTCTAGCCAGCGACCTTTGTCTAGCCAGCGGTCCTAGAGTTTGTCTAGCCAGCGACCCTAGAGTTTGTCTAGCCAGCGACCCTAGAGTTTGTCTAGCCAGCGGCCCTAGAGTTTGTCTAGCCAGCGACCTTTGTCTAGCCAGCGACCCTAGAGTTTGTCTAGCCAGCGACCTTTGTCTAGCCAGCGACCTTTGTCTAGCCAGCGACCTTTGTCTAGCCAGCGACCCTAGAGTTTGTCTAGCCAGCGACCTTTGTCTAGCCAGCGACCCTAGAGTTTGTCTAGCCAGCGACCCTAGAGTTTGTCTAGCCAGCGGCCCTAGAGTTTGTCTAGCCAGCGACCTTTGTCTAGCCAGCGACCCTAGAGTTTGTCTAGCCAGCGACCTTTGTCTAGCCAGCGACCCTAAAGTTTGTCTAGCCAGCGACCTTTGTCTAGCCAGCGACCTTTGTCTAGCCAGCGACCTTTGTCTAGCCAGCGACCTTTGTCTAGCCAGCGACCCTAGAGTTTGTCTAGCCAGCGACCCTAGAGTTTGTCTAGCCAGCGACCTTTGTCTAGCCAGCGACCCTAGAGTTTGTCTAGCCAGCGACCTTTGTCTAGCCAGCGACCTTTGTCTAGCTTGCAGCGACCCTAGCGTTTGTCTAGCCAGCGGCCCTAGAGTTTGTCTAGCCAGCGGCCCTAGAGTTTGTCTAGCCAGCGACCCTAGCGTTTGTCTAGCCAGCGGCCCTAGAGTTTGTCTAGCCAGCGACCTTTGTCTAGCTTGCAGCGACCCTAGCGTTTGTCTAGCCAGCGGCCCTAGAGTTTGTCTAGCCAGCGACCTTTGTCTAGCCAGCGACCTTTGTCTAGCCAGCGACCCTAGCGTTTGTCTAGTCAACAACCTACACACAGACAGAGGACGAAGCAGACGTCTACACGGCATGTAACTTGACACCTGACGATAGCGGGGGAAACGCAGGCTATTGTTTTGTGTGGTGGGGGGAGGGGGGGGCTGCTGATCCATGCTGTAGTAGGTCGATTGTTTAGACTTAGTCTAGACCCAACGAAAGGTTTGGCTGATAGATAAGGTCATAACTGGACCGTCGCTAGAAAAGGTCATAACTGGACCGTCGTTAGATAAGGTCATAACTAGACCGTCGTTAGATAAGGTCATAACTAGACCGTCGTTAGATAAGGTCATAACTGGACCGTCGTTAGATAAGGTCATAACTGGACCGTCGTTAGATAAGGTCATAACTAGACCGTCGTTAGATAAGGTCATAACTAGACCGTCGTTAGATAAGGTCATAACTGGACCGTCGTTAGATAAGGTCATAACTGGACCCTCGTTAGATAAGGTCATAACTAGACCGTCGTTAGATAAGGTCATAACTGGACCGTCGTTAGATAAGGTCATAACTGGACCGTCGTTAGATAAGGTCATAACTGGACCTTCGTTACATAAGGTCATAACTGGACCGTCGTTACATAAGGTCATAACCGGACCATTACCAGTGTCCACAAGTAGGCCCTACATTACATGTGGGGGACGGTAGTTTAACAGAGTGACAAGACGTTTCGATCATGTTGAGACGTATGCTGACGTTGGCGGGGGAAGCTTGGCATTCAAAGTATGCAGGGAATTTCATATTCGTTAGTTTACCTACATGACTAATAGAGGCTTATAATACATCCAAGCAGTGTACATGGCTAGTGTAACACCAGGTTGTGTACATGATTAATGTACAAAGTTGTGTATATGGCTAGTGTACAACCAGGTTCTGTACGTGATTAGTGTACAACCAGACTGTGTACATGACTAGTGTACAACCATTCTGTGTACACAAAATGTACATGATTAGTGTACATCCGTCTCCTACACAGCAGACACAACGATATAAAATATTTCGAAGCACCGACACACGACATTCTGACATCTTAAGTCGACATACATAGCATAAGCCGACACACCTTAATGTGACACACCTTAGCACGAGACGAACACACCTTTAGTCAGCTGTAATAACGGCCCTTACCGACCGCTAGCCTACCCCGCTTGTCGCCGTTAGCCCGTCACTGAGGGGGGGGGGGGGGGGCAACCTGTTGACAAAATGGCTGAGGTCTAACATGTAGGCCTGGCCTAGTTTAGCAGGGTGTGTTGGTAGTTTACCAGAGCCCTAGTCATGGCGGAATTCTCATAGAGATGCTAGGATTATAGATAGTCTACTGGCTCGACATATTTTTAGTTCCTGGTACATACACAGCAGACCACAGTCAAAAGTGGCACTTCTTGAAGTTTGCTCGCATAGAGCTGAATCCCTGTCAGCTGGCCGGGAACAGGTAGGCAGAGACAGATCTAGATCTACGTCCAACTTTTGTCATTTTGATTTCCTGACAAGGCCGCTTTGTTGACTCACGTGACGAGACGTCACACACCGTAGTTTAATTTCTGCTTCCTAGCCTAGCCTATGTGACAGCACCGTTATCACATGTCTATCACGTGCCCACACGGGGTGTGTTTGTTTAGGTCAGGTGTGTGTGTCGTCTGTTGCATTGTCTACAGATAACCTTTCCATATCTACGTATAGGGCTACACAGCGCTTAATCGCTCGGAGAAGGGGACTTTTAAACGAGATAAACAACGGTACTCCACTGGCCTAGAGTCTAGAGAATTCTAGATCTTAGATATTTATTTAATAAATAATAAATAGACTAGAATCTAGATCTAGATCTAGATCTAGATTCTCTAGCTAGATATGTAATCTAGATCTATTCTTTCTACGAATACTCTGACAAATTACTAATAGTAATTTAGATCTAGATCTAGTAGCTATTGGCATTGGTTAGATATCTAGATCTAGTTGGGGGGAAGTATTTTAAACATTTTATTTTATGTTTATTTTTTTATTGCTGTGATAAAGTAGTAAAGTAATAAATAAAGTTAGCCTAAGTAAAGTTAGTAGTTTAGACAGTTTAGTTAGTAGAAGTACTCTAGACTCTAGAGGATTAGTACTCTAGAATACTCTACTCTAGTCTAGATAGACTAAGAAAGATAGTTAAGAATAGTTAAACTTAATACTTAAAAGAGTTAAGATACTACTAGATCTAGTACTAGATCTAGATCTAGAACTAGATTAGATCTATTATTTATTACAGTATTAGTTATTACCGTTAACTTGCTCAATCTAGCTAGGCTGTGGTAATTTAGTCCAGACTTAAGTCACAAGTTAAGTGACATGTCACATTACACTGTCAAATTAATTTATTAAAGACTAAGATGATTAGGCCTATTTAGTATTTACTATTTACTAATACTAGTACTAGATCTAGATCTAGATCTAGAAATCTAGTACTTACACAGGCTTACTAAGTCTTAACTAAGTCACTTACATTTTACATGAACCCCACCCTTTCAGTCATCATTTGTGTTGACTCTGCTTACTTGAGTGGACAAAAAGTCACTATAGGCCTATTTAATATTATTTATCATTTATTTTATATTTGCTCACTCTTTTTATTACTTTTTAAATTTTGCAAGGGCCGACTATGGCTGGTCCATACTGTTACTTACAATAAATAATAATATTCTAAAGGTTAAAGTGCACTTCACTTAAATCACTCACTACAGCTACAACTTTGCTATGAGTTAATATGAAAACAGTTACAATCAAGATTGTTTCAAAGATACCTCATAAAAAATATACTTGAGTAGACATAGATCTATATGGTTTTTAGTATAGAAATTAATACTTTCTGAAGCTACCAAATGACTCAACTTAGACTAAATGTTGTGTAGTTTAATAGAGGTCTAATGCTTTTCTGACCCCTGACCTTTGGTTGATCCAGTTCACCCCTATCACAATGGGATGATAGTCAGAACACCACATTAAAAAAGATTTATTTTAAATTCTGCTGGCTTCAGATTTACACTTTGCCTTTTTAAAATGTCACTCATATTTCAAGAATTTTTTTTTCTTCTAGATATTGTACTAGCTCTAGCTGTGGTCATCTAACAACTGCTGGACATGATGTAGTTATGGTCATCCGCCAACTGCTGGATATGATGGAGCTAAAGGTTTGGGTGGATGGTCTACAAAAAGTTGTGTGTGGTGCCAACTCCAGCACAACATGCCATGACGTGGTGTTGGCCCTGGCACATTCTATGGGCAGAACTGGCCGGTTTACACTGATTGAAAAATGGAGGGAATCTGAGCGGCCACTAACCCCCACTGAATGTCCACTACAGTCCCTGCAGAAGTGGGGGGGTTACGCTGCTGAGGTCAAGTTTTACCTGGTGCATGCTGACCGCAGCTACCAGGGAAAGGAAACATTCCGTCACACCCCTCCTCCTGGTCGTCATGAACCTAACACAGACTCACTCAAGCGCTCATCAACATTCAGTGGTGTCCACTACAGGTCAGCTGGTTTTGTCACCAGCTCTTTAAACAAGCAATCTTCTAGGACAGGAAGTCGTGGCATTGGTGAGGAGTCCAACACAAACCCAGCAACACCAGATCAGCTCAGAACTCATTCTAGCAGTCACACCTCAGTCAGGTCAAACAATTATTTTTCAGTGTCTGGGCATATATCCTCTCCACAATCACAACTCCCTAACACATCACAACATCCACACCCTACCAACACATCACAACATCCACACCCTACCAACACATCACAACTTCCATACCCTACCAACACATCACAACATCCACACCTTCCTAACACATCACAACATCCACACCTTCCTAACACATCACAACTTCCATACCCTACCAACACATCACAACATCCACACCTCCCTAACACATCACAACATCCACACCTTCCTAACACATCACAACACCCACACCTCCCTAACACATCACAACATCCACACCTCCCTAACACATCACAACATCCACACCTCCCTAACACATCACAACATCCACACCTTCCTAACTCATCACAATATCCACACCTCAACACATCACAACATCCACACCCTACCAACACCTCGCAACATCCACACCTCAACGCATCACAACATCCACACCTCAACGCATCACAACATCCACACCCTACCAACACCTTGCAACATCCACACCTTCCCATTCCCGCTCCCAGACGTAATGTCAGTTCTCCATTATCACTTGACGGATCAAGTCAAAGCAGTCAAACCACACATCTAAACACTCAAACCACACATCTAAACACTCAAACCACACAACTAAACAGTCAAACCACACATCTAAACAGTCAAACCACACATGAAATTAATTTAAACGCTGGGACTGCCCCCAGTCCATCAGAGAAGACATTGCACAGCCCATCAGATGGCAGCCAGTACCAATGGTCACCTACAGACCTACAGTCTGATGTGCATGCAGCCCACCATGACCTAGACAAGGATACACCTGGCAGAGCCTTAACATCAGCCACCATAGAGAGCTCTGTCAGAGACAACCTCTCACCCTCTGCCAGCACAGGTCCTGATGGAAAGAAAACTTTGAATGAGAATCTTCCACCTAGTGGCCACGTGAGCTCCAGTCATATGGCCACACATGATAGTGTCAACAGAGAAAATGTTTTGACAAAACTTGAAACACAGAAGATGAGTTTTGTTGAGTCAGCAGTCAAAAATTCCAAAACAGCTGGAGCTGCTAGAGCCCCTTCCTCGTTTGCTTCAGCAGTTGCACATCTTCGACAGCACAGCAATGATGGACATTTAGCAGCAGATAAAACCTCTGCCCCCCATGTAAGGCAGAGCAGCAATGATGGGGAACTTTCTGCCTTCATGCAAGTTCCACCTCGTTCTAGCAGTAGCTCCACCCCAGTGGCGTTTAGCCTGGACACTGTCCACCACAAGAACATTGGTCCAGGATGGCACCACCAGGGCTCCCACTCCAGGCAAGCCAGCGTGGAGATAGAAGAATATGACTTGGATGAGAAGTTCCCCGACTACTCTGTTGGTGGTCTGCCACTAGAGTACAGCCTAGACAGTATGCTGCCAGTCAACACAGAGTATTTGCAGCTCATTCAATTCATCCAAATCCAGGGGGAGAGAATTGACATGCAAGAAGTCAAGCTACAGGAAACCAGCATGGGTAAGCTCCCTTTACTGACCATACTAGCAACTACATTTTTTTAAATCTTATATATTGAAATCTTTAAATGACCACACAGTTTGTATGCACGTATATTTATTGATTACACTTATGTTTTTTATAGTGCCAGGGATAAAGTAGGCATGTTGGCAAAAAAAAATGTGTTGATTATTCAATAATTACTGCCCTTTGTTCAGAGATTTCTGCCCTAGAATCCCAGCATTGGCCAAATGAGGACAACTCTGGCCAACTGAGCCTGGCCCAGAAGCAGGAGCTGGCCCAGCTTGAGCAGGCTGACTGGGCCAGTGTTTTGGCCAGCCATCAGCAACAGGAGGAGAACTTGAAGAATCAGGTGAGTTTTGTGGTCACAGTTCATGGGTCACATGGCCCAGTTCATTGGTCACATGGCCCAGTTCATGGGTCACATGGCCCAGTTCATGGGTCACATGGCCCAGTTCATGGGTCACATGGCCTAGTTCATTGGTCACATGGCCCAGTTCATGGGTCACATGGCTCAGTTCATTGGTCACATGGCCCAGTTCATGGGTCACATGGCCCAGTTCATGGGTCACATGGCTCAGTTCATGGGTCACATGGCCCAGTTCATGGGTCACATGACCAGTTCATGGGTCACATGGCCCAGTTCATTGGTCAGTCACATGGCCCCAGTTCATGGGTCACATGGCCCAGTTCATGGGTCACATGGCTCAGTTCATGGGTCACATGGCCCAGTTCATGGGTCACATGACCAGTTCATGGGTCACATGACCAGTTCATTGGTCACATGGCCCCAGTTCATGGGTCACATGGCCCCAGTTCATGGGTCACATGGCCCCAGTTCATGGGTCACATGGCCCCAGTTCATGGGTCACATGGCCCCAGTTCATGGGTCACATGGCCCAGTTCATTGGTCAGTCACATGGCCCCAGTTCATGGGTCACATGGCCCAGTTCATGGGTCACATGGCCCAGTTCATGGGGTAAAAAATTGAGAATTTTTTATTTATTTGTAAAATAGAATCTTTTTAGGCTAACATTTTTTTTTAATTTCTAAAAATATGTCTCTTTTTAAAATTTGTTACAAATACCATTTAGAACAAATCAGAACAAAAGTAACAGGTTAAGAAGCCATCCATAAGGACAACTTGATTTCATTTTTACAAGCTTTTATTTAACTTCTTCCTCATCATCTCTGTCTTTCTTAATCAAAACAAGCAGGCAAAATTTTGAGCACTTCTAACCGACCAGTTTCTCTAAAATTTGGAACGTGGCTCAAGACCCAATGACAATGCAATCTGACATCAAATTTGTCTTTATTGGATGACTAATTCATTTTAAATGAAATAATTAAAATTTTCTGAAATTAGTAGAGTGTTCTACTACTAATCCAAACAAGTATACCTGCATTGTCAAGTTCATTTGGTGTGCAATAGTTTTTAGTCATGGAACTCTGTTGTATTAAAAAATTGTTTTAATAACAAACTGTTATGTAGTAATGCAATAAAAAGGAGAAAATAAATGATTTTCATTAAATATATAATATTTGTACTAGTATTAAAATAACTGTACCCAACTAATTTGATCTGTCCACTGCTGTTTGTGTCCATCAGCTTGCCAGGATGGGTGGACAGCTTGAGGAGCTTGAGAGAAAACTTGGTCAACTCCAGGAACAGGAGGAGAGGCTCAGCCAGGACTTGTTGCTGGCTGTGGAGGTAAGTCATCAGGGAGGGGCTGGTATAGGGAGGGGCAGGTTCAGGGAGGGGCTGGTTCAGGGAGGGGCTGGTATAGGGAGGGGCAGGTTCAGGGAGGGGCTGGTTCAGGGAGGGGCTGGTATAGGGAGGGGCTGGTTCAGGGAGGGGTTGGTTCAGGGAGGGGCTGGTTCAGGGAGGGGCTGGTATAGGGAGGGGCAGGTTCAGGGAGGGGCTGGTTCAGGGAGGGGCTGGTATAGGGAGGGGCTGGTTCAGGGAGGGGTTGGTTCAGGGAGGGGCTGGTTCAGGTGGGTGGCAGGTTCAGGTGGGTGGCAGGTTCAGGGAGGGGCTGGTATAGGGAGGGGCAGGTTCAGGGAGGGGCTGGTATAGGGAGGGGCAGGTTCAGGGAGGGGCTGGTTCAGGGAGGGGCTGGTATAGGGAGGGGCTGGTATAGGGAGGGGCTGGTTCAGGGAGGGGCTGGTTCAGGTGGGTGGCAGGTTCAGGTGGGTGGCAGGTTCAGGGAGGGGCTGGTATAGGGAGGGGCAGGTTCAGGGAGGGGCTGGTTCAGGGAGGGGCTGGTATAGGGAGGGGCTGGTATAGGGAGGGGCAGGTTCAGGGAGGGGCTGGTTCAGGTGGGTGGCAGGTTCAGGGAGGGGCTGGTTCAGGGAGGGGCTGGTATAGGGAGGGGCTGGTTCAGGGAGGGGCTGGTATAGGGAGGGGCAGGTTCAGGGAGGGGCTGGTTCAGGTGGGTGGCAGGTTCAGGGAGGGGCTGGTTCAGGGAGGGGCTGGTATAGGGAGGGGCAGGTTCAGGGAGGGGCTGGTTCAGGGAGGGGCTGGTTCAGGGAGGGGCTGGTTCAGGTGGGTGGCAGGTTCAGGGAGGGGCTGGTTCAGGTGGGTGGCAGGTTCAGGGAGGGGCTGGTTCAGGGAGGGGCTGGTATAGGGAGGGGCTGGTTCAGGGAGGGGCTGGTTCAGGGAGGGGCAGGTTCAGGGAGGGGCTGGTTCAGGTGGGTGGCAGGTTCAGGGAGGTGCTGGATCAGGTGGGTGGCAGGTTCAGGGAGGGGCTGGATCAGGTGGGTGGCAGGTTCAGGGAGGGGCTGGTTCAGGGAGGGGCTGGTATAGGGAGGGGCTGGTTCAGGGAGGGGCTGGTTCAGGGAGGGGCAGGTTCAGGGAGGGGCTGGTTCAGGTGGGTGGCAGGTTCAGGGAGGTGCTGGATCAGGTGGGTGGCAGGTTCAGGGAGGGGCTGGATCAGGTGGGTGGCAGGTTCAGGGAGGGGCTGGTTCAGGGAGGGGCTGGTTCAGGGAGGGGCTGGTTCAGGGAGGGGCTGGTTCAGGTGGGTGGCTGGTTCAGGTGGGTGGCAGGTTCAGGTGGGTGGCAGGTTCAGGGAGGGGCTGGTTCAGGTGGGTGGCAGGTTCAGGGAGGGGCTGGTTCAGGGAGGGGCTGGTTCAGGGAGTGGCAGGTTCAGGGAGGGGCTGGTTCAGGTGGGTGGCAGGTTCAGGGAGGGGCTGGTTCAGGTGGGTGGCAGGTTCAGGGAGGGGCTGGTTCAGGTGGGTGGCAGGTTCAGGGAGGGGCTGGTATAGGGAGAGGCTGGTTCTGGGAGGGGCTGGTTCAGGGAGGGGCTGGTTCAGTTAGATAATGGTCTAATTGAAATAGATGATACAGTTTCTATTATCTTTAATCTACTTAAGGAAAATGATTTGAATTAAATATCTGAGGTGAGTATCAAATAATCTTCAAGGTGGAGGCTTTTTATCTACTGTAGCCCCTGTGCTATAGGTGTTGTTGGCTAACTCACAGGGACAATTTGTGTAGGCTCACAGGGACAATTTGTGTAGGCTAACTCACAGGGACAGTTTGTGTAGGCTCACAGGGACAATTTGTGTAGACTCACTCACAGGGACAATTTGTGTAGGCTCACAGGGACAATTTGTGTAGACTCGCTCACAGGGACAATTTGTGTAGACTCGCTCACAGGGACAATTTGTGTAGGCTCACAGGGACAATTTGTGTAGACTCGCTCACAGGGACAATTTGTGTTGGCTCACAGGGACAATTTGTGTAGGCTCACAGGGACAATTTGTGTAGACTCGCTCACAGGGACAATTTGTGTAGGCTCACAGGGACAATTTGTGTAGGCTCACATGGACAATTTGTGTAGGCTCACAGGGACAATTTGTGTAGGCTCACTCACAGGGACAATTTGTGTTGGCTCACAGGGACAATTTGTGTAGGCTCACAGGGACAATTTGTGTAGGCTCACAGGGACAATTTGTGTAGGCTCACAGGGACAATTTGTGTAGGCTCACAGGGACAATTTGTGTAGGCTAACTCATAGGGACAATTTGTGTAGGTCTCACTCACAGGGACAATTTGTGTAGGCTCACTCACAGGGACAGGGACAATTTGTTTAGACTAACTCACAGGGACAATTGATGTAGGCTCACAGGGACAATTTGTGTAGGCTCACAGGGACAATTTGTGTAGGCTCACTCACAGGGACAATTTGTGTAGACTCACAGGGACAATTTGTGTTGGCTCACAGGGACAATTTGTGTAGGCTCACAGGGACAATTTGTGTAGGCTCACAGGGACAATTTGTGTAGGCTCACAGGGACAATTTGTGTAGGCTCACATGGACAATTTGTGTAGACTCATTCACAGGGACAATTTGTGTAGGCTCACAGGGACAATTTGTGTAGGCTCACGCACAGGGACAATTTGTGTAGGCTCACAGGGACAATTTGTGTAGGCTCACAGGGACAATTTGTGTAGGCTAACTCACAGGGACAATTTGTGTAGGCTAACTCACAGGGACAATTTGTGTAGGCTAACAGGGACAATTTGTGTAGGTTAACTCACAGGGACAATTTGTGTAGGCTAACAGGGACAATTTGTGTAGGCTAACTCACAGGGACAATTTGTGTAGGCTCACTCACAGGGACAATTTGTGTAGGCTCACTCACAGGGACAATTTGTGTAGGCTCACAGGGACAATTTGTGTAGGCTCACAGGGACAATTTGTGTAGGCTCACAGGGACAATTTGTGTAGGCTAACTCACAGGGACAATTTGTGTAGGCTCACTCACAGGGACAATTTGTGTAGGCTAACTCACAGGGACAATTTGTGTAGGCTCACAGGGACAATTTGTGTAGGCTCATTCACAGGGACAATTTGTGTAGGCTCACTCACAGGGACAATTTGTGTTGGCTCATTCACAGGGACAATTTGTGTAGGCTCACAGGGACAATTTGTGTAGGCTCACAGGGACAATTTGTGTAGGCTAACAGGGACAATTTGTGTAGGCTAACTCACAGGGACAATTTGTGTAGGCTCACTCACAGGGACAATTTGTGTAGGCTAACTAACGGGGACAATTTGTGTAGACTCGCTCACAGGGACAGGGACAATTTGTGTTGGCTAACTCACAGGGACAATTTGTGTAGGCTCACAGGGACAATTTGTGTTGGCTCACTCACAGGGACAATTTGTGTAGGCTCACTCACAGGGACAATTTGTGTAGGCTAACTCACAGGGACAATTTGTGTAGGCTAACTCACAGGGACAATTTGTGTTGGCTAACTCACAGGGACAATTTGTGTTGGCTCATTCACAGGGACAATTTGTGTAGGCTAACTCACAGGGACAATTTGTGTAGGCTAACTCACAGGGACAATTTGTGTAGGCTCACAGGGACAATTTGTGTAGGCTCACTCACAGGGACAATTTGTGTAGGCTAACTCACAGGGACAATTTGTGTAGGCTCACAGGGACAATTTGTGTAGGCTCACTCACAGGGACAATTTGTGTAGGCTAACTCATAGGGACAATTTGTGTAGGTCTCACTCACAGGGACAATTTGTGTAGGCTCACTCACAGGGACAATTTGTTTAGACTCACTCACAGGGACAGGGACAATTTGTGTAGGCTAACTCATAGGGACAATTTGTGTAGGCTAACTCACAGGGACAATTTGTGTAGGCTAACAGGGACAATTTGTGTAGGCTAACTCACAGGGACAATTTGTGTTGGCTCATTCACAGGGACAATTTGTGTTGGCTCACTCACAGGGACAATTTGTGTAGGCTCACAGGGACAATTTGTGTAGGCTCACTCACAGGGACAATTTGTGTAGGCTCACTCACAGGGACAATTTGTGTAGGCTAACTCACAGGGACAATTTGTGTAGGCTAACTCACAGGGACAATTTGTGTAGGCTCACAGGGACAATTTGTGTAGGCTAACAGGGACAATTTGTGTAGGCTAACTCACAGGGACAATTTGTGTAGGCTCACAGGGACAATTTGTTAGGCTAACTCACAGGGACAATTTGTTAGGCTCACTCACAGGGACAATTTGTGTAGGCTCACTCACAGGGACAATTTGTGTAGGCTCACAGGGACAATTTGTGTAGGCTCACTCACAGGGACAATTTGTTAGGCTCACTCACAGGGACAATTTGTGTAGGCTCACAGGGACAATTTGTGTAGGCTCACAGGGACAATTTGTGTTGGCTCACTCACAGGGACAATTTGTGTAGGCTCACAGGGACAATTTGTGTAGGCTCACTCACAGGGACAATTTGTGTAGGCTCACTCACAGGGACAGGGACAATTTGTGTAGGCTAACTCACAGGGACAATTTGTGTAGGCTCACTCACAGGGACAATTTGTGTAGGCTAACTCACAGGGACAATTTGTGTAGGCTTACAGGGACAATTTGTGTAGGCTCACAGGGACAATTTGTGTAGGCTCACTCACAGGGACAATTTGTGTAGGCTCACTCACAGGGACAGGGACAATTTGTGTAGGCTAACTCACAGGGACAATTTGTGTTGGCTCACTCACAGGGACAATTTGTGTTGGCTCACAGGGACAATTTGTGTTGGCTCACAGGGACAATTTGTGTTGGCTCACTCACAGGGACAGGGACAATTTGTTTTGACTTTCTAAAACTGGTCACCAAATGAGATGAAAGCTTGTCCAGACTATATTGGCTTAGAGCTACTCTGTCAAATTTTATTAGGCTGAATTAGTTCAAGTCATCTGTACTGTACCACCCAACGTTTTTTGTTTGTGGGTTTGTGGCAAATCTTGTAACTCTTTTGACCCAGTTATAATGCAGCAATTTTGTTCAAAACTTTCCAGATATGTAACACTTTGATGACAATACAAGTCTATCTATTTTGTTAATTCATTTAAATGGTTAAATAATCATTAACAATTAAACATCTTTAAAACTAAGGGGGGGATAAGAAAAGAAAATCACAGAAGGGGGGATAACTAACTCAACACAATCTGGAGCCGGACGTATTCCCAAAAGGCACTTGCCCAAATGCCTATTCCCAGAATGGACACTTGCCAGAATGCAACAAATTCCCAAAACCACTTGTACGTAGGCAGTTTGCCCGAAAAATGTTAATATTAGATTAAAAAAATTAGATTAAAAAAATAATATTACCAACTAGACATTCTTAACAATTCAAGTTTGAAATTTTGATAGTCAAAACAATTCTAAGCATAAAAACAAAGCTGTTTATGTTTTTGCATTCTGTTATCGTTTACAATTGTATTGAAAGTTTATAGACTGAACCATACATTAGATCACCGATGTTTAGCGACACAGTAACAAAAACACACAGGATGCGACCATTGTGTTCAGATAATTTTAACTTGTCAAGAGAACTTTGAAAATTGTCAAATGTTTTTGTTTTATATCTCTCTGTACACAATCCTATGGATGAACCTACTATAGCTTAATTCTTTATCATTTTATTTGTTATCAGTGAATTTAACAACTAAAGGTAGTCAATTATGTTTTACCTCAATTTAATGCACCTTGTTTAGACAATATGTTGAAGTGATAGCAAAATTCTTTTTAAAATCCTGAGATAAATGAAAGTGGTATTTTTGTCTTGTTTCATAGATGGAAAAGAAACTATGTTTGTACGCTTTTTATATACATTCTTATACACAAGTGAATTAAGAATGTCTGCGTAGTAATATATAATTTTTTTTCCTTTCTTTTTGTTTAGATATTTATTGTTATCAACATTTCAAATTTCAATTAATTAAAATGATTACCAATGATTATTTGGTAATATATAATGTTAACATTTTTGGGCAAACCGCCTTGGGGCAAGTGACTTGTGGGCAAGTGTCCATTCAGGAAATCAGGCAAACAGCATTCGGGCAAGTGTCTTTCAGGAATTTGTCCTAGAACCGACACAATCACCCAGTCTGAAAAGCTGTGGCTGACGAGAATGTTTACACTCGTAAAGCCGGCCAATCTAGTGAAGGCTAGTTTTTAACTGATTTGAAACTAAGGGGAGGTAACAAAATTAAGAACTATCTGTCATTTGTAAAAAATTGTTCAGGGTCCTGTGTGTCACTTTTAAATGCACTGAAAATAAGAAAATAAAACTAATTTGCTTTCTTTCATAAAAGCTTTGGTTGCTAAAATATGTAATAGATCTCATGAGTAACCAAAGCTTTTATGAAAGAAAGCTTTTTATTTTCTTACTTTCAGTGCATTTAAAAGCTTGTTGCTATAAAAAGAAAATTATATTTTTTGATTGAATGTTAAAGTTTGTCCACATTTTGAGTATGAAAGCTACAAAGCAAATGTTTATGTGATAGATGAAAGCTACAAAGCAAATGTTTATGTGATAGATGAAAGCTACAAAGCAAATGTTTATGTGATAGGAAAGTATCAACACTGAAGTGTCATTGCTGAAAGAGAAGCTGCTCAAAGTGGACAAACAAATTGGTGAGGATAACAAAAAACTGGAGAACATGAAATCTCTGATCAGTCAAATGGAAGAATTAAAACAGAGCAAGGTAATAGAAATAACAAATGTATTAGGATAATAATTTTAATTATGTAATTTTAATGATATAATTCTCCCATCTTAGAGAAAACTGTCTCTTTTTCCGTGGATAAATGCAGCTTAAGGAATATCACTCTTAATTTTAAACTAATTTTTTGTGAACTTTATTTTGTCGTGTTGTTTAACTCAACACAGAGCCGCGAGGAGGCTGAATTAGAAAAACTGGTGTCTGGTAAAACTGTCAAACAAATATCCAGCTCAGAGCCCATCAACAGTCCCAAGTCTCCAACCCTCACATCAGCTGCAGATAGTGGAGAGAGTAAGTAGATCTCAGTCACTGGCTTGTCATTTCATGGGTGCTACAGATATCATCATACATAGTTTCACATGGGCTACAGATATTATCATACATAGTTTCACATGGGCTAGATATATCCATCATACATAGTTTCACATGGGCTAGATATATCATCATACATAGTTTAACATGGGCTAGATATATCCATCATACATAGTTTAACATGGGCTAGAGATATCATCATACATAGTTTAACATGGGCTAGATATATCATCATACATAGTTTAACATGGGCTAGATATATCCATCATACATAGTTTAACATGGGCTAGATATATCCATCATACATAGTTTCACATGGGCTAGAGATATCATCATACATAGTTTAACATGGGCTAGATATATCATCATACATAGTTTAACATGGGCTAGATATATCCATCATACATAGTTTAACATGGGCTAGATATATCATCATACTTGCTGTGGCCTAATGTGACTTTTATTCTCTGCCAGCCATAATAAAAATCTTAGAAGGTCTCTCCTCACCCTACCCAGAGGGCCTGGCCACTACATTTAAATCACAGAACCCCAATGGAGTCTGGGTTTGATAGGACCACTTCTGGCTGTGTGATAGGACCACTTCTAGCTGTGTGATAGGACCACTTCTAGCTGTGTGATAGGACCACTTCTAGCTGTGTGACAGGACCACTTCTAGCTGTGTGACAGGACCACTTCTGGCTGTCTGATAGGACCACTTCTGGCTGTGTGACAGGACCACTTCTGGCTGTGTGACAGGACCACTTCTGGCTGTGTGATAGGACCACTTCTAGCTGTGTGATAGGACCACAAATTATTAATACCAGCTGCCAGCCCTATTCCCACAATAATTGTTGATGTCAAATTATTAATACCAGCTGCCAGTCCTATTCCCACAATAATTGTTGATGTCAAATTATTAATACCAGCTGCCAGTCCTATTTCCACAATAATTGTTGATGTCAAATTATTAATACCAGCTGCCAGCCCTATTCCCACAATAATTGTTGATGTCAAATTATTAATACCAGCTGCCAGCCCTATTTCCACAATAATTGTTGATGTCAAATTATTAATACCAGCTGCCAGACCTATTCCAACAATAATTGTTGATGTCAAATTATTAATACCAGCTGCAAGACCTATTTCCACAATAATTGTTGATGTCAAATTTTTAATACCAGCTGCCAGCCCTATTCCCACAATAATTGTTGATGTCAAATTATTAATACCAGCTGCCAGCCCTATTTCCACAATAATTGTTGATGTCAAATTATTAATACCAGCTGCCAGCCCTATTTCCACAATAATTGTTGATGTCAAATTATTAATACCAGCTGCCAGCCCTATTCCCACAATAATTGTTTCCTGTGAATACTCAAGCAAAAATAAATGTTACTAAAACTGGAGCTTGTAACTTTGATCTTGTTAAGCCCTCCCAAATCTTGCCAAAAATATCACCACATGATTTTGAGTGAGGTGACCTCTGGTCAAGAATGTTTGTACATTTATAATACTTGATACTGATTTGTTTGTACATGAACAATGTTTATATTTATATCTTTGTGATCAAAATATATTGTTATTTAATCTGTTTTCAAGGTATTTTTCCCGTGATTTTATGCCAATGAAAAACTATTAAATCTGATGCATGTCTTCCCAACAACTCATGTTAACTTTATGTACAACCAGACAATGAAATCTGATGCAGGTCTATCCAACAACTCATGTTAACTTTATGTACAACCAGACAATGAAATCTGATGCAGGTCTATCCAAAACTCATGTTAACTTTATGTACAACCAGACAATGAAATCTGATGCAGGTCTATCCAACAACTCATGTTAACTTTATGTACAACCAGACAATGATGCAGGTCTATCCAACAACTCATGTTAACTTTATGTACAGCCAGACAATGATGCAGGTCTATCCAACAACTCATGTTAACTTTATGTACAACCAGACAATGAAATCTGATGCAGGTCTATCCTACAACTCATGTTAACTTTATGTACAACCAGACAATGATGCAGGTCTATCCAACAACTCATGTTAACTTTATGTACAACCAGACAATGAAATCTGATGCAGGTCTATCCAACAACTCATGTTAACTTTATGTACAACCATACAATGAAATATGATGCAGGTCTATCCAACAACTCATGTTAACTTTATGTACAACCAGACAATGAAATCTGATGCAGGTCTATCCAACAACTCATGTTAACTTTATGTACAACCAGACAATGAAATCTGATGCAGGTCTATCCAACAACTCATGTTAACTTTATGTACAACCAGACAATGATGCAGGTCTATCCAACAACTCATGTTAACTTTATGTACAACCAGACAATGATGCAGGTCTATCCAACAACTCATGTTAACTTAATGTACAACCAGACAATGATGCAGGTCTATCCAACAACTCATGTTAACTTTATGTACAACCAGACAATGATGCAGGTCTATCCAACAACTCATGTTAACTTAATGTACAACCAGACAATGATGCAGGTCTATCCAACAACTCATGTTAACTTTATGTACAACCAGACAATGATGCAGGTCTATCCAACAACTCATGTTAACTTTATGTACAACCAGACAATGAAATCTGATGCAGGTCTATCCAACAACTCATGTTAACTTTATGTACAACCAGACAATGAAATCTGATGCAGGTCTCAACCTTTATGAACAACCCAGACAACCTAAAGTTGACCATACAAATGTGCCAGAAAAAAAAAGATATATCCACACACAAAGTTTGACAATAGTAATTAACATCACACAGCTATTAATGTATGATGCAAAAATAATTTGACACAAAATATATTACTTATGTTTGTTTTTACAATTGGTAAAATACATTACATATATTTGTTTTTACAAGCGGAAAATTCCCCAAAACACAAAAAAAAACCTAAAATTTTAAACAGTTTATATTTTGTTTCAATGATGCAGTTGTAGTTCTGGCTGTTAATAATTTTATTAGAAAGCTCTCTTCAAAATTTTAAATCTATTGATTTATATTTTTCACCCGATACTTCAAATGTCTTTCAATGGCTGTAGGGTCATAGTTTTCATCTAAAGAGCGGCAACATTTTAGCATACATTTTTTTGCAATTTAATTTTAATATTTAACTGAAAATATCAGCGGAATATTAGAACTAAAAAAAAAATCTTTATTTAGTCCAGTATTAGCCTACCGGCAGACCTAGGTTAATCGTCCACTTGAAAAGAAATGGGCAAACTCGATTGTTTGTTTGAATTAGTACCTGTATTGTAGGCCAATCGTTAAAATCACAGCCCTGGGGTAGTTAGCACCGGTGATGACTGTGTGGGAAGTCACTACAGGTGACTGTGTGGGAAGTCACTTTGTGACATGAGTGTGGGAAGTCACCACTTGTGATACTGCCTTAGTTAGCCCAAATGTACCCTTCCTCTCTGCCTCCATTTTACTTCACAACCTCAAACTAATATTGAAATCCTTCCAAAAAGTGACTGAGTACCAGACTTCACTGATCCTCCTTGTAGCAACAGTGACTTGTGACCTTCACCCTCAGGTACATATTTGGTAATACTTGTTAGGCTGTGCCAGCATTTTATATTTTATATATCTCCAATAGCTATGTTCTTACTATATATAGATTATTAGATTATATAATGAGTGAAAGTATGTGTTGTGTTTATATTATATAATGACTGGGTTGTGTTTAGATCATATGACTGTGTTGTGTTTAGATTATACAATGACTATGTGTTGTGTTACAATGAATGTATGTGGTTATGTTTAGATATAATGCTGTATGTATAGGCTGAGAGAAAACTATTGTACCTTGAATTGACCCCTAGGTTGAGAGAAAACTATTGTGCCTTGAATTGACCCCTATGCTGATGATCAGATGTACCAAGTGTATTTTGTTGTGTTCAGTGAGATGATCTACTGTGTTTGTTGCTGTGTGCCCAGTCTTTATTCAAACCTTTTCTTGCTGCAATACAATTTTTATTCTAAGACAATTTTCTTCTTTGTATCTTAATCACCTACTATTTCTGAACAATCAATTAGGTTGGTGCGTGGTCTAAAGTCTAGTTAGGTTGGTGTCAATTTGTACTTAAGGAACTTTCAACTAATTAATCATTAATTGAACTAGCAGAACGCATGTTCTTACTAGATATATATTTTGCAATTTTTTTTGTCTTCCCCTCTAAATGGTGGGCCCCCACCTAGCTACGCCTCTGTGTGGTCTAACAGGTAATAAGGTTTAACTGCAAACACTTGTGAGCATACATTTTTTAATGTGAAATATACTCTATCAGAACAGCCTGCACTTTACAATAAGATGGAGATCACATAAAAATCACAGTAGAAGATGACAATTTAGGTTTACAAGTACATAAACATAATGACTGACACAAGACAAATTTCTCAACAAATGTAGTACAGTCTTTGGTCAGTTAGCATTAATTCATCTTAGTCAATTTCCGAGTTTACAGTTTGTTTCACAACAAAATACACAATTTTGATATTCCTGTAAAAGTCAAGTCATTACATTTTCTTTTTCAACAAAAATAATTGTACAGGGTGCAGCCAGCATCAAAATTGAGTGAATTGTACATTCAAAACTCAATGAATCAAACAAATATATTAAATTAGGCTTGGTACATACAGTTACATTTGTAATTTTAAAAATGTATATAAAAATGAATCTGTTAAAACTGGCTACCAGTGACTGGCCACCTGTGACTGGCCAACATTGCGCCCCTAGTAGAGTCAGCCTCACTGTGAGTCCCCACAATCAGCAGGGCATTCTGGGAGGGCCAGCAGCGGGGGACCAAATGGGTCAACCTGTGGAAGAAATGGTTTAAGACATGTTTTAAAATGTTTTAAAAATGGCTTCATTCAACTACCAGCACTAATTGGCATCAACTTGAGTAAAACAAGCTGGTGACATGAGAGACACCAACTACACTTACAGTAGGCCTCGTACAAACCTAGCTGGTCAAATACACAGGAGAGACAAACTCTTGACAAACTTAACACTTCTTACATACATTAATATAAGAAATATAACAGGTCAGTTTGACTTATTGATGTCTCTGTGAATAACAAGGTAAGCCACCACCTACCTATAGGAGGTAAGCCACCACCTACCTGTAGGAGGTAAGCCACCAACTACCTGTAAGAGGGAAGCCACCACCTACCTACCTGTAGGAGGTAAGCCACCACCTACCTACCTGTAGGAGGTAAGCCACCAACTACCTGTAAGAGGGAAGCCACCACCTACCTACCTGTAGGAGGTAAGCCACCACCTACCTGTAGGAGGTAAGCCACCACCTACCTGTAGGAGGTAAGCCACCAACTACCTGTTCTACCAACATTTGGTTACCTTGTATGAATGTTAACATATGGTTACCTTGTATGAATGTTCTACCAACATTTGGTTACCTTGTATGAATGTTAACATATGGTTACCTTGTATGAATGTTGTACCAACATTTGGTTACCTTGTATGAATGTTAACATATGGTTACCTTGTATGAATGTTAACATTTGGTTACCTTGTATGAATGTTGTACCAACATTTGGATACCTTGTATGAATGTTAACATTTGGTTATCTTGTATGAATGTTGTACCAACATTTGGATACCTTGTAGGAATGTTAACATTTGGTTATCTTGTATGAATGTTAACATTTGGTTTCCTTGTATGAATGTTGTACCAACATTTGGATACCTTGTATGAATGTTAACATTTGGTTATCTTGTATGAATGTTGTACCAACATTTGGATACCTTGTATGAATGTTAACATTTGGTTATCTTGTATGAATGTTAACATTTGGTTATCTTGTATGAATGTTAACATTTGGTTATCTTGTATGAATGTTAACATTTGGTTACCTTGTATGAATGTTAACATATAGTTACCTTGTATGAATGTTCTACCAACATTTGGATACTTTGTATGAATGTTAACATTTGGTTATCTTGTATGAATGTTAACATTTGGTTACCTTGTATGAATGTTCTACCAACATTTGGTTACCTTGTATGAATGTTAACATTTGGTTACCTTGTATGAATGTTAACATTTGGTTATCTTGTATGAATGTTCTACCAACATTTGGTTACCTTGTATGAATGTTCTACCAACATTTGGATACCTTGTATGAATGTTCTACCAACATTTGGATACCTTGTATGAATGTTAACATTTGGTTACCTTGTATGAATGTTAACATTTGGTTATCTTGTATGAATGTTCTACCAACATTTGGTTACCTTGTATGAATGTTCTACCAACATTTGGATACCTTGTATGAATGTTAACATTTGGTTACCTTGTATGAATGTTAACATTTGGTTATCTTGTATGAATGTTCTACCAACATTTGGTTACCTTGTATGAATGTTAACATTTGGTTACCTTGTATGAATGTTAACATTTGGTTATCTTGTATGAATGTTCTACCAACATTTGGTTACCTTGTATGAATGTTAACATTTGGTTACCTTGTATGAATGTTAACATTTGGTTACCTTGTATGAATGTTAACATTTGGTTACCTTGTATGAATGTTCTACCAACATTTGGTTACCTTGTATGAATGTTAACATTTGGTTATCTTGTATGAATGTTCTACCAACATTTGGTTACCTTGTATGAATGTTAACATTTGGTTACCTTGTATGAATGTTAACATTTGGTTACCTTGTATGAATGTTAACATATAGTTACCTTGTATGAATGTTAACATTTGTTTACCTTGTATGAATGTTAACATATGGTTACCTTGTATGAATGTTAACATATGGTTACCTTGTATGAATGTTCTACCAACATTTGGTTACCTTGTATGAATGTTAACATTTGGTTATCTTGTATGAATGTTAACATTTGGTTACCTTGTATGAATGTTAACATTTGGTTATCTTGTATGAATGTTAACATTTGGTTACCTTGTATGAATGTTAACATTTGGTTATCTTGTATGAATGTTAACATTTGGTTACCTTGTATGAATGTTAACATTTGGTTATCTTGTATGAATGTTAACATTTGGTTACCTTGTATGAATGTTAACATTTGGTTATCTTGTATGAATGTTAACATTTGGTTATCTTGTATGAATGTTCTACCAACATTTGGTTACCTTGTATGAATGTTAACATTTGGTTACCTTGTATGAATGTTAACATTTGGTTACCTTGTATGAATGTTAACATATGGTTACCTTGTATGAATGTTAACATTTGTTTACCTTGTATGAATGTTAACATATGGTTACCTTGTATGAATGCTAACATTTGGTTACCTTGTATGAATGTTCTACCAACATTTGGTTACCTTGTATGAATGTTAACATTTGGTTATCTTGTATGAATGTTAACATTTGGTTATCTTGTATGAATGTTAACATTTGGTTACCTTGTATGAATGTTAACATTTGGTTACCTTGTATGAATGTTAACATTTGGTTATCTTGTATGAATGTTAACATTTGGTTATCTTGTATGAATGTTAACATATGGTTACCTTGTATGAATGTTCTACCAACATTTGGTTACCTTGTATGAATGTTAACATTTGGTTATCTTGTATGAATGTTAACATTTGGTTACCTTGTATGAATGTTAACATTTGGTTATCTTGTATGAATGTTAACATTTGGTTACCTTGTATGAATGTTAACATTTGGTTATCTTGTATGAATGTTAACATTTGGTTACCTTGTATGAATGTTAACATTTGGTTATCTTGTATGAATGTTAACATTTGGTTACCTTGTATGAATGTTAACATTTGGTTATCTTGTATGAATGTTAACATTTGGTTATCTTGTATGAATGTTCTACCAACATTTGGTTACCTTGTATGAATGTTAACATTTGGTTACCTTGTATGAATGTTAACATTTGGTTACCTTGTATGAATGTTAACATATGGTTACCTTGTATGAATGTTAACATTTGTTTACCTTGTATGAATGTTAACATATGGTTACCTTGTATGAATGCTAACATTTGGTTACCTTGTATGAATGTTCTACCAACATTTGGTTACCTTGTATGAATGTTAACATTTGATTATCTTGTATGAATGTTAACATTTGGTTATCTTGTATGAATGTTAACATTTGGTTACCTTGTATGAATGTTAACATTTGGTTACCTTGTATGAATGTTAACATTTGGTTATCTTGTATGAATGTTAACATTTGGTTATCTTGTATGAATGTTAACATTTGGTTACCTTGTATGAATGTTAACATTTGGTTACCTTGTATGAATGTTAACATTTGGTTATCTTGTATGAATGTTAACATTTGGTTATCTTGTATGAATGTTAACATTTGGTTATCTTGTATGAATGTTCTACCAACATTTGGTTACCTTGTATGAATGTTAACATTTGGTTACCTTGTATGAATGTTAACATTTGGTTACCTTGTATGAATGTTAACATATGGTTACCTTGTATGAATGTTAACATTTGTTTACCTTGTATGAATGTTAACATATGGTTACCTTGTATGAATGTTAACATATGGTTACCTTGTATGAATGCTAACATTTGGTTACCTTGTATGAATGTTCTACCAACATTTGGTTACCTTGTATGAATGTTCTACCAACATTTGGTTATCTTGTATGAATGTTAACATTTGGTTATCTTGTATGAATGTTAACATTTGGTTACCTTGTATGAATGTTAACATTTGGTTATCTTGTATGAATGTTAACATTTGGTTACCTTGTATGAATGTTAACATTTGGTTATCTTGTATGAATGTTAACATTTGGTTATCTTGTATGAATGTTAACATTTGGTTATCTTGTATGAATGTTAACATTTGGTTACCTTGTATGAATGTTAACATTTGGTTATCTTGTATGAATGTTAACATTTGGTTATCTTGTATGAATGTTAACATTTGGTTATCTTGTATGAATGTTAACATTTGGTTACCTTGTATGAATGTTAACATTTGGTTATCTTGTATGAATGTTAACATTTGGTTACCTTGTATGAATGTTAACATTTGGTTATCTTGTATGAATGTTAACATTTGGTTATCTTGTATGAATGTTAACATTTGGTTATCTTGTATGAATGTTAAAATTTGGTTATCTTGTATGAATGTTAACATTTGGTTACCTTGTATGAATGTTAACATTTGGTTACCTTGTATGAATGTTAACATTTGGTTATCTTGTATGAATGTTAACATTTGGTTATCTTGTATGAATGTTAACATTTGGTTATCCCTTATGAATGTTAACATTTGGTTATCTTGTACTTACATCAACCCGAGCATTTTTCTGGACTTGGACAACCACATCCGTGGCCTTTGACCCATACTGTTTTCTGGCCCTTCCCCAGTTAGCCTTGACCTCTATGTTGACCTTTTCTTGGACCATCTGCATGAAAGACTTGCCAGTTGAGACACAGAGCAACTGGTCACGTTGGATCTCATCAAAACTCTGGACCTGCAACAGCTGACTGAGTCATTGGTGGAAACCTAGACATCCCACAGACATCATTACCACCCCACCCCCCACCTGCAACAGCTGACTGAGTCATTGGTGGAAACCTAGACATCCAACAGACATCATTACCACCCCACCCCCCCAACTGCAACAGCTGACTGAGTCATTTGTGGAAACCTAGACATCCTACAGACATTATTACCACCCCCCCCCCACCTGCAACAGCTGACTGAGTCATTGGTGGAAACCTAGACATCCTACAGACATCATTACCATCCCCCACCCCCACCCCACCTGCAACAGCTGACTGAGTCATTGGTGGAAACCTAGACATCCTACAGACATCATTACCACCCCCCACCCCTACCCCACCTGCAACAGCTGACTGAGTCATCGGTGGAAACCTAGACATCCAACAGACATCATTACCACCCCACCCCCACCTGCAACAGCTGACTGAGTCATTGGTGGAAACCTAGACATCCAACAGACATCATTACCACCCCCCACCCCTACCCCACCTGCAACAGCTGACTGAGTCATCGGTGGAAACCTAGACATCCAACAGACATCATTACCACCCCACCCCCACCTGCAACAGCTGAGTCATTGGTGGAAACCTAGACATCCAACAGACATCATTACCACCCCACCCCCACCCCCCACCTGCAACAGCTGAGTCATTGGTGGAAACCTAGACATCCAACAGACATCATTACCACCCCACCCCCCACCTGCAACAACTGAGTCATTGGTGGAAACCTAGACATCCAACAGACATCATTACCACCCCCCACCCCCACCCCACCTGCAACAGCTGACTGAGTCATCGGTGGAAACCTAGACATCCTACAGACATCATTACCACCCCACCCCACCCCACCCCCACCTACAACAAAATAGAAGAAGTCTATAGAAAATATTTTTTACTTTTACCAGTATCTGTCCGTCTCTTCCCCTTTCCCCCAACTCCAAAAAAAAAGGGAAAAAAAACACTGACTAATCTCAGAGTGGGGAAAAAATCCCCTAAAAATTGTTGATCTGGCTAAATATTATTCACTATACAATAGTTACTGAGTAGGTCAAAGACATGCCATTTGAATGGTTGCATGTTACTAGAGAAGTCTCCCTTACCCTTTGACCTTCCACAGTGTAGATGATCTTTGCTTGTTTCCTCAAAGACAGCTTGAATGTGGCGTTGTCAAGGATCTCCTCCAGTGAGCTGCCCCAAACATAGATGCTCCGCTCCACAGATTCACCATTAGGATAGACCAGGACACGTTTCTACATGGGATAGACAAGGACACATTTGTACATGGGATAGACAAGGACACGTTTCTACATGGGATAGACAAGGACACGTTTCTACATGGGATAGACAAGGACACGTTTCTACATGGGATAGACAAGGACACGTTTGTACATGGGATAGACAAGGACACATTTCTACATGGGATAGACAAGGACACATTTGTACATGGGATAGACAAGGACACGTTTGTACATGGGATAGACAAGGACACATTTCTACATGGGATAGACAAGGACACATTTGTACATGGGATAGACAAGGACACGTTTCTACATAGGATAGACAAGGACACATTTGTACATGGGATAGACAAGGACACATTTGTACATGGGATAGACAAGGACACATTTCTACATGGGATAGACAAGGACACATTTGTACATGGGATAGACAAGGACACATTTCTACATGGGATAGACAAGGACACGTTTGTACATGGGATAGACAAGGACACATTTCTACATGGGATAGACAAGGACACGTTTCTACATAGGATAGACAAGGACACGTTTCTACATGGGATAGACAAGGACACATTTCTATATGGGATAGACAAGGATACGTTTCTACATAGGATAGACAAGGACACATTTCTATATGGGATAGACAAGGACACGTTTGTACATGGGATAGACCAGGACATGTTTCTACATGGGATAGACAAGGACACATTTGTACATGGGATAGACAAGGACACATTTCTACATGGGATAGACAAGGACACGTTTGTACATGGGATAGACCAGGACATGTTTCTACATGGGATAGACAAGGACACATTTGTACATGGGATAGACAAGGACACGTTTCTACATGGGATAGACAAGGACACATTTCTACATGGGATAGACAAGGACACGTTTCTACATGGGATAGACAAGGACACATTTCTACATGGGATAGACAAGGACACGTTTCTACATGGGATAGACAAGGACACATTTGTACATGGGATAGACAAGGACACATTTCTACATGGGATAGACAAGGACACATTTCTACATGGGATAGACAAGGACACATTTGTACATGGGATAGACAAGGACACGTTTCTACATGGGATAGACAAGAATTTCTGATTGGCTAGGACCAACATAATGGTTCAGGCTGACCTTTGACTTTCTGGTAATAAAAACTTTATAAAATCTTTAAAACCAAAATCAGAATTGAATTTAAAGAATGTCTAGATCTAGATGGCTAATCACTTAAACAGGATAAATGGAATAAAAAAATGTTTTTGAATAATTTTTATTTTTTAATCCTCGTTATTAACTTACCATGTTTGGCTGTTGGTATAATCTTCCATCTAATTTGATTCCACTAAAGCTTGAATTTTTTTCAGATTGATAAGCTCGAATTTCAGAAAGGTGACTCTAAAAAGATTTTATAATTTTAATAACAATTTTTGAATTTTTTTTTTATATTTAGTAACCCAAAAGAAACCTAAAATATCCTGGTAAAAAAAAAATGGGAATCTACTAGATCTAGAATAAGACTGGTTTCACTGTAGACCCTTTGCTATTGAAAACATTTACTTCCTAGATTCTATACGACTTAGTGAAATGTCAGCACAGCCTTTTTCATAGTTGTTAGACTGAGTTCATTCTCGGATATTTTAAAACAGTGAGGGAAGGTTTAGACGGCACTTCCAGCTGAAGAGGCTACAAGTTTGTGAGCCAAACTGCTTTCTTTCTTAAACTAAACCATCAGAAATATTGTCAGCACATTGTAGGACAATCATCTATTGTGCTAGCTCCATGTAGGACATTACCCAGAGGACAGACCCTGAAGGACATTACCCAGAGCAGAGGACAGAGCCTGTAGGACATTACCCAGAGCAGAGGACAGAGCCTGTAGGACATTACCCAGAGCAGAGGACAGAGCCTGTAGGACATTACCCAGAGCAGAGGACAGAGCCTGTAGGACATTACCCAGAGCAGAGGACAGAGCCTGTAGGACATTACCCAGAGCAGAGGACAGAGCCTGTAGGACAGCCGTACCTGCAGCTTGTGTACAGCATGATGTTTGTCCATCTCCTCCACTGTAGGCTCCTGCCAATGTTTCTCCAGCACTACTGGCTGCGTGCTGGACAGGGTGGACTTGTACACCCCAGGCTCCATCTGCTCCAGCCGTCTGCCTCGCATCTGCCGCAGGACGTGTTTTTCTATGTCTAGTGCCAGGCTCACTTGGGCACGGAAGTTTCTTTTCTTTCTTCTGTTTTCTTCCTTAGATTCCACAACTAGCATTGAAACATGGAGTATCAGCTGAGTAACTTTCATCTTATTTATAATTCAACAATGACAATTTATGCCTCAAGTTGACCAAGTTAAAATTTATAATAAACATCAATTTTTTAAATCCTATTTTATTTGACAGATTGGGTGAAATGATTGTCTTGCTAGAAATGTTCAAATAAAACAGAATTCATGTCCTACCATCAGGGGAAATGATTGTCTTGCTAGAAATGCTCAAATAAAACAGAATTCATGTCCTACCATCAGGGGAAATGAAAGCTTTCCCACTTGAGATCCACACTTCAATGGGGGCCCTGAGAATAACATCAAGGGGAGGTAACTTGATGCCTTTTAACATCAGCTCCTGCTCTCTGGCCATTTTCTGGGCTTCTTCTCTGTCAACATCTAAATCATGGGGTTAAAATATGTCAACATTTAAATCATGGGGTTAAAATATGTCAACATTTAAATCATGGGATTAAAATATGTCAATATCTAAATCATGGAGTTAAATTATGTCAACATTTAAATCATGGGGTTAAAATATGTCAACATTTAAATCATGGGGTTAAAATATGTCAACATTTAAATCATGGGGTTAAAATATGTCAACATTTAAATCATGGGGTTAAAATATGTCAATATCTAAATCATGGAGTTAAATTATGTCAACATTTAAATCATGGGGTTAAAATATGTCAACATTTAAATCATGGGGTTAAAATATGTCAACATTTAAATCATGGGGTTAAAATATGTCAACATTTAAATCATGGGGTTAAAATATGTCAATATCTAAATCATGGAGTTAAATTATGTCAACATTTAAATCATGGGGTTGAAATATGCAGTGGGAAATTGTGGGGTTAAAATATAGTTGGAAGTGCATTTAAAGTGTAGATTCTATGTTGGTAAAACTTATGATCTCAATGTTATAGCTTGCTCTATAATTAGCAAATGGGTGTGGGTGTGTGTGCTGGTGTGTGTATACTAGTGTGTGCAGGTAAATGTGGTGTGTTGGCATTTGTTGTTGTGGGTGTGTTTGTGTATCTGTCTTCACCTTTCTGCTGAAGATCTTCTTTTTGCTCTGAAGACTCCTCCTCTTCTTGTGTTATTCTATTTATATCCTGCAACCTTTCAGCTGACCTCTGCATCTGTTCTGTCACCTGCAGTATGGCTGCGCTGTGCAGCTGCTCTAGCTGGGCTAGCTCATCTTTTTCTTCAGCCACTGGAAAATGTCAACACACTTTGCAAACAGCAGCAATTTAAAACAAAACTCTTTACTCTCCAGAAATAACAAAAAATTTTTACTGTACATGACCAACAAAATGACAGCTCATATATTTTTGTTTAATTAAACAGACAGCCACATCAAAAACTAAAACTTGCAGGGCAATTAGCTTATTGTGTTTGAGTCCAAATAGCTTAAGAGTTTAAAAATAATAATACATAATTTTCTATAGTTTACAATATTTTTGAGTAAGTTTACAACAATATTACATAAAGCAATTCATGTTTAGCTTACTTTTATTATGCTCTGCTTAATATTCTAAGTGTTTAGACAAAAAGAATGTACTACTGGCAAAGTTGCATCAAACACTAATCGTCCATTGTTAAAATTAGAGTAGTATCATTGACTAATATGCAAAAATAACGATTATTAGTATATAAATATATTTCTGAAATGACCATCAAACATTGTTTAAAAAACGGTATCGTTTTCGGCAGCCATCATTACCATGACTACGGTAAAAGTAAGTAGGTCAAGCAACAGGCTATTCTATGTGGTTCTCAGTTTCATCTTTTAAAAGTTTTTTGTTTCCACTAGGGATTAGCACAATAATGACCAGACATTTTAACCAGGGCTGATAACTTACCAGGTTTAACCAGGGCTGATGAGTTATCAGGTTTAACCAGAGGCTGATGCGTTACCAGGTTTAACCAGGGGCTGATGAGTTACCAGGTTTAACCAGGGCTGATGAGTTACCAGGTTTAACAAGGGGCTGATGAGTTACCAGGTTTAACCAGGGCTGATGAGTTACCAGGTTTAACCAGGGGCTGATGAGTTACCAGGTTTAACCAGGGGCTGATGAGTTACCAGGTTTAACCAGGGCTGATGAGTTACCAGGTTTAACCAGGGCTGATGAGTTACCAGGTTTAACCAGGGGCTGATGAGTTACCAGGTTTAACCAGGGGCTGATGAGTTACCAGGTTTAACCAGGGCTGATGAGTTACCAGGTTTAACAAGGGGCTGATGAGTTACCAGGTTTAACCAGGGCTGATGAGTTACCAGGTTTAACCAGGGGCTGATGAGTTACCAGGTTTAACCAGGGGCTGATGAGTTACCAGGTTTAACCAGGGCTGATGAGTTACCAGGTTTAACCAGGGCTGATGAGTTACCAGGTTTAACCAGGGGCTGATGAGTTACCAGGTTTAACCAGGGCTGATGAGTTACCAGGTTTAACCAGGGGCTGATGAGTTACCAGGTTTAACCAGGGGCTGATGAGTTACCAGGTTTAACCAGGGCTGATGAGTTACCAGGTTTAACCAGGGGCTGATGAGTTACCAGGTTTAACCAGGGCTGATGAGTTACCAGGTTTAACCAGGGGCTGATGAGTTACCAGGTTTAACCAGGGCTGATGAGTTACCAGGTTTAACCAGGGCTGATGAGTTACCAGGTTTAACCAGGGGCTGATGACTTACCAGGTTTGTCACGTTGCTGCAGCAGGCTGACCATCTCAGCCCTGCAGTTGTCCACTGCGTGTCTGACCAGCTCCTCCACACCCAGGACTATGGTGCCATCCTCTAGATACATCCTCCTGGCGGCGCTGGTCAAACCAAGTCTGTGACCACACTGAGACAGGATCTAGACAAGACACTCAACATGAGACAGGATCTAGACAAGACACTCAACATGAGACAGGATCTAGACAAGACACTCAACATGAGACAGGATCTAGACAAGACACTCAACATGAGACAGGATCTAGACACTCAACATGAGACAGGATCTAGACACTCAACATGAGACAGGATCTAGACACTCAACATGAGACAGGATCTAGACACTCAACATGAGACAGGATCTAGACACTCAACATGAGACAGGATCTAGACACTCAACATGAGACAGGATCTAGACAAGACACTCAACATGAGACAGGATCTAGACACTCAACATGAGACAGGATCTAGACACTCAACATGAGACAGGATCTAGACACTCAACATGAGACAGGATCTAGACACTCAACATGAGACAGGATCTAGACACTCAACATGAGACAGGATCTAGACACTCAACATGAGACAGGATCTAGACACTCAACATGAGACAGGATCTAGACACTCAACATGAGACAGGATCTAGACAAGACACTCAACATGAGACAGGATCTAGACACTCAACATGAGACAGGATCTAGACACTCAACATGAGACAGGATCTAGACACTCAACATGAGACAGGATCTAGACAAGACACTCAACATGAGACAAGATCTAGACAAGCCACTCAACATGAGACAGGATCTAGACAAGACACTCAACATGAGACAGGATCTAGACAAGACACTCAACATGAGACAGGATCTAGACAACTCTACTCACCCCTTCAACACTTGACCCACAGATTATTTCCCCCTTCCTCAACCGCCCCTCCCCATTTTTGTAGGCCATGACCTTGACCATCTGGACGGATCTGATTGAGTTGATTTTCTTCTTGATTGTCTTGACGCTGGTCTGCTGCTTGAGCTCCTCCAACATTTGCCTGCAGCTGGACAGGGTCAGCTCAGCTTCATGGGTGGACAGGTCAACTTTGTTCTGCAACACCTTCAGGCTGCCAATCTGCCTGACTGACCGGCGCTTTGCTGAAGTCAGATGGACATTGTGATCATTAGGACTTAATGAGCCAGATCTTTGGGCCATACTTTACTAGACTGTGATCAGCTTTTTTTAGAACATCTTGACCACCAGTGAAAGCATTGACCCACTCACCATCTCCCATTGACCCACTCACCATCTCCCACTGACCCACTCACCATCTCCCACTGACCCACTCACCATCTCCCATTGACCCACTCACCATCTCCCATTGACCCACTCACCATCTCCCATTGACCCACTCACCATCTCCCATAGCACAATGAAAGCGTGTGTTCGCTGGGAGCTGCTCAACTTTGAATCTTCCGCGCATGGCTCTAGCGCAGGAGACGCAGACTTTCAGGTGCACGGCCTTTTCACCTGGCCCAGACATCTCTACCAGGTAGCCCTGTCAACAAGAATCAAGTTTTGATCAAGTTACCCTCGCCCTGTCAAACAAGAATCAAGTTTTGATCAAGTTACCCTCGCCCTGTCAAACAAGAATCAAGTTTTGATCAAGTTACCCTCGCCCTGTCAAACAAGAATCAAGTTTTGATCAAGTTACCCTCGCCCTGTCAAACAAGAATCAAGTTTTGATCAAGTTACCCTCGCCCTGTCAAACAAGAATCAAGTTTTGATCAAGTTACCCTCGCCCTGTCAAACAAGAATCAAGTTTTGATCAAGTCAATGTTCAATTGTGTCATGACAAAGTTCAACCGTGTCATGACAAAGTTCAACCGTGTCATGACAAAGTTCAACCGTGTCATGACAAAGTTCAACCGTGTCATGACAAAGTTCAACTGTGTCATGACAAAGTTCAACCGTGTCATGACAAAGTTCAACCATGTCATGACAAAGTTCAACCGTGTCTTGACAAGTTTCAACCGTGTACACCAAAAATAAATAGTTGGCCCATTGAAATAACTTACAGGCTGATCTATGTCCACACCTTGAACAATAGCATATGTACAAACATCTGCTCTGTTGGCTGCGGTAATCTCTGCAGTAAAAAAATGTGCTAAATTTAGATCTAACCAAATGGGTAAACTATTGTTGGCATGGACTAAAAATGTGTTTTTAACAATGCTGTATCTTAATGAGTGCTTGTACGCAGTAACTCCTATAAAAACCAGGTCTATAAAAAATTAGACTAACATCAGCTGCCATACAATCCTCAACTAGCTGAGCTGGACTAACCTTTGTCAGGGAGTTCTGTGTAAAAAGCATTGATGAGACCTGACTCTGCGTCGTAGCGCCACCTCTGATGGGCTTTACCAAACATATTTGTACATCGTGCCTGAAGCACAATGGGACAGCCAGTAAAACTTTGGCTGGGGGAGGAACCTGTAGCAGTTGCTGGCATTGAAACGCTTAAGACCATGTGCTGGTTGTGGCGAGCACTTATTTCGCTAAAAAAAAAACAAATTTTATACAGAAAAACTCAGGAAAACTTTTTTATTGTGTTTTTAGTTTTTTTTGCTAGTGTAACCAGTGTTGAAGAAGGAATAAAAATCTCACCCATTTTCTCTCAAGGTCCATCTCTGGTGGATGTCGTCTGGGTGACGTTTGGCTAAAATGACTCGTGCCATGCGGCCATCAGTGTGGCAAATGGACAGAACCAGAGCCTTGTTGCAGGCCACTGAGATGTAGCCGTCTTCATAAGCAAACTTCTGCAGGCTCTCTTGTGACAAGTGGGGCGTTGACTGGGGTCTGCAGGCCAGAAAATACTGAACTTAATCAATCTGAAATGTTACTCAATATTATTTCCATTTGATTCAAGATTTTGTCTAATAACTTGCAGAGAGAATTTCAACAGACAGCGCAACAGTATGAGGGTTAAAATAGTATGGGCTGAGAGCATGCCAAGCCTTACTTCTTATACAAGAGAGCAGGCTAAGACTTACTTCTTATACAAGAGAGTAGGCTAAGACTTACTTCTTATACAAGAGAGCAGGCTAACACTTACTCCTTATACAAGAGAGCAGGCTAAGACTTACTTAACATAGGGTAGACTGCTCTAACTTCTACCGAGTTCTAACTTCAACCAATTTCTTACTATGGTCAGAAAAAAAATATATATAAAAATTTGTACAAATACCATTGGCCAAAATAAATTATACAATTAGTTACACATTTGAATTGTGGGGGATTTTCCTTATTTAAGGTCGTATCTATTTTTAATAATTTTCGCGATCATGAATGAACAGCAAATATTAAGTACAACTTGTCAGTGAATTTTATCGCCTGAAAATGATGAATTCCATTTTTGCTGTCTTAGAGGTGTCATGCTTTACAATCCTCGAAATACAAGTAATTTATAAAATAACATTTTTTATATTATATTAACACTTATAAAATAGGTTGTACTATATGTGTGTTTTTATTTATTTTTTAAATGTAATAAAAATGTAAAAAGAAAATTGAAAAACAAATTGGTCAAAGTTAAAACCACTTAAAATTGGCATAGTCCTAACTTTGACCAACTGAAAAACTTGACCCTAAAAACATAATTTTGCTTGAATTATCTTAGTTTAATTATAGTTTTATTGAATCGTTTAATCAGCAGAACATTCTTTTTTCATAAGACATAAACATAACTGAATATAACAGTGCCATGTATAAAAGACCTAACGATTAATACCCCCACCCCACCCTAGTTAAGCCTGCGCCATCTATTCATTTTTTATTTTAGTTATTTTAAAGTTAAATAGCATTTCTACCCCAATATAGCCCTACACATTTATTTTATTTCAATTCCCTGATCTTTTGACAACGTTAAACCATAGATTTATTGGAAAAAAACAATAATTTATATGTAGACAATAATTTATAAATAGGCTTATAGCGGTCAAAGTTAGAGCAACCCGGTCAAAGTTAAAACCAAACATAACGAAGTGAAGTCAATGTCTAGACTTGAATATAAGAATTATTATCTAAACTCTTTCTATACCAGAGGCTTTTCCACCTCCTAACCTCATTTCCATTACCAAATTTTTTTATACAACCCTCACCTACTTAAAAAATTATAGCTCCTATTTTTTTCTAATCAGATTTATGTATTATACATCAAAATGAACAGAAATGAAATTTCTATAGTAGTAAATGAAGATAATTGTGAGTTATGTTGAAAAATGTAGGTTTTGTACATGTTAAATGACTTATTAAAGAAACAAACACTAGTGAAGTCAAGCTGGACGTTGCGGCTCGCAGGCTTACTGTGAAGCTGGCCCAAGCCGCATCTCGCGGCTCATGGGACGGATTGAGTTAATGATTATTCGTTAACTATTTATACCAAACCAATCAGCGTGGGATAACGTTTTTTAATGGTGTAAAAATGAAACCCTTATGTTGATTATTTAACAAAATATAATGAAGAGAAGCGAATTTACGGCTCGGACGAAAACGAATCAGTCAGAGTTAGAACAGTCTACCCTACAGGAGAGTAGGCTAAGACTTACATAAACTTAACATACAGGAGAGCGGGCTAAGACTTACTTAAACTTCTTATACAAGAGAGGAGGCTAAGACACTTAACATACAGGAGAGCAGGCCAAGCCTTACTTAAACTTTTCGCACAGGAGAGCAGGCTAAGACTTACTTAAACTTTTCATACAGGTCTCTGTCTGTGAACCTCTGAGCTTCAGGATCCTCTGTGTCCAAACTGTTGTTGACATTGACAAGTCTCTCCCAAGGCCACTTGAGGTTATTTGCATATTCATCTGACCTCATGTGTGCACGCTCATGAGATGTTCTACAGTAAATTTATTTCGACAACAGAATCTATTTTAGATGTTCTACAGTAAATTTATTTCAGCAACAGAATCTATTTTAGATGTTCTACAGTAAATTTATTTCAACAGCAGAATCTATTTTAGATGTTCTACAGTAAATTTATTTCAACAGCAGAATCTATTTTAGATGTTCTACAGTAAATTTTATTTCAACAGCAGAATCTATTTTAGATGTTCTACAGTAAATTTATTTCAACAGCAGAATCTATTTTAGATGTTCTACAGTAAATTTTATTTCAACAGCAGAATCTATAGCATAGTATAAGAAAGATTCTGCTCGTAGCATCATTAATGGAACAAATCCATAGCTACTCACAAAACGTGACTTGAATCAGCAATGTTTTCATCTTCTTCATCATACTGGGAGAATTGCTGAGCACTTCTTCCACTGAGTGTAGCTTGTTCCTGCCTGCTGTCCTGTGGGACTTGATGCAACCAATCTTTGTTTACAACCAGTTCACTTCCTGGAGCCACAGGGCCACTGATTTCAAGTACAAAGTCTACAACATAAAAACAAGACCAGTTTTTACCAAGAAAACAAATAGTTTGCCTCCTGCTCTACCAATGATGTTGCTAGCAAGACTTAACGGGCTCTACATAGGAAAACATAGCGGACTAACACCACCAGTCCAGACAAACACCAAACTGTCTCAAGATTCTGTTGGTGCTTTGGTTTTTAGAGGTTTGAATATTACTTGAATGCTTCTATTGTTGGTGCTTTGGTTTTTAGAAGTTTGAATATTACTTTAATTTTATGCTTCTATTGGATTTTTAAATCATCACAAGACTCACCATGCTGGCATAAGGAGACTAAAATGTTTAAAGCATTTGTTTACAAAATAAAATATTTTGTCTTACTTTTCGACGTTTTAAACATTTGTTAAAAAACTAAAATATAACATCTTACTTTCAGGGTTCCTCATGGAACAAAACTGCTGTATTTTAACAACATCAGATGTGAGCTGTGACAAGAGGAACCGTCGGCTTTGTTCTTCTTTAGAGTATTGGGGGTTGGACCATTCCTCGCCACAGGACACGTACACCAAGGCATCTCGCTCCAGGTTTTGGATATGAAAGAGTTCTTTCCCTTCTGCATCAAAGAGTCTTCTGGCAGCAAATGGCAGATCCAACAGAGAGGTGCAGTGATCCAGAAACTGACAACATTAATTCAAAACTAGCAAGGATCCAGAAACTGACAACATTAATTCAAAACTAGCACCGGCTATTGTACTAAGCGCTAAGTAAACACCATAAATTGTTTGAATTTTTCTAGCCTTAGATATATTACTATTTAAATTTACTTAACCCTTTACCAGTGGCATAGTGACAGGGGGGGGGGGGGGGTGCAGACCGCACCGGGTGACACCATTAAGGGGGGTGACACCAAGGCAAAAAATAATTAAGTGATTAATTCGAGTGTTAAAAAGGCTTTTAAGAGCAAATTTAAGAAATCCCAACAAGGGTGGAGTGGGGTGCAAATCGAAAGTTTGAGGGGGGGGGGTGCAAATCAAAAATTGAAAAAAGTATGTCCCCGGCACCGGGAAGGGTCACTACGTCTCTCGGGGGGGGGGGGGGGGGGTGGGGGGGGTGACACCATTAAGTGTCGCACCAGGTGATACCCTTTACTTTCCCATGTGGCTGAAAGTGGCTGAGATTTTTCTGATGTAGTGCCAATATTGTCCTATGCAACTATAAACATGTGATATGAGAACACTTGTTTTGTACACCATCAAGTTTAATGTTGCTTTTTAAAATAAAATGTTTATTGCATTATAATTAAATCTAATGCACAATAAACAGTGAATTTCATTTTGTGTACATTTTTTAATGTAGGTGAACATTTTAATTAATTAATTATTTTAACCACCTACAGGAGAAAAAAGATTCAAGTTCCTTTGCTTGGTTGTGCTGAAAAAAAATTCCTACACGGGGAGTAATGGTTTAAATAGTTTAATGTAAAGTTTTTTTATTCTAAAGTTTGGTTTTCAAGCCAAAGAACTAGGACATTGGAATAGCAGGAGTAATGGTTTAATGTAAAGTTTTTTTTTTTTCTAAAGTTTGGTTTTCAAGCCAAAGAACTAGGACATTGGAATAGCAGGAGTAATGGTTTAATGTAAAGTTTTTTTTTCTAAAGTTTTGTTTTCAAGCCAAAGAACTAGGACATTGGAATAGCAGGAGTAATGGTTTAATGTAAAGTTTTTTTTTCTAAAGTTTTGTTTTCAAGCCAAAGAACTAGGACATTGGAATAGCAGGAGTAATGGTTTAATGTAAAGTTTTTTTTTCTAAAGTTTTGTTTTCAAGCCAAAGAACTAGGACATTGGAATAGCAGGAGTAATGGTTTAATGTAAAGTTTTTTTTTCTAAAGTTTTGTTTTCAAGCCAAAGAGGAAAACATGTGCACAACAATACACCAGCAATGTATGTGAGTTAGTCAAGCAAGCTCTTCCCCCTTTTAACAATATGTCAGGTCCAGATTTCTTTAAAAAAAAAAAGTTACCATCTGGAACTCCATGCTGAGGACTGACATCTCCATACAGTGGAGCTCTGTACCAGCAGACAGCATGGCAAGCTCTGGCTTCTCTTTACTTTTTGACTCGGGTGTGTTGTCTTTCACCAACTTTGAAATGTTCAAAGAGGAAATTAATTCAAAAAATTTAAGAGGACACTGACTTTGCTTATCTCAAAAATGTCTAAAACTGTCAATTCAAAAGTAAACATAGTTCAAATATTTCTAAAATATTAAATAACATTGATGTATGTAATTTTTGAAATTGAATATAGATTGAATATAAATTAGTATCAAATCTCACATTGCTAATGTATAATTAAATTTGTATCAAATCTAGACTCACATTGCTAATGTTTGGGCCAACAACACTGACAGCTAATGAGAAGTTGCGTTCACCATTTTTTAAGACCCTAAGCCTTGCTGGTGTCACTGAAATCACACAAATTCCATTTAAAAGTGAGAGCCTAAAATAAAATTTTAGACTGCTAACTTATCGGCTATTCTTCACAACATACCCCCAGAAAGTCCCAATTTTTTGTCAGATTTGCGTATAGGTGGTGCATTAGGAATAAGGTAACCTTCCATTGGCCAGTCATATTGCTGAAATTTGAAACATTGCTCAATTAAATCAGGATTACTTGTGTTTTACTAAGTTTTCAGTGATATGATGCCCTAGCAGATCCCCATGGTTTTCCCATGTTTATTAGCAGTTCAAATGTTGAAATGTTTACTTTATTTAACTGTCCACTGGCAGTAACAGGCCAAGAATACGCCAGTTTTTTCCATTCCTGATTGCTTGTCTCTGTAAACTTCCACTGACCTAAATTGTCCAGACGCTCTTGCTTGAGTGCAAATCTAAAAAAACAACCAAAATTTTATTTTCCCCTTGCTTGAGTGCAAATCTAAAAAAAAAACCAAAATTTTATTTTCCCCCGGAGACTAAAAAGTTGTCCACATTTTGTGGCCGTGGTTCCAGACCTTTCTGCTTGATATTTTTGTTTTGACTTAGGTCACCTACCTTTGAGGTATTTTTGTTTTCACCCAGGTCACCTACCTTTGAGGTGCCTTTTGTTTTGACTTAGGTCACCTACCTTTGAGGTATTTTTGTTTTGACCCAGGTCACCTACCTTTGAGGTGCCTTTTGTTTTGACTTAGGTCACCTACCTTTGAGGTATTTTTGTTTTGACCCAGGTCACCTACCTTTGAGGTATTTTTGTTTTCACCCAGGTCACCTACCTTTGAGGTGCCTTTTGTTTTGACTTAGGTCACCTACCTTTGAGGTATTTTTGTTTTGACCCAGGTCACCTACCTTTGAGGTATTTTTGTTTTGACCCAGGTCACCTACCTTTGAGGTGCCGTTTGTTTTGACCCACGTCACCTACCTTTGAGGTATTTTTGTTTTGACCCAGGTCACCTACCTTTGAGGTATTTTTGTTTTGACCCAGGTCACCTACCTTTGAGGTATTTTTGTTTTGATCCAGGTCACCTACCTTTGAGGTATTTTTGTTTTGACCCAGGTCACCTACCTTTGAGGTATTTTTGTTTTGACCCAGGTCACCTACCTTTGAGGTGACTTTTGTTTTTTTGGGAGGGGCTCTGTGAGCATCAGGGAGACAATGCCTCCAGTTTTGGTCTTGTTGTGTGGTGCCTGGTCCTCAAAGTCAGACCTCTTGTTGCCCAGGTGGGTCAGCAGAAGGTTTGGGTATGCCTGGAGAAGATAAGTTGGGTCAGCAGAAGGTTTGGGTATGCCTGGAGAAGATAAGTTGGGTCAGCAGAAGGTTTGGGTATGCCTGGAGAAGATAAGTTGGGTCAGCAGAAGGTTTGGGTATGCCTGGAGAAGATAAGTTGGGTCAGCAGAAGGTTTGGGTATGCCTGGAGAAGATAAGTTGGGTCAGCAGAAGGTTTGGGTATGCCTGGAGAAGATAAGTTGGGTCAGCAGAAGGTTTGGGTATGCCTGGAGAAGATAAGTTGGGTCAGCAGAAGGTTTGGGTATGCCTGGAGAAGATAAGTTGGGTCAGCAGAAGGTTTGGGTATGCCTGGAGAAGATAAGTTGGGTCAGCAGAAGGTTTGGGTATGCCTGGAGATGAAAAATAGTTTATCCATAGCTAGAGATAAGTTCCTTGTGTTCTCAAATTAGATGATCTGTGAAGCTAAAATGCAAAGATTTATATCAAATATTTAAGGACTAAAATAGTTTAATAAAAGAACTAAATTATTTATTGTGTTTTATTTATAGTTTTTTGTTTTCTTTTTAACTAATTATTTTTTGTTTTTGGCCTTAAAGTTTGTGAATAAATTCCTATTAGTTTCAAATAATGTCACTATAAAATCCTGTATTTTTCTGAAAAACTATTTTTGGTTTGGCCTTAATTAAATCAAGTGATGTCACTTAGTCCAGTGAAATTTTTGAAAAATAAAGTATTTGTCCTGAACTTTTATAATTAAAGGGGTGTTTCTACAAATGAATATATCAGTACATTAATTATCGTCTTAAAATAAAATTCGTGAATAACATTTGTAGAAAAAAAATGTTTTTCTCTACATGAATACATATTTCACAGTTCTTCACATAGTGCAGATGCTTTCATCTAATTGAACAGGCAAACAAATGAAAAAAAACAAAAATAAATATATGAACTTGTAAACAAACTCCAGTTTTAGTAGAATATATTTTTTCTAAAAAAAAATGCATTGTAATGTAATCGGGGGTTTTCTTTTCCTTTAAAATTTCAGCCAGTCTCAAATGAGCACAATATTACAATTAGCAGATACAAATCATTAGCAGTGAGTAACCTACCTGGCAACAAATGGTTGCGTCTGGCAAACACTGCCAAATCTGGCAGCTATTCCCTGGCATTTTCTTTTGCATGCCAACGACAAAGCCTTCAATGTTAAGTTCTGTATTTTGTATTTTGAATTCTGCTCTTTCCTCCAGCACAGCCAAGCAGAGCTGAGGTGCAGCTTTGCAGTATATATGTCCACTCTGAGGGTGGGAAAAGTTCAGCCAATCAGCTGTTCTGTTGCATCTATATGTTATGTCACAGACAATTGGTAGCCAAAGCCAAATGTAATGAAAGAAAGCTCACCTCAGTAAAAACAAAGATCTGATATTTGGAGTGGGTTTTCTCTGCCACCCCAAGCTCAGCATACAACACCTGCGTCCTCTTCTCCTAGACGACACAATCTTACTCAGTTATAGCAATACAATAGCTGCTACTGTTGTTAGCTAATGTAAACATCTTATGTCTGTTGTTAGCTAATGGAAACATCTTATGTCTGTTGTTAGCTAATGTAAACATCTTACGTCTGTTGTTAGCTAATGTAAACAAATTATTATGTCTGTTGTTAGCTAATGTAAACATCTTATGTCTGTTGTTAGCTAATGTAAACATCTTATGCCTGTTGTTAGCTAATGTCAACAAATTTCTAAAGCTCACTTTATTGATCAAAAAGTGTGAGCTACGGTCGATCTCTGAAAATTGGAGCAAACTTTCAATTTTATCTGGATCAAACTGCAGACGTGCAGCATCAGCAGAGTCGTAGTCCGCAGGGAACCCAGCGGCCGCCTCCCACTTGGTCAGGCTGGAAAAGTTTTCATGTAAAATGTGTTGGCTCATCTATCTGTCACAAACAACTAACAGGAAGCTTGTAAAGGTCAAGGGTCATTAGCGAAGCTGTGTTGGTCTAGATAACCAAGAAAAAACTGACTCCATTAAAAAACTGACTCCATTAAAAAATTGACTCCATTAAAAAACTGACTCCATAAAAAAACTGACTCCATAAAAAAACTGATTGCATAAAAAAACGACTCCATAAAAAAACTGACTCCATAAAAAAACTGACTCCATATGTCAGCTGAAAAAACTCACTCTTTGGTCAGGTCCCCATCAGGTGACTGGCTCAAGTTTTCTCGGACAATCCTCTCAGCACCACCGGCGTCCAGCACTTGAGTGGCTCTCTCAACAAACAGGTTCAGTACATAGGCTAGGAGAGAAGAACACATTCATTAGTGGCTCTCTCAACAAACAGGTTCAGTACATAGGCTAGGAGAGAAGAACACATTCATTAGTGGCTCTCTCAACAAACAGGTTCAGTACATAGGCTAGGAGAGAAGAACACATTCATAATCTTTAGGTGACAAGATTCATTTAGTCATCATATCTTTAGGTGACAAGATTCATTGAGTCATCATATCTTTAGGTGACAAGATTCATTGAGTCATCATATCTTTAGATGACAAGATTGATTGAGTCATCCGATCAAAGTTTTAAAAACTTACTGAATGGGCAAATGAAAGGCTCCCCAAAAGAGAGCCAGACGGACTGGTCAGGCTGTAGCTTGTAGATGTCAGTGATCTCCCCTCCATCTTTGGTGTACAGCCTGGTGGCCACACTGTTCAAGTTGCGATGGACTCCGGCACTAAACCTGCTGGCAGACAGCTCGTCCAGCAGCTGGAAGGTGCAGGAGAGAAATGACATGACATGTGCAGGAGAGAAATGACATGTGCATGAGAGAAATGACATGTGCATGAGAGAAATGACATGTGCAGGAGAGAAATGACATGTGCAGGAGAGAAATGACATGTGCAGGAGAGAAATGACATGTGCAGGAGAGAAATGACATGTGCAGGAGAGAAATGACATGTGCATGAGAGAAATGACATGTGCAGGAGAGAAATGACATGTGCATGAGAGAAATGACATGTGCAGGAGAGAAATGACATGTGCATGAGAGAAATGACATGTGCAGGAGAGAAATGACATGTGCATGAGAGAAATGACATGACATGTGCAGGAGAGAAATGACATGTGCAGGAGAGAAATGACATGTGCAGGAGAGAAATGACATGTGCAGGAGAAAAATGACATGACATGTGCAGGAGAGAAATGACATGCGCAGGAGAGAAATGACATGTGCAGGAGAGAAATGACATGTGCAGGAGAGAAATGACATGTGCAGGAGAGAAATGACATGTGCAGGAGAGAAATGACATGTGCAGGAGAGAAATGACATGTGCAGGAGAGAAATGACATGTGCAGGAGAGAAATGACATGTGAAGGAGAGAAATGACATGTGCAGGAGAGAAATGACATGTGCAGGAGAGAAATGACATGTGCAGGAGAGAAATGACATGACATGTGCAGGAGAGAAATGACATGTGCAGGAGAGAAATGACATGACATGTGCAGGAGAGAAATGACATGTGCAGGAGAGAAATGACATGTGCAGGAGAGAAATGACATGACATGTGCAGGAGAGAAATGACATGACATGTGCAGGAGAGAAATGACATGACATGTGCAGGAGAGAAATGACATGACATGTGCAGGAGAGAAATGACATGTGCAGGAGAGAAATGACATGTGCAGGAGAGAAATGACATGACATGTGCAGGAGAGAAATGACATGACATGTGCAGGAGAGAAATGACATGACATGTGCAGGAGAGAAATGACATGTGCAGGAGAGAAATGACATGTGCAGGAGAGAAATGACATGTGCAGGAGAGAAATGACATGTGCAGGAGAGAAATGACATGTGCAGGAGAGAAATGACATGACATGTGCAGGAGAGAAATGACATGTGCAGGAGAGAAATGACATGACATGTGCAGGAGAGAAATGACATGTGCAGGAGAGAAATGACATGTGCAGGAGAGAAATGACATGTGCAGGAGAGAAATGACATGTGCTGGAGAGAAATGACATGTGCAGGAGAGAAATGACATGTGCAGGACAGAAATGACATGACACTAATATGCTATCAAGTATTACAATCAAACAAACCCTGAGCATAGCTTTTTCTCTGTCTGCTCCTTTCATGGCTTCTCGCAAGTTAAAATAGTAGATAAATTCACCACTGACTTTACCATTTTCAAAGACCTGAAATACAAAAACATCTTTTACCAAAAAGTTTAAAAAATTGGTCGAGGTGCTAAGACTGAACATTTCCAGTCAACTGAGCTTTTTTTTTCTCTGAGCTTCTCTTCTACCAGACCAGCTTGAGATGTTCACACACCATGTCCTGTGTGCTGAGATGTTCACACACCATGTCCTGTCTGCTGAGATGTTCACACACCATGTCCTGTGTGCTGAGATGTTCACACACCATGTCCTGTCTGCTGAGATGTTCACACACCATGTCCTGTCTGCTGAGATGTTCACACACCATGTCCTGTGTGCTGAGATGTTCACACACCATGTCCTGTGTGCTGAGATGTTCACACACCATGTCCTGTCTGCTGAGATGTTCACACACCATGTCCTGTGTGCTGAGATGTTCACACACCATGTCCTGTCTGCTGAGATGTTCACACACCATGTCCTGTCTGCTGAGATGTTCACACACCATGTCCTGTGTGCTGAGATGTTCACACACCATGTCCTGTCTGCTGAGATGTTCACACACCATGTCCTGCATGCTCATACCATTAACCTTTTGAATCAGTGCTCCATCTCACCCATATTCCTGACAGAGCCCCTGATCAACCTCAACAAAACCTAATAACCCTGGCAGAGCCCCTGATCAACCTCAACAAAACCTACTATTTCCTTCAATTAAATCAAACAAGGGGCCCACTACATTACCTTGAGTTTGATTCCTTTGGTACCAACCAGTCTATCCTCTGAAGAAAGTTCTTTGATGTGAGTCATGCGATAATTCATTCCTTGCTCCTGGGAATTAAACAGCACAAGTTACTTTTATTTGGTTAAATCTTTCAAAGATGAGTGAAACACTTTTGTTTGGTTAAATCTCTCCAAAGATGAGTGAAACACTTTTGTTTGGTTAAATTTTTCCAAAGATGAGTGAAACACTTTTGTTTGGTTAAATCTCTCCAAAGATGAGTGTAACTAACATAACCTGAGTGTAAGGTAATAAAATCAGCACAAGAGACATAAAATTGACAGAAAAATGAGCTCACTTCCTCCTTTGACGTTTCTTCCTTCAATGCCTCCATTTTTTCTCTGATAGTTTCTAGTGTGGACTTGTAGGTCTCTATCTTCTCATCCAGCTGGTGGGTGGACATTTAAGGGAAATAAAAACTTTTCTCAACAAATTGACTAGCCTGCTCTAAATGTCAACAAATTGACTAGCCCACCTTAATGTCAACAAAACTATAGGTCAACAAATTGACTATCCCACCTTAATGTCAACAAAACTATAGGTCAACAAATTGACCAGCTCACCTTGTCACTGGCTTCATAAAGTTCTTCTGTAGACATGGACAGGATCAATGTGTCTTTCACTTCATCTTTTGTGTTGTTCAGAACTAAATCTACCTAAAAATATGGAAACTACTGTCAATGATCTGTAGTGTGTTGTTCAGAACTAAATCTAACTAAAAATATGGAAACTAGATAGTGGAGATAGCAATGGTAACAAGTAGTGGAGATAGCAAATAAAGACATTTATTGTCACTACTTCTTCATCCATTGATTTTTTAACCTAAACCACAAGGGGTTAGAGAAAACTTTTAATTCTTTTAATTTTAGATTTCAGAAAAAGGATTAGAGCGTAATGAGTTGTTTGTAGGATTAGAGCGTAATGAGTTGTTTGTAGGATTAGAGCGTAATGAGTTGTTTGTAGGATTAGAGCGTAATTAGTTGTTTGTAGGATTAGAGCGTAATGAGTTGTTTGTAGGATTAGAGCGTAATGAGTTGTTTGTAGGATTAGAGCGTAATTAGTTGTTTGTAGGATTAGAGCGTAATGAGTTGTTTGTAGGATTAGAGCGTAATGAGTTGTTTGTAGGATTAGAGCGTAATGAGTTGTTTGTAGGATTAGAGCGTAATGAGTTGTTTGTAGGATTAGAGCGTAATTAGTTGTTTGTAGGATTAGAGCGTAATGAGTTGTTTGTAGGATTAGAGCGTAATTAGTTGTTTGTAGGATTAGAGCGTAATTAGTTGTTTGTAGGATTAGAGCGTAATCAGTTGTTTGTAGGATTAGAGCGTAATCAGTTGTTTGTAGGATTAGAGCGTAATTAGTTGTTTGTAGGATTAGAGCGTAATTAGTTGTTTGTAGGATTAGAGCGTAATTAGTTGTTTGTAGGATTAGAGCGTAATTAGTTGTTTGTAGGATAAGAGCGTAATTAGTTGTTTGTAGGATTAGAGCGTAATGAGTTGTTTGTAGGATTAGAGCGTAATGAGTTGTTTGTAGGATTAGAGCGTAATTAGTTGTTTGTAGGATTAGAGCGTAATTAGTTGTTTGTAGGATTAGAGCGTAATTAGTTGTTTGTAGGATTAGAGCGTAATTAGTTGTTTGTAGGATTAGAGCGTAATGAGTTGTTTGTAGGATTAGAGCGTAATGAGTTGTTTGTAGGATTAGAGCGTAATGAGTTGTTTGTAGGATTAGAGCGTAATGAGTTGTTTAAATGTTTGATCAAGCTTTGTTTACATCTTTTTTCTGTTTTTTGGCAGCTTTGAGTTTTTCTCTGAGACCAGTCTGGATGAGCAGGAGGAAACCCTGGGTCCCCGACGGACTATAGCGCTCCCCCGCGGAGATCCAGAGGGGGCCAAGCAGTGGAGTTTTGCCCTGAGGTATGATGGTGTCATCCAACATGGGAGCTGTCCATTCAAAACTTTCAGTTAGCAGCAGCAATACAAGACACAATGACAGCAAGACAATGACAGCAAGACAATGACAGCAAGACAATGACAGCAAGACAATGACAGCAAGACAATGACAGCAAGACAATGACAGCAAGACAATGACAGCAAGACAATGACAGCAAGACAATGACAGCAAGACAATGACAGCAAGACAAGGACAGCAAGACAAGGACAGCAAGACAATGACAGCAAGACAATGACAGCAAGACAATGACAGCAAGACAAGGACAGCAAGACATGACATTATAACATCAACCAGCCAATGTGACAGAGCCATAAAACAGTAGAAGCATGAGCTGATAAGAATAATGAAAACATTACATACTGACATGACATACTGACATGACTAACTGACATGACATACTGACATGACATACTGACATGACATACTGACATGACATACTGACATGACATACTGACATGACTTACTGACATGATTTACTGACATGACTTACTGACATGACTTACTGACATGACTTACTGATGACAAACTGACATACTGACATGACAAACTGACATGATTTACTGACATGATTTACTGACATGATTTACTGACATGATTTACTGACATGAAATGACATACTGACATGACATAGTGACATGACATAGTGACATGACATACTGACATGACTTACTGACATGACATACTGACATGATTTACTGACATGATTTACTGACATGACTTACTGACATGACATACTGACATGACTTACTGACATGACTTACTGACATGACATATTGACATGACATGACATACTGACATGACTTATTGACATGACTTACTGACATGACTTAATGACATGACTTACTGACATGACTTACTGACATACTGACATGACAAACTGACATGACTTACTGACATGATTTACTGACATGACTTACTGACTTGATTTACTAACATGACTTACTGACATGATTTACTGACATGACTTACTGACATGACATACTGACATGACTTACTGACATGACTTACTGACATGACATACTGACATGACATACTGACATGACATACTGACATGACTAACTGACATGACATACTGACATGACATACTGACATGACATACTGACATGACATACTGACATGACTTACTGACATGATTTACTGACATGACTTACTGACATGACTTACTGACATGACTTACTGATGACAAACTGACATACTGACATGACAAACTGACATGATTTACTGACATGATTTACTGACATGATTTACTGACATGATTTACTGACATGAAATGACATACTGACATGACATACTGACATGACATAGTGACATGACATACTGACATGACTTACTGACATGACATACTGACATGATTTACTGACATGATTTACTGACATGACTTACTGACATGACATACTGACATGACTTACTGACATGACTTACTGACATGACATATTGACATGACATGACATACTGACATGACTTATTGACATGACTTACTGACATGACTTAATGACATGACTTACTGACATGACTTACTGACATACTGACATGACAAACTGACATGACTTACTGACATGATTTACTGACATGACTTACTGACTTGATTTACTAACATGACTTACTGACATGATTTACTGACATGACTTACTGACATGACATACTGACATGACTTACTGACATGACTTACTGACATGACACACTGACATGACTAACTGACATGATTTACTGACATGACATACTGACATGACATACTGACATGACTAGCTGACATGACCAACTGACATAACTTACTGACATGACTTACTGACATGACTTACTGTCAAGTCAACATGACTTACTGTAAGCCAAGTCAATGAAAACATGACTTACTGTCAGCCAAGTCAAGAATTTCCTGACCATTCCAGTCATACACCAACTTGGCATGGTTCCTCAAGTTCAGCTTGCCGGTACAGTTGTTGAGGAACTGAAGAATTTTGTTACAATGGGATCAGTTGCTCTCTACTTTAGAAACATCAACATTCATGCCTTCTTCAGTTGCTCTCTACTTTATAAACAAGATCAACATTCATGCCTTCTTCAGTTGCTCTCAACTTTATAAACATCAACATTCATGCCTTCTTCAGTTGCTCTCTACTTTATAAACATCAACATTCATGCCTTCTTCAGTTGCTCTCTACTTTATAAACATCAACATTCATGCCTTCTTCAGTTGCTCTCTACTTTATAAACATCAACATTCATGCCTTCTTCAGTTGCTCTCTACTTTATAAACATCAACATTCATGCCTTCTTCAGTTGCTCTCTACTTTATAAACATCAACATTCATGCCTTCTTCAGTTGCTCTCTACTTTATAAACATCAACATTCATGCCTTCTTCAGTTGCTCTCTACTTTATAAACATCAACATTCATGCCTTCTTCAGTTGCTCTCTACTTTATAAACATCAACATTCATGCCTTCTTCAGTTGCTCTCTACTTTATAAACATCAACATTCATGCCTTCTTCAGTTGCTCTCTACTTTATAAACATCAACATTCATGCCTTCTTCAGTTGCTCTCTACTTTATAAACATCAACATTCATGCCTTCTTCAGTTGCTCTCTACTTTATAAACATCAACATTCATGCCTTCTTCAGTTGCTCTCTACTTTATAAACATCAACATTCATGCCTTCTTCAGTTGCTCTCTACTTTATAAACATCAACATTCATGCCTTCTTCAGTTGCTCTCTACTTTATAAACATCAACATTCATGCCTTCTTCAGTTGCTCTCTATAAACATCAACATTCATGCCTTCTTCAGTTGCTCTCTACTTTATAAACATCAACATTCATGCCTTCTTCAGTTGCTCTCTACTTTATAAACATCAACATTCATGCCTTCTTCAGTTGCTCTCTATAAACATCAACATTCATGCCTTCTTCAGTTGCTCTCAACTTTATAAACATCAACATTCATGCCTTCTTCAGTTGCTCTCTACTTTATAAACATCAACATTCATGCCTTCTTCAGTTGCTCTCTACTTTATAAACATCAACATTCATGCCTTCTTCAGTTGCTCTCTACTTTATAAACATCAACATTCATGCCTTCTTCAGTTGCTCTCTACTTTATAAACATCAACATTCATGCCTTCTTCAGTTGCTCTCTACTTTATAAACATCAACATTCATGCCTTCTTCAGTTGCTCTCTACTTTATAAACATCAACATTCATGCCTTCTTCAGTTGCTCTCTACTTTATAAACATCAACATTCATGCCTTCTTCAGTTGCTCTCTACTTTATAAACATCAACATTCATGCCTTCTTCAGTTGCTCTCAACTTTATAAACATCAACATTCATGCCTTCTTCAGTTGCTCTCTACTTTATAAACATCAACATTCATGCCTTCTTCAGTTGCTCTCTACTTTATAAACATCAACATTCATGCCTTCTTCAGTTGCTCTCTACTTTATAAACATCAACATTCATGCCTTCTTCAGTTGCTCTAAACTTTATAAACATCAACATTCATGCCTTCTTCAGTTGCTCTCTACTTTATAAACATCAACATTCATGCCTTCTTCAGTTGCTCTCTACTTTATAAACATCAACATTCATGCCTTCTTCAGTTGCTCTCTACTTTATAAACATCAACATTCATGCCTTCTTCAGTTGCTCTCAACTTTATAAACATCAACATTCATGCCTTCTTCAGTTGCTCTCTACTTTATAAACATCAACATTCATGCCTTCTTCAGTTGCTCTCTACTTTATAAACATCAACATTCATGCCTTCTTCAGTTGCTCTCTACTTTATAAACATCAACATTCATGCCTTCTTCAGTTGCTCTCTACTTTATAAACATCAACATTCATGCCTTCTTCAGTTGCTCTCTACTTTATAAACATCAACATTCATGCCTTCTTCAGTTGCTCTCAACTTTATAAACATCAACATTCATGCCTTCTTCAGTTGCTCTCTACTTTATAAACATCAACATTCATGCCTTCTTCAGTTGCTCTCTACTTTATAAACATCAACATTCATGCCTTCTTCAGTTGCTCTCTACTTTATAAACATCAACATTCATGCCTTCTTCAGTTGCTCTCTACTTTATAAACATCAACATTCATGCCTTCTTCAGTTGCTCTCTACTTTATAAACATCAACATTCATGCCTTCTTCAGTTGCTCTCTACTTTATAAACATCAACATTCATGCCTTCTTCAGTTGCTCTCTACTTTATAAACATCAACATTCATGCCTTCTTCAGTTGCTCTCTACTTTATAAACATCAACATTCATGCCTTCTTCAGTTGCTCTCTACTTTATAAACATCAACATTCATGCCTTCTTCAGTTGCTCTCTACTTTATAAACATCAACATTCATGCCTTCTTCAGTTGCTCTCTACTTTATAAACAAGATCAACATTCATGCCTTCTTCAGTTGCTCTCTACTTTATAAACATCAACATTCATGCCTTCTTCAGTTGCTCTCTACTTTATAAACATCAACATTCATGCCTTCTTCAGTTGCTCTCTATAAACATCAACATTCATGCCTTCTTCAGTTGCTCTCAACTTTATAAACATCAACATTCATGCCTTCTTCAGTTGCTCTCTACTTTATAAACATCAACATTCATGCCTTCTTCAGTTGCTCTCTACTTTATAAACATCAACATTCATGCCTTCTTCAGTTGCTCTCTACTTTATAAACATCAACATTCATGCCTTCTTCAGTTGCTCTCTACTTTATAAACATCAACATTCATGCCTTCTTCAGTTGCTCTCTACTTTATAAACATCAACATTCATGCCTTCTTCAGTTGCTCTCTACTTTATAAACATCAACATTCATGCCTTCTTCAGTTGCTCTCTACTTTATAAACATCAACATTCATGCCTTCTTCAGTTGCTCTCTACTTTATAAACATCAACATTCATGCCTTCTTCAGTTGCTCTCTACTTTATAAACATCAACATTCATTCCTTCTTCAGTTGCTCTCTACTTTATAAACATCAACATTCATGCCTTCTTCAGTTGCTCTCTACTTTATAAACATCAACATTCATGCCTTCTTCAGTTGCTCTCTACTTTATAAACATCAACATTCATGCCTTCTTCAGTTGCTCTCTACTTTATAAACATCAACATTCATGCCTTCTTCAGTTGCTCTCTACTTTATAAACATCAACATTCATGCCTTCTTCAGTTGCTCTCTACTTTATAAACATCAACATTCATGCCTTCTTCAGTTGCTCTCTACTTTATAAACATCAACATTCATGCCTTCTTCAGTTGCTCTCTACTTTATAAACATCAACATTCATGCCTTCTTCAGTTGCTCTCTACTTTATAAACATCAACATTCATGCCTTCTTCAGTTGCTCTCTACTTTATAAACATCAACATTCATGCCTTCTTCAGTTGCTCTCTACTTTATAAACATCAACATTCATGCCTTCTTCAGTTGCTCTCTACTTTATAAACATCAACATTCATGCCTTCTTCAGTTGCTCTCTACTTTATAAACATCAACATTCATGCCTTCTTCAGTTGCTCTCTACTTTATAAACATCAACATTCATGCCTTCTTCAGTTGCTCTCTACTTTATAAACATCAACATTCATGCCTTCTTCAGTTGCTCTCTACTTTATAAACATCAACATTCATGCCTTCTTCAGTTGCTCTCTACTTTATAAACATCAACATTCATGCCTTCTTCAGTTGCTCTCTACTTTATAAACATCAACATTCATGCCTTCTTCAGTTGCTCTCTACTTTATAAACATCAACATTCATGCCTTCTTCAGTTGCTCTCTACTTTATAAACATCAACATTCATGCCTTCTTCAGTTGCTCTCTACTTTATAAACATCAACATTCATGCCTTCTTCAGTTGCTCTCTACTTTATAAACATCAACATTCATGCCTTCTTCAGTTGCTCTCTACTTTATAAACATCAACATTCATGCCTTCTTCAGTTGCTCTCTACTTTATAAACATCAACATTCATGCCTTCTTCAGTTGCTCTCTACTTTATAAACATCAACATTCATGCCTTCTTCAGTTGCTCTCTACTTTATAAACATCAACATTCATGCCTTCTTCAGTTGCTCTCTACTTTATAAACATCAACATTCATGCCTTCTTCAGTTGCTCTCTACTTTATAAACATCAACATTCATGCCTTCTTCAGTTGCTCTCTACTTTATAAACATCAACATTCATGCCTTCTTCAGTTGCTCTCTACTTTATAAACATCAACATTCATGCCTTCTTCAGTTGCTCTCTACTTTATAAACATCAACATTCATGCCTTCTTCAGTTGCTCTCTACTTTATAAACATCAACATTCATGCCTTCCTCTCTATTACCCCTAACAAGCTCTTTAATTCACACACAACCCTTACATCAGTCATGTTCTTTAATTCACACAACTCTTACATCAGTCATGTCACACACAACTCTTACATCAGTCATGTTCTTTAATTCACACAACTCTTACATCAGTCATGTTCTTTAATTCACACACAACTCTTACATCAGTCATGTTCTTTAATTCACACACAACCCTTACATCAGTCATGTTCTTTAATTCACACACAACTCTTACATCAGTCATGTCACACACAACCCTTACATCAGTCATGTTCTTTAATTCACACAACTCTTACATCAGTCATGTCACACACAACTCTTTCATCAGTCATGTTCTTTAATTCACACACAACTCTTACATCAGTCATGTTCTTTAATTCACACACAACTCTTACATCAGTCATGTTCTTTAATTCACACAACTCTTACATCAGTCATGTTCTTTAATTCACACACAACCCTTACATCAGTCATGTTCTTTAATTCACACACAACCCTTACATCAGTCATGTCACACACAACCCTTACATCAGTCATGTTCTTTAATTCACACACAACTCTTACATCAGTCATGTTCTTTAATTCACACAACTCTTACATCAGTCATGTTCTTTAATTCACACACAACCCTTACATCAGTTATGTTCTTTAATTCACACACAACCCTTACATCAGTCATGTCACACACAACTCTTACATCAGTCATGTTCTTTAATTCACACAACTCTTACATCAGTCATGTTCTTTAATTCACACAACCCTTACATCAGTCATGTTCTTTAATTCACACACAACTCTTACATCAGTCATGTTCTTTAATTCACACACAACTCTTACATCAGTCATGTCACACACAACCCTTACATCAGTCATGTTCTTTAATTCACACACAACCCTTACATCAGTCATGTTCTTTAATTCACACACAACCCTTACATCAGTCATGTTCTTTAATTCACACACAACTCTTACATCAGTCTTGTTCTTTAATTCACACACAACTCTTACATCAGTCATGTCACACACAACCCTTACATCAGTCATGTTCTTTAATTCACACACAACCCTTACATCAGTCATGTTCTTTAATTCACACACAACCCTTACATCAGTCATGTTCTTTAATTCACACACAACTCTTACATCAGTCATGTTCTTTAATTCACACACAACTCTTACATCAGTCATGTTCTTTAATTCACACAACCCTTACATCAGTCATGTTCTTTAATTCACACAACTCTTACATCAGTCATGTTCTTTAATTCACACACAACCCTTACATCAGTCATGTTCTTTAATTCACACACAACTCTTACATCAGTCATGTTCTTTAATTCACACAACTCTTACATCAGTCATGTTCTTTAATTCACACACAACCCTTACATCAGTCATGTTCTTTAATTCACACACAACCCTTACATCAGTCATGTCACACACAACCCTTACATCAGTCATGTTCTTTAATTCACACAACTCTTACATCAGTCATGTTCTTTAATTCACACACAACCCTTACATCAGTCATGTTCTTTAATTCACACACAACCCTTACATCAGTCATGTTCTTTAATTCACACACAACTCTTACATCAGTCATGTTCTTTAATTCACACACAACCCTTACATCAGTCATGTTCTTTAATTCACACACAACTCTTACATCAGTCATGTCACACACAACTCTTACATCAGTCATGTTCTTTAATTCACACACAACCCTTACATCAGTCATGTTCTTTAATTCACACACAACCCTTACATCAGTCATGTTCTTTAATTCACACACAACCCTTACATCAGTCATGTCACACACAACTCTTACATCAGTCATGTCACACACAACTCTTACATCAGTCATGTTCTTTAATTCACACACAACCCTTACATCAGTCATGTTCTTTAATTCACACACAACCCTTACATCAGTCATGTCACACACAACCCTTACATCAGTCATGTTCTTTAATTCACACACAACTCTTACATCAGTCATGTTCTTTAATTCACACACAACTCTTACATCAGTCATGTTCTTTAATTCACACACAACCCTTACATCAGTCATGTCACACACAACTCTTACATCAGTCATGTTCTTTAATTCACACACAACTCTTACATCAGTCATGTTCTTCAAATCTGCAACAACTTCTGCAGGATCTGTGCTGCTACCATTCTTGTAGATAATGATCCGGACTTTCTTGTTCTCACACAAAGTTCTAGGGTTACATGTTATTTAGTATCAGAAAAACATTTAATTTTGAAACCAACAAAGATCCGTCTGAAAAAAAAAAATTACCTCATGCGTTTTGACATCAGAGTTCTCCTCCCTTTTGTGTGTCTCTGCTCAGGCAGGATAACTCCTCCCAAACTCCACACAGACTTGTTGCGAATGATAACATTTCCTTTAGAAAATTTCATATTAATGAAATCATAGCTGAATTAGATCTGGTCAGATAGATCTTACTTGGTCAGGTATAAATTATATCTGGTCAGGTAAATTATATCTGGTCAGGTAAATTATATCTGATCAGGTAAATTATATCTGGTCAGGTAAATTATATCTGATCAGGTAAATTATATCTGGTCAAGTAAATTATATCTGGTCAGGTAAATTATATCTGATCAGGTAAATTACATCTGATCAGGTAAATTATATCTGATCAGGTAAATTATATCTGATCAGGTAAATTATATCTGATAGGTAAATTATATCTGATCAGGTAAATTACATCTGATCAGGTAAATTATATCTGATCAGGTAAATTATATCTGGTCAGGTAAATTATATCTGATAGGTAAATTATATCTGATCAGGTCAATTATATATGGTCAGGTAAATTATATCTGATCAGGTAAAGCATACTTTGTATGTGGTCTACTGAGGTAAAGCATACTTTGAGCTGTATGTGGTCTACTGAGGTAAAGCATACTTTGAGCTGTATGTGGTCTACTGAGGTAAAGCATACTTTGAGCTGTATGTGGTTTACTGAGGTAAAGCATACTTTGTATGTGGTCTACTGAGGTAAAGCATACTTTGTATGTGGTCTACTGAGGTAAAGCATACTTTAAGCTGTATGTGGTCTACTGATGTAAAGCATACTTTGAGCTGTATGTGGTCTACTGAGGTAAAGCATACTTTGTATGTGGTCTACTTAGGTAAAGCATACTTTGAGCTGTATGTGGTCTACTGAGGTAAAGCATACTTTGAGCTGTATGTGGTCTACTGAGGTAAAGCATACTTTGTATGTGGTCTACTTAGGTAAAGCATACTTTGTATGTTGTCTACTGAGGTAAAGCATACTTTGAGCTGTATGTGGTCTACTGAGGTAAAGCATACTTTGTATGTGGTCTACTGAGGTAAAGCATACTTTGAGCTGTCTGTGGTCTACTAAGGTAAAGCATACTTTGTATGTGGTCTACTGAGGTAAAGCATACTTTGTATGTGGTCTACTGAGGTAAAGCATACTTTGTATGTGGTCTACTGAGGTAAAGCATACTTTGGTCTACTGAGGTAAAGCATACCTTGAGCTGTATGTGGTCTACTGAGGTAAAGCATACTTTGAGCTGTATGTGGTCTACTGAGGTAAAGCATACTTTGAGCTGTATGTGGTCTACTGAGGTAAAGCATACTTTGTATGTTATCTACTGAGGTAAAGCATACTTTGAGCTGTATGTGGTCTACTGAGGTAAAGCATACTTTGTATGTGGTCTACTGAGGTAAAGCATACTTTGTATGTGGTCTACTGAGGTAAAGCATACTTTGAGCTGTATGTGGTCTACTGAGGTAAAGCATACTTTGAGCTGTATGTGGTCTACTGAGGTAAAGCATACTTTGTATGTGGTCTACTGAGGTAAAGCATACTTTGAGCTGTATGTGGTCTACTGAGGTAAAGCATACTTTGAGCTGTATGTGGTCTACTGAGGTAAAGCATACTTTGTATGTGGTCTACTGAGGTAAAGCATACTTTGTATGTGGTCTACTGAGGTAAAGCATACTTTGAGCTGTATGTGGTCTACTGAGGTAAAGCATACTTTGTATGTGGTCTACTGAGGTAAAGCATACTTTGAGCTGTATGTGGTCTACTGAGGTAAAGCATACTTTGTATGTGGTCTACTGAGGTAAAGCATACTTTGAGCTGTATGTGGTCTACTGAGGTAAAGCATACTTTGTATGTGGTCTACTGAGGTAAAGCATACTTTGAGCTGTATGTGGTCTACTGAGGTAAAGCATACTTTGTATGTGGTCTACTGAGGTAAAGCATACTTTGAGCTGTATGTGGTCTACTGAGGTAAAGCATACTTTGTATGTGGTCTACTGAGGTAAAGCATACTTTGAGCTGTATGTGGTCTACTGAGGTAAAGCATACTTTGAGCTGTATGTGGTCTACTGAGGTAAAGCATACTTTGAGCTGTATGTGGTCTACTGAGGTAAAGCATACTTTGTATGTGGTCTACTGAGGTAAAGCATACTTTGAGCTGTATGTGGTCTACTGAGGTAAAGCATACTTTGGTCTACTGAGGTAAAGCATACTTTGTATGTGGTCTACTGAGGTAAAGCATACTTTGAGCTGTATGTGGTCTACTGAGGTAAAGCATACTTTGTATGTGGTCTACTGAGGTAAAGCATACTTTGTATGTGGTCTACTGAGGTAAAGCATACTTTGAGCTGTATGTGGTCTACTGAGGTAAAGCATACTTTGTATGTGGTCTACTGAGGTAAAGCATACTTTGTATGTGGTCTACTGAGGTAAAGCATACTTTGTATGTGGTCTACTGAGGTAAAGCATACTTTGAGCTGTATGTGGTCTACTGAGGTAAAGCATACTTTGTATGTGGTCTACTGAGGTAAAGCATACTTTGTATGTGGTCTACTGAGGTAAAGCATACATACTTTGAGCTGTATGTGGTCTACTGAGGTAAAGCATACTTTGTATGTGGTCTACTGAGGTAAAGCATACTTTGAGCTGTGTGGTAAGGATCCTTGAAGTTCTCCCCCATTGAGATGTAGACGTCCTGGTACTGGGGGATGTCCTGGCCAGAGAAGACCTCCACACCCTCCTCTAGGAACACTCTACGTGCAGCAAATGGCAGGCCCAGCTTTTCTGTTGCCATCTCACACAGCTGGACAACCAGGATGACAACCAGAGAGTAGGATGACAAGACAACCAGAGAGTAGGATGACAACCAGAGAGTAGGATGACAACCAGAGAGTAGGATGACAACCAGAGAGTAGGATGACAACCAGAGAGTAGGATGACAAGACAACCAGAGAGTAGGATGACAACCAGAGAGTAGGATGACAACCAGAGAGTAGGATGACAAGACAACCAGAGAGTAGGATGACAACCAGAGAGTAGGATGACAACCAGAGAGTAGGATGACAACCAGAGAGTAGGATGAAAACTAGAGAGTAGGATGACAAGACAACCAGAGAGTAGGATGACAACCAGAGAGTAGGATGACAACCAGAGAGTAGGATGACAACCAGAGAGTAGGATGACAAGACAACCAGAGAGTAGGATGACAACCAGAGAGTAGGATGACAACCAGAGAGTAGGATGACAACCAGAGAGTAGGATGACAAGACAACCAGAGAGTAGGATGACAACCAGAGAGTAGGATGACAACCAGAGAGTAGGATGACAACCAGAGAGTAGGATGACAAGACAACCAGAGAGTAGGATGACAACCAGAGAGTAGGATGACAACCAGAGAGTAGGATGACAACCAGAGAGTAGGATGACAAGACAACCAGAGAGTAGGATGACAAGACAACCAGAGAGTAGGATGACAACCAGAGAGTAGGATGACAACCAGAGAGTAGGATGACAAGACAACCAGAGAGTAGGATGACAACCAGAGAGTAGGATGACAAGACAACCAGAGAGTAGGATGACAACCAGAGAGTAGGATGACAACCAGAGAGTAGGATGACAAGACAACCAGAGAGTAGGATGACAACCAGAGAGTAGGATGACAACCAGAGAGTAGGATGACAACCAGAGAGTAGGATGACAACCAGAGAGTAGGATGACAACCAGAGAGTAGGATGACAACCAGAGAGTAGGATGACAACCAGAGAGTAGGATGACAACCAGAGAGTAGGATGACAACCAGAGAGTAGGATGACAACCAGAGAGTAGGATGACAACCAGAGAGTAGGATGACAACCAGAGAGTAGGATGACAAGACAACCAGAGAGTAGGATGACAACCAGAGAGTAGGAAGACAACCAGAGAGTAGGATGACAAGACAACCAGAGAGTAGGATGACAAGACAACCAGAGAGTAGGATGACAAGACAACCAGAGAGTAGGATGACAAGACAACCAGAGAGTAGGATGACAAGACAACCAGAGAGTAGGATGACAAGACAACCAGAGAGTAGGATGACAAGACAACCAGAGAGTAGGATGACAACCAGAGAGTAGGATGACAAGACAACCAGAGAGTAGGATGACAACCAGAGAGTAGGATGACAACCAGAGAGTAGGATGACAACCAGAGAGTAGGATGACAAGACAACCAGAGAGTAGGATGACAACCAGAGAGTAGGATGACAACCAGAGAGCAGGATGACAACCAGAGAGTAGGATGACAACCAGAGAGTAGGATGACAAGACAACCAGAGAGTAGGATGACAAGACAACCAGAGAGTAGGATGACAAGACAACCAGAGAGTAGGATGACAAGACAACCAGAGAGTAGGATGACAAGACAACCAGAGAGTAGGATGACAAGACAACCAGAGAGTAGGATGACAAGACAACCAGAGAGTAGGATGACAACCAGAGAGTAGGATGACAACCAGAGAGTAGGATGACAAGACAACCAGAGAGTAGGATGACAACCAGAGAGTAGGATGACAAGACAACCAGAGAGTAGGATGACAACCAGAGAGTAGGATGACAACCAGAGAGTAGGATGACAACCAGAGAGCAGGATGACAAGACAACCAGAGAGTAGGATGACAACCAGAGAGTAGGATGACAAGACAACCAGAGAGTAGGATGACAACCAGATAGCAGGATGACAACCAGAGAGCAGGATGACAAGACAACCAGAGAGTAGAATGACAACCAGAGAGTAGGATGACAACCAGAGAGTAGGATGACAACCAGAGAGCAGGATGACAAGACAACCAGAGAGTAGGATGACAAGACAACCAGAGAGTAGGATGACAACCAGAGAGTAGGATGACAAGACAACCAGAGAGTAGGATGACAACCAGAGAGTAGGATGACAACCAGAGAGTAGGATGACAACCAGAGAGTAGGATGACAAGACAACCAGAGAGTAGGATGACAACCAGAGAGCAGGATGACAACCAGAGAGTAGGATGACAACCAGAGAGTAGGATGACAACCAGAGAGTAGGATGACAACCAGAGAGTAGGATGACAACCAGAGAGTAGGATGACAACCAGAGAGTAGGATGACAACCAGAGAGTAGGATGACAACCAGAGAGTAGGATGACAAGACAACCAGAGAGTAGGATGACAAGACAACCAGAGAGTAGGATGACAACCAGAGAGTAGGATGACAACCAGAGAGTAGGATGACAACCAGAGAGTAGGATGACAAGACAACCAGAGAGTAGGATGACAAGACAACCAGAGAGTAGGATGACAACCAGAGAGCAGGATGACAACCAGAGAGCAGGATGACAACCAGAGAGTAGGATGACAACCAGAGAGTAGGAAGACAACCAGAGAGTAGGATGACAAGACAACCAGAGAGTAGGATGACAAGACAACCAGAGAGTAGGATGACAACCAGAGAGCAGGATGACAACCAGAGAGCAGGATGACAACCAGAGAGTAGGATGACAACCAGAGAGTAGGATGACAAGACAACCAGAGAGTAGGATGACAACCAGAGAGTAGGATGACAACCAGAGAGTAGGATGACAACCAGAGAGTAGGATGACAACCAGAGAGTAGGAAGACAACCAGAGAGCAGGATGACAACCAGAGAGTAGGATGACAACCAGAGAGTAGGATGACAACCAGAGAGTAGGATGACAACCAGAGAGTAGGATGACAACCAGAGAGTAGGATGACAACCAGAGAGTAGGATGACAACCAGAGAGTAGGATGACAACCAGAGAGTAGGATGACAACCAGAGGGTAGGATGACAACCAGAGAGTAGGATGACAACCAGAGAGTAGGATGACAAGACAACCAGAGAGTAGGATGACAACCAGAGAGTAGGATGACAAGACAACCAGAGAGTAGGATGACAACCAGAGAGTAGGATGACAAGACAACCAGAGAGTAGGAAGACAACCAGAGAGTAGGATGACAACCAGAGAGTAGGATGACAACCAGAGAGTAGGATGACAACCAGAGAGTAGGATGACAACCAGAGAGTAGGATGACAACCAGAGAGTAGGATGACAACCAGAGAGTAGGATGACAACCAGAGAGTAGGATGACAACCAGAGAGTAGGATGACAAGACAGAGAGTAGGATGACAACCAGAGAGTAGGATGACAAGACAGAGAGTAGGATGACAACCAGAGAGTAGGATGACAAGACAACCAGAGAGTAGGATGACAACCAGAGAGTAGGATGACAACCAGAGAGTAGGATGACAAGACAACCAGAGAGTAGGATGACAACCAGAGAGTAGGATGACAAGACAACCAGAGAGTAGGATGACAAGACAACCAGAGAGTAGGATGACAACCAGAGAGCAGGATGACAACCAGAGAGCAGGATGACAACCAGAGAGTAGGATGACAACCAGAGAGTAGGATGACAACCAGAGAGTAGGATGACAAGACAACCAGAGAGTAGGATGACAACCAGAGAGTAGGATGACAACCAGAGAGTAGGATGACAACCAGAGAGTAGGATGACAAGACAACCAGAGAGTAGGATGACAAGACAACCAGAGAGTAGGATGACAACCAGAGAGCAGGATGACAACCAGAGAGCAGGATGACAACCAGAGAGTAGGATGACAACCAGAGAGTAGGAAGACAACCAGAGAGCAGGATGACAACCAGAGAGTAGGATGACAACCAGAGAGCAGGATGACAACCAGAGAGTAGGATGACAACCAGAGAGTAGGATGACAACCAGAGAGCAGGATGACAACCAGAGAGTAGGATGACAACCAGAGAGTAGGAAGACAACCAGAGAGCAGGATGACAACCAGAGAGTAGGATGACAACCAGAGAGTAGGATGACAACCAGAGAGCAGGATGACAACCAGAGAGTAGGATGACAACCAGAGAGTAGGATGACAACCAGAGAGTAGGATGACAACCAGAGAGTAGGAAGACAACCAGAGAGCAGGATGACAACCAGAGAGTAGGATGACAAGACAACCAGAGAGCAGGATGACAACCAGAGAGTAGGATGACAAGACAACCAGAGAGTAGGATGACAACCAGAGAGCAGGATGACAACCAGAGAGTAGGATGACAAGACAACCAGAGAGTAGGATGACAACCAGAGAGTAGGATGACAACCAGAGAGTAGGATGACAACCAGAGAGTAGGATGACAACCAGAGAGTAGGATGACAACCAGAGAGTAGGATGACAAGACAACCAGAGAGTAGGATGACAAGACAACCAGAGAGTAGGATGACAAGACAACCAGAGAGTAGGATGACAACCAGAGAGTAGGATGACAACCAGAGAGTAGGATGACAACCAGAGAGCAGGATGACAACCAGAGAGTAGGAAGACAACCAGAGAGTAGGATGACAACCAGAGAGTAGGATGACAAGACAACCAGAGAGTAGGATGACAACCAGAGAGTAGGATGACAACCAGAGAGTAGGATGACAACCAGAGAGTAGGATGACAACCAGAGAGTAGGATGACAACCAGAGAGTAGGATGACAACCAGAGAGTAGGAAGACAACCAGAGAGCAGGATGACAAGACAACCAGAGAGTAGGATGACAACCAGAGAGTAGGATGACAAGACAACCAGAGAGTAGGATGACAACCAGAGAGTAGGATGACAACCAGAGAGTAGGATGACAACCCGATAGCAGGATGACAACCAGAGAGTAGGATGACAAGACAACCAGAGAGTAGGATGACAACCAGAGAGTAGGATGACAAGACAACCAGAGAGTAGGATGACAACCAGAGAGTAGGATGACAACCAGAGAGTAGGATGACAACCAGAGAGTAGGATGACAAGACAACCAGAGAGTAGGATGACAACCAGAGAGTAGGATGACAAGACAACCAGAGAGTAGGATGACAACCAGAGAGTAGGAAGACAACCAGAGAGTAGGATGACAACCAGAGAGTAGGATGACAACCAGAGAGTAGGATGACAACCAGAGAGTAGGATGACAACCAGAGAGTAGGACGACAACCAGAGAGTAGGATGACAAGACAACCAGAGAGTAGGATGACAACCAGAGAGTAGGATGACAACCAGAGAGTAGGATGACAACCAGAGAGTAGGATGACAACCAGAGAGTAGGATGACAACCAGAGAGTAGGATGACAACCCGATAGCAGGATGACAACCAGAGATCTTACAATTTTGATGGTAGGGGCAGCCATGTTAACACACTTTTCTCTGGAACCATTGACGTATGCCGTGACCTTGATTATGTAAGGCTGTTTTTTAAAACCTACTCGATGACCTTGTCAAATTAGGAATATAACAGAATTTTCAGTTTCATTTGATATTAAAGATGTACATAAGAAACAATAAAATATGAAATTGTGGAAAAAAAGTTACCAGATAAGGGCCTTGATCTATGAGATATGCCAGATTGGGGTCTAAGGAACACAGAAAAATTTTCCAGTTATTTTTTTGTTTTACCCACAGTTCTGTGATTCTTACAGGATGGTCTGTGATTGTTATACGATAGATTGTGATTGTTATGTGATGGACTAATTGTTATGTGATAGATTGTCATTGTAATGTAATGGTCTGTGATTGTTATGTGATGGTCTGTGATTGTTATGTGATGGTCTGTGATTGTTATGTGATGGATTGTGATTGTTATGTGATGGTCTGTGATTGTTATGTGATGGTCTGTGATTGTTATGTGATGGTCTGTGATTGTTATGTGATGGATTGTGATTGTTATGTGATTGATTGTCATTGTAATGTAATGGTCTGTGATTGTTATGTGATGGTCTGTGATTGTTATGTGATGGATTGTGATTGTTATGTGATGGATTGTGATTGTTACATAATAGGTTGGCACACCCTTTCCTCAGTCTCACTGCAACAGGCTCCTCCCATATTCTCTCCACATTGCACTACATATAGGCTCCTCCCACTACATATAGGCTCCTCCCACTAGCTACATAAAAAATACCTGTTGTGTTTTACTGGTGCACTAGCAGGTCGCAGGCGTTGTGCACTAGCAGGTCGCAGGCGTTGAGGTTGTCTTGGTGTTGCTGGTTCCCACAAGTTGTGATCTGCAATAAACTTTTCATCAATCTTTGGCCTGCTGCTGTATCTGCTGGAGACGGCTGAGCCAGGTCGCTGATATCTTCTATGCTGACTTTTAAGGTAGGGGGACAATGGAATTCTGGGATTACAGGCAAAAATGTGATTAACATATTAATTAAATGTGATTAACATGTTAATTAAATGTGTAGATGTGCATAAACTGTGTGATATGGCCCATAATGGTATTGTGTAACACTGAGTAAATGAGTGTAGAATTGATATTGAATGTATTTGTGTAGTATTTAATCAAATGTGTTATGTATGATATTGAATCATTGTGTAGAATTGAATCCAATGTGTTATGTATGTGTTGTATTGAATCCAATGAATGAGTGGGTGTAGTCTTTAGCCTGATTGTGTTGTATTGAATCCAATGAATGAGTGAGTGTAGTCTTTAGCCTGATTGTGTTGTATTGAATCAAATGAATGAGTGAGTGTAGTCTTTAGCCTGATTGTGTTGTATTGAATCAAATGAATGAGTGGGTGTAGTCTTTAGCCTGATTGTGTTGTATTGAATCAAATGAATGAGTGGGTGTAGTCTTTAGCCTGATTGTGTTGTATTGAATCAAATGTGTTATGTATGTGTTGTATTGAATCAAATGAATGAGTGGGTGTAGTCTTTAGCCTGATTGTGTTGTATTGAATCAAATGTGTTATGTATGTGTTGTATTGAATCAAATGAATGAGTGGGTGTAGTCTTTAGCCTGATTGTGTTGTATTGAATCCAATGAATGAGTGGGTGTAGTCTTTAGCCTGATTGTGTTGTATTGAATCAAATGAATGAGTGGGTGTAGTCTTTAGCCTGATTGTGTTGTATTGAATCCAATGAATGAGTGAGTGTAGTCTTTAGCCTGATTGTGTTGTATTGAATCCAATGAATGAGTGGGTGTAGTCTTTAGCCTGATTGTGTTGTATTGAATCAAATGAATGAGTGGGTGTAGTCTTTAGCCTGATTGTGTTGTATTGAATCAAATGAATGAGTGGGTGTAGTCTTTAGCCTGATTGTGTTGTATTGAATCCAATGAATGAGTGGGTGTAGTCTTTAGCCTGATTGTGTTGTATTGAATCAAATGAAGGAGTGGGTGTAGTCTTTAGCCTGATTGTGTTGTATTGAATCAAATGTGTTATGTATGTGTTGTATTGAATCAAATGAATGAGTGGGTGTAGTCTTTAGCCTGATTGTGTTGTATTGAATCCAATGAATGAGTGGGTGTAGTCTTTAGCCTGATTGTGTTGTATTGAATCCAATGAATGAGTGGGTGTAGTCTTTAGCCTGATTGTGTTGTATTGAATCAAATGAATGAGTGGGTGTAGTCTTTAGCCTGATTGTGTTGTATTGAATCAAATGAATGAGTGGGTGTAGTCTTTAGCCTGATTGTGTTGTATTGAATCAAATGAATGAGTGGGTGTAGTCTTTAGCCTGATTGTGTTGTATTGAATCCAATGTGTTATGTATGTGTTGTATTGAATCCAATGAATGAGTGGGTGTAGTCTTTAGCCTGATTGTGTAGTATTGAATCCAATGAATGAGTGGGTGTAGTCTTTAGCCTGATTGTGTAGTATTGAATCCAATGAATGAGTGGGTGTAGTCTTTAGCCTGATTGTGTTGTATTGAATCAAATGAATGAGTGGGTGTAGTCTTTAGCCTGATTGTGTTGTATTGAATCAAATGAATGAGTGGGTGTAGTCTTTAGCCTGATTGTGTTGTATTGAATCAAATGAATGAGTGGGTGTAGTCTTTAGCCTGATTGTGTTGTATTGAATCAAATGTGTTATGTATGTGTTGTATTGAATCAAATGAATGAGTGGGTGTAGTCTTTAGCCTGATTGTGTTGTATTGAATCAAATGAATGAGTGGGTGTAGTCTTTAGCCTGATTGTGTAGTATTGAATCCAATGAATGAGTGCGTGTAGTCTTTAGCCTGATTGTGTTGTATTGAATCCAATGTGTTATGTATGTGTTGTATTGAATCAAATGAATGAGTGGGTGTAGTCTTTAGCCTGATTGTGTAGTATTGAATCCAATGTGTTATGTATGTGTAGTATTGAATCAAATGAATGAGTGGGTGTAGTCTTTAGCCTGATTGTGTTGTATTGAATCAAATGAATGAGTGGGTGTAGTCTTTAGCCTGATTGTGCTGTATTGAATCCAATGAATGAGTGAGTGTAGTCTTTAGCCTGATTGTGTTGTATTGAATCCAATGAATGAGTGGGTGTAGTCTTTAGCCTGATTGTGTTGTATTGAATCAAATGTGTTATGTATGTGTTGTATTGAATCAAATGAATGAGTGGGTGTAGCCTTTAGCCTGATTGTGTAGTATTGAATCCAATGTGTTATGTATGTGTAGTATTGAATCAAATGAATGAGTGGGTGTAGTCTTTAGCCTGATTGTGTTGTATTGAATCAAATGAATGAGTGGGTGTAGTCTTTAGCCTGATTGTGCTGTATTGAATCCAATGAATGAGTGAGTGTAGTCTTTAGCCTGATTGTGTTGTATTGAATCCAATGAATGAGTGGGTGTAGTCTTTAGCCTGATTGTGTTGTATTGAATCAAATGTGTTATGTATGTGTTGTATTGAATCAAATGAATGAGTGGGTGTAGTCTTTAGCCTGATTGTGTTGTATTGAATCAAATGAATGAGTGGGTGTAGTCTTTAGCCTGATTGTGTTGTATTGAATCAAATGAATGAGTGGGTGTAGTCTTTAGCCTGATTGTGTTGTATTGAATCAAATGAATGAGTGGGTGTAGTCTTTAGCCTGATTGTGTTGTATTGAATCAAATGAATGAGTGGGTGTAGTCTTTAGCCTGATTGTGCTGTATTGAATCAAATGTGTTATGTATGTGTAGTATTGAATCCAATGAATGAGTGGGTGTAGTCTTTAGCCTGATTGTGTTGTATTGAATCCAATGTGTTATGTATGTGTTGTATTGAATCAAATGAATGAGTGGGTGTAGTCTTTAGCCTGATTGTGTTGTATTGAATCCAATGAATGAGTGGGTGTAGTCTTTAGCCTGATTGTGTTGTATTGAATCAAATGAATGAGTGGGTGTGATCTTTAGCCTGATTGTGTTGTATTGAATCCAATGAATGAGTGGGTGTAGTCTTTAGCCTGATTGTGTTGTATTGAATCAAATGAATGAGTGAGTGTAGTCTTTAGTCTGATTGTGTTGTATTGAATCAAATGAATGAGTGGGTGTAGTCTTTAGCCTGATTGTGCTGTATTGAATCAAATGTGTTATGTATGTGTAGTATTGAATCCAATGAATGAGTGGGTGTAGTCTTTAGCCTGATTGTGTTGTATTGAATCCAATGTGTTATGTATGTGTAGTATTGAATCCAATGAATGAGTGGGTGTAGTCTTTAGCCTGATTGTGCTGTATTGAATCCAATGTGTTATGTATGTGTAGTATTGAATCCAATGAATGAGTGGGTGTAGTCTTTAGCCTGATTGTGTTGTATTGAATCCAATGAATGAGTGGGTGTAGTCTTTAGCCTGATTGTGTAGTATTGAATCAAATGAATGAGTGGGTGTGATCTTTAGCCTGATTGTGTTGTATTGAATCCAATGAATGAGTGGGTGTAGTCTTTAGCCTGATTGTGTTGTATTGAATCAAATGAATGAGTGGGTGTAGTCTTTAGCCTGATTGTGTTGTATTGAATCAAATGAATGAGTGGGTGTAGTCTTTAGCCTGATTGTGTTGTATTGAATCAAATGAATGAGTGGGTGTAGTCTTTAGCCTGATTGTGTTGTATTGAATCCAATGAATGAGTGAGTGTAGTCTTTAGCCTGATTGTGTTGTATTGAATCCAATGAATGAGTGGGTGTAGTCTTTAGCCTGATTGTGTTGTATTGAATCCAATGAATGAGTGAGTGTAGTCTTTAGCCTGATTGTGTTGTATTGAATCCAATGAATGAGTGGGTGTAGTCTTTAGCCTGATTGTGTTGTATTGAATCAAATGAATGAGTGGGTGTAGTCTTTAGCCTGATTGTGTTGTATTGAATCCAATGAATGAGTGAGTGTAGTCTTTAGCCTGATTGTGTTGTATTGAATCCAATGAATGAGTGGGTGTAGTCTTTAGCCTGATTGTGTTGTATTGAATCAAATGAATGAGTGGGTGTAGTCTTTAGCCTGATTGTGTTGTATTGAATCCAATGAATGAGTGAGTGTAGTCTTTAGCCTGATTGTGTTGTATTGAATCAAATGAATGAGTGGGTGTAGTCTTTAGCCTGATTGTGTAGTATTGAATCAAATGAATGAGTGGGTGTAGTCTTTAGCCTGATTGTGTTGTATTGAATCCAATGAATGAGTGGGTGTAGTCTTTAGCCTGATTGTGTTGTATTGAATCCAATGAATGAGTGGGTGTAGTCTTTAGCCTGATTGTGTTGTATTGAATCAAATGTGTTATGTATGTGTTGTATTGAATCAAATGAATGAGTGGGTGTAGTCTTTAGCCTGATTGTGCTGTATTGAATCAAATGAATGAGTGGGTGTAGTCTTTAGCCTGATTGTGTTGTATTGAATCAAATGAATGAGTGGGTGTAGTCTTTAGCCTGATTGTGTAGTATGAAACTGAATAGGTGTGTGTGTGTTACATTCAATGATAAATGAAAGAGATGGACCCTCTGCTTACTGTAGTCTGTTCTGGTTATCAACATTGGTAACTGTTACAGTCTTCTGGCGCTTTAGATTTTCTAAGTACTGTGTGACTAACAAGTCTTCATAACTTATGAGTTCACTTTTTGTTTTGGTGCAGTGAGGAGGCAGGTGTACAAGCTCCGGTCTCTCCAGTTTTGAATCCAATCTTTCAAAATAAAATTAGCTCAGCATTAATAGTTATCAGTTATAACATGCTCCAAAAGTTCTTCTACTTTGATAAGTCCTATATTTCTATCAGCATCTGGTTCCATTTGGCTTGACATATTATTTAATTTCAAATTTAAATGCAGCCATCATCTATAGCCTATTCTTTTCCATATTCCATAACCACCTAGTTACTTTCATTTAGGATTTTTAATAATTTCATTTCATTTTTAAAATCCATGTATTTTATTATTTATTTTTTTAAGTAAGCCGAATAATCAAATTCTAAACCCAATACACTAAATTTAGATCTAGATCTAGTAATTGTTTATTATGAGTGAATCTCTAAGTATAATTTACAAAAAAAAATAGATAGCTGACAAGAGTGATAAGTTAACAAGATCATTGATTGTATTTGACCAAGACAATGCAAATCTTTATTCAAATTAATTAAAATTATTTAGGTCTATTATTGAAAAGTTTTAATAAAACAGGTACAAGGAACATATTTGTATATGAACGCTCGTAAAACTGCTACATAATTACTAAAATTTAATTAGTCACCTATCAGTCACTGTCACATTACTAGTTTTGTCAGATTTTACGTAGATCTATCTAAAATTAAAAATTATTAATTGAACTACTGAACCTGCCTAGGTATTGATATTAATAAACTTAAGCCCACTTTTGCACACAACGCGCCAGTTTTGTAGGTTGAACGCAATCTAAAAATAAATATCAGGACTGCTTGATTTTTTTCCTCTTAGAAATTCAATGTTGACATAACGTTTAAATATATTGTTATAGCTATAGTAAATCTAAACATAATATTATTAATGTAGCCTGTTAATTATCTATTACCGCACGTAAGTTTGTGTATTAAAGTTCATTATTTATGTAGATATTGGGTATCGAATATAGTTTTCTCAATACCTATTTTTAGAGTGCGTTCTATAAAAATACTCTGATACGCATAGTATTAGGAATTGGTATTATTAAGGCAAGGAAGTATAGTTGAGTATACTTAAGTTGGTAATCTTTTGTGTAAAATCGTCGGAGACTAGTAATGTGAAAAAAAGGTGACTCATTAAATTTTAGTAATTATTTCACATTTTTAGGAAGATTTATGTTTTGAAAGTTACAAAAATGTTTCAGTTTCATTTATGTACCTGTTTTTAAACAATTGTATTAAAACTTTTCAGTAATAAATAAAGACTAGTGATGTTTTCATCAGATGCAACTAAGCTCATTTACTTTAGCAGCCCTCTTGTTTTTTTTTTAAAAACTTATTGTGGGAGATTCATGGGAAGCCTGCTGTTTATATTGCAAATCTTGCTCGCAAACAGTACCATTTAAAGTTAATTTCTGGCCTAAATTGATATACTTAGCCATTGATTTTGGTTTATTATTCAGTTATCTATAATATTTGACAAAAATATATCACAATATACTTCTAGTAAAGCCTTAACAACGAGGCAACTTTTTCGGACATTACTAGCACCATTTTACGCACCATTTTACGCACCAAAATGATAGATTACCTATTTTTTTAGTTTAGTAGGCCGTTCAGTTCATGGCTTTCGGGTTAATTTGTTTATATTATCTCACGGCGCAAGCTCTCGAAGCAATTTATGAAGATGGTGGCCCAATTATTTTGAGGCCATCATCAATTTTAGTAATCGGAATTTCCCGTTTCTAATTAAGTCTGTTAATCAAGAATAGTTAGGTGTACTTTTGACCTAATTTCTTTATCTCACAAGCGCGCTTTAGTGAAAGTAGCTCAATTTATTTTTGTGTTAACTTGAACTTAAAATCAAATAACTTCTAAACTATGCGATGTACATTAACTATTGAATGATGCCGCATCGGCTCAGAGTCTTGTGGTACAATGTCAGTTATATCACACCCCCCCCCCCCCCCCATAATGCCATTTTATTATAATCTTTTTGCTGAAAACAAAGTGCAGGAAAATGTGTGCCACGCTAAAATACAATAATTTGGTTAGATTTATTTGTCATGTCGTGTCATATCTAAAAATAGAATGTATAACATTTTCCTAATTTATGATCGTTTTTATCATTTTTTAAAGTAAAAATATGAATTTTTAGTTAAGATTGCAGTTTTTGTAACATGGTATACTTACCCTCTGTGAATATAAAAACCATGGCATGTTAATTATGTACAAATATTGTCATAAAACACAAAAATACAAAGATCGATTTTTTTTTACTACCACTATTCGCCACCCGTAGGCATATACAATACTGTAGGCATTAATTTTTTTTAAATTGTTTATTGATTGTGTTAAATTTTAGCTATCTAAATTCATTTCTAAGATATTTTAACATGCTTCTGGTGCAGTTTTATTGAAAAATCTTTAAAAATAATCAAGAAATCACCCATGAAATAAGGTCACAGTCAGTACTAGATCTAGTCGTTTTTTCTTCATTAGCTCATAATAAGGTGAACCTGACTTTGGATTTTTTCCAATTATAATGACTTTGCACAGAAAGTAAATATATGCAATATTGACCTAGTTTACTAGTGTGCTAGCTATTATTAATACTATTAAGTATTAGGCCTACTACTATTTTGAAGTATTTTCCTAAAAAAATTTTTGAGATTTTCATCAAAACTTAATATTAATCTGTGCTTTGCATATTAAAAAAATCACAACGTTAAAATGTTTTTTTTAAATTATTTTTATGTTCAAAGATACCCAGGGGCTCGTTCAACGATTAAGATAGAGATTAGTCTAGGCCAGTCTATGTTATTGTTTGTTTTCTTAGTACCTTTGTGTCGCCATCTTTGCTATTTGTTTGATTCGCCTAGGTGATTAATGCTGCGGTTAATAAATTATTCATCATTTCGGGAAAATAATTAATAATAGTACTTTTAAGCACTTATAAAAATAGAAGATTAAAATTAATTGAGGAATATTGCAAGGATCTTTTTTTTAAACCACCATGATTAAAATATGTTGAAAATTTTGTTGCGTTACTTGGGTTATCTTTCTTACAATTATTTCAGGAGCAAATAGAATAATTGTGTTGGCCAGAATAGCAATAATTATTAGTTGAAAGAATAATTACTAATAAATGGGGGAAAAAATAATATAACAACGTTTTTAACTGTTTTATAAAAATCGAAGACTAGTTTTAGCTAGCATATTTTGCCAAATTCAATTCAGGCCGACATAATCTTGAAGTTAATGTTTTAGATATAGATCTAGATCGATTTATCATTATAGTAAAAAATATAGTTAGAAAAAAAGGTGTTTTTTTTAAAAATGTTTTTCGATAGATCTATGGATCTAAATATCATCTAAATAAAAACTTTCTAATACAAACTACAAGGCACACTGTCTCTAAAAAATTACTTGAGTGTGAAGCAAAAACATAACTAATTTTAAGATACTAACTTTTATTTACTAAGTTAGCATCAAACGTGGCGATCCATCTGGCATTACATGGATATCATTATGGTTGCCAAAATGATAGTATTAAATAAGACACTTTTGTAGATTTTTTTATCCGTTTGTGTTAAAATTGTATTCCTCTTCAAGGCATTAATATAACACGATGGAATTTAGCGAGCTTAAATCGCTCAATAACAGTTCTGAAATAGAAGCTGTAATAATTCTCGAGAAGTTTATAACTGCCGTAAGTACTCTGTACTGTAGCCTGAAGTCAACTGTTGTAGTGTCAGTGAAAGTCTGAAGTAGTCTAGAGTCTAGAGCTAGATCTAGATAGATCGACTGTAAACTAAAAGTGTAGTTGTTAGTACACAGATCTAGAATTCGAGATCTAACTAAATTGTAGTAGTCATAATAGTGTTTACAGTAGTACACACACTGTACTGTAGTCTAGTGCCAGGGGAGTGGAGACTACTGAGATTAGTTAATGGTAGGTACTAGGATAAATTTTGAAAATTGGTTTAATAGGGAAACAACCACTACAGTTAAAAGGAGCAAAAAATTACAATAACAGAACAGTTTTCCTTTTTGATGTAGCTCAAACGGTTAAATAGTTATGATTTTTTTTCGTATTAAAAAAGGTGATTTTTTTAACATAGGTTTTTTCCCAATTTCTGTGATAGAGTTTTTTTAAGCGTTTACTAAAATTGTCCTAGCTTGTAAACCATATGATCAAATTGTTTATAACTTTGCAATATCTTTATCTATCATATATGCAAGGATAATAAACAATAAAATTAGAAATTTATGGGCAGAGTTAAACAAAAACAGAAGTAGAACAGGGTACCCCCCCTAATTTTTCATATACAGTGCATTCATACAATCTCAGTTAAAATTTTAACTATTCAGAAAATTAAGCTCAAACTTGCTGAGAATGATGAGCTATGGATGTGTCAGTTATTACAATCAAATTAATATTCATAACTGAAAAGATTTTTGTTTTAACTGCTACAAAGCTGATAAATTATACAATTTCCCAAAACTGAAGTCTCGTTGATGTGAAATGCAACATGATGGCAAATTTGAGTTATTAAGCACTTAAGTCTCAAAATTTGCCTGGCTCTAGATTACTCTATTCTCAAACAGAAACAATCAAAATATGTATTTAAATCTATCTGTTTGACAAAAAATAAGGGGTGGAACAGGGTACACCCCCTATTTTTAAATACGAAATGTGTTCATACACTATTTGTTTAGGCTCAATCTATTTGAATCTAAAGCTAACAACTAACTAGAGTGAAGCTTTAAAATAAGTGTGTGTGATGGTTCTATCTAAATAGTTGACAAATAGGTAAAGGATGGTAAAAATGTAAAATGCTGAGTCATCGACACACCTGACATCATTGAAAAACTGAGCGCATATATTTAAATTTTAAAAAAAAAGGCAAATTATATCTATTAGAAATGTAAGGTGTTTTATTCATATAAATGTAATAAACTTGTTGGTATACTTATATAAATATATATAAATTTTAATTTAAAAAGATGTGTTTCTGCTTATTCGTTAATATATTACATTTCAGGAGAAGTTCAACATTGGTTGGTTTTTAAAGGAAATAGTTCATATCACAAATTAATTAGTTTGCCTAAATAAAAGATAAACACATTATTTATTTTAATAGTTTTAATTTCTCGTTTACATGTTCCATCATTAGACAATATAACTGCCATTAGGCCATATAACTGCTTATCATATTGTAGAGATGTGCTGGTTTTAGAAGTGTAGGTTCTACCTGGAAAAGTAAACAGTACAAGTACATTATTTGCCTTCCCATCAAAATAAAAAGGTTTTCTGAATACACCAAATATTTAATGTGTATTGTTAATACCAGACCTTCCTTTCTCCTCCCCCCCCCCCCCCCCCCCACTACCGTCAATATCAAAACAACGCTCGCCACTATCGCCGGCGTCAAAACAACGATCGCCGGCATCAAAACAACGCTCGCCACTATCAAAACAACGCTCGTCGGCGTCAAAACAACGTTCGCCACTATCACCGGCGTCAAAACAACGATCGCCACCATCGCCGGCGTCAAAACAACGTTCGCCACTATCGCCGGCGGCAAAACATCGTTCGCCAATATCGCCGGCGTCAAAACAACGATCGCCATCATCAAAACAACGCTCGTCGGCGTCAAAACAACGGTCGCCACTATCACCGGCGTCAAAACAACGCTCGTCGGCGTCAAAACAACGCTCGCCACTATCGCGGGCGTCAAAACAAAGCTCGACATAATCGCCAGCATCAACACAGCGCTCGCCAATATCGCCTGCGTAAAACAGCGTTTCCCACTATCGCCAGAGTCAAAACTACGATCGCCATTGTCAAAACATCGCCCGCCACCAACGCCCGAGTCAAAAATGCCTTCGGTACTATCACCAGTGTCAAAACAGCGTTCGCCATAAGCGCCAGAGTCAAAACAGTATTCGCCACTAACGCCCGAATAAAAAAGGCGTTCGCTACTTTTGCCGGCGTCAAAACAGCGTTCGCCATTATCGCCCGAGTCAAAACAGCCTTTGCCACTATTGCCCGAATCAAAACAGCATTCGCCATTATCGCCCGAATCAAAACAGCGTTCGCCACTATCGCCCGAGTCAAAACAACGATCGCCACAATCGTAATTACAGTAATACAAGCATATCAGCTAGACTAAGTCACACAAGTGTTAGTAGCGAGACCCGACAACTTCCGGTTCACTTTCACTTCCAGTCTGTAAACAGTTAAGTCCCAAACAGTACACCAAACTGTGAAGCGTATTGCAGCTAAGAGACACATCCAATCATTACGATTTTTTACAGTAATAGAGAAAAATGGATAAGAATGGAGATTATGCAATAAAATTTCAAGTAGAGCCCATAGAGAAGTTTAGGGAATAAGTCAAACTTACCTTATTTTCAATGAAACACTCCATAAAAAATAGTCCATGAAAATATTTTTAAAAAATATATAATACGCTAAGTCCATTTTTCTTCAAAATAATACTCCTCGCAATAAAATTGACCAGGCAAAAACGGAGAATAATAAAAATTACGAAACACTCGCACTCGCGCGTCCGCCAACTCTCGATATTTGGGTAACGGGAGGAAAATCTCGCCGCGCATCGTAAAACGGGAGCCAAATCCTAGTACCTAGTTAATGGCTAATGGACACCAGCCAGAAAAGTCTCAAAGGTATTTGAGAGGTCCATAAATTCATTTAAAAATCTTTCACAGCATAGGGTAGACTGCTCTAACTTCGACCGAGTTCTAACTTCGACCGATTTCTTACTTTGGGCGGAAAAAAAATATATAAAAATTTGTACAAACACCATTGGCCAAAATAAATTATATATTTAGTTACACATTTGAATTGTGGGGGATTTTCCTTATTTAAGTTCATATCTATTTTTAATCGTTTTCGCGCTCTTGTACAGCAAATATTAAGTACAACTCGCCCGTGAATTTTCTCGCGTGAAAATGATGAATTCAGTTTTTGCTGTCTTAGGGGTGTCGTGCTTCACAATGCTCAAAACTCAATTAATTTTTAAAATAAAATTTTTAAAATTATATTAATGCTTATAAAATAGGTTGTAGTATATGTGTGTGTTTTTATTTTTTTTAATTTAATAAAAATGTAAAAGCAAATATTGAAAAACAAATCGGTCGAAGTTAAAACTACTTAAAATTGGCATAGTCCTAACTTCGACCAACTGAAAAACTTGCCCCTAAAAACATAATTTTGCATGAATTATCTTAGTTTAATTATAGTTTTATTGAATAGTTTAATCAGCAGAGCATTCCTTTTTCATAAGACCTAAATGTAACTGAAAATAATAGTGCCATATGTAAAAGACCTAACGATTAATGCTCCCACCCCACCCTAGTCAACCCTGCGCCATCTATTCATTATTTAGTATAGGCCTAGCTATTTTATAATTTCTAGCATTTCTACCCCAATATAGCCCTACACATTTATTCTATTTTAATTCCCTGATCTTTCGACAAAGTTAAACCATTGATTTATTGAAAAAAAAACAATTTATATATAGGCTTATAGCGGTCGAAGTTAGAGCAAGGCCCTGGTCGAAGTTAGAGCAACCCGGTCGAAGTTAAAACCAAACATAACGAAGTGAGGTCTATGTCTAGACTTGCATATAAGAATTATTATCTTAATGATGATTGGTTAACTATTTATACCAAACCAATCGGCAGAGGATAACGTTTTTAATGGTGTAAAAATGAAACCTCTATGTTGATTAGTTTACGGAATATACCGAAGAGAAGCGAATTTACGGCTCGGGCGAAAACGAATCGGTCGAAGTTAGAGCAGTCTACCCTAGTTACAATTAATATGGTTTTAAATTCCTGTCTGTCTGGTTTTTTTCGGACTTTACTAAAGATTGGATGTATTTGATGTTTTTAATATTTTCGGTAGATTTAACTAAATAAAAATTAAAAAAAAAGCAAAAACAATTTGGTTTTCACGTGTAATGGCGACATAAACAATGGCCGCCATAAATTTTATTGTACACATTGTAAGCTAAAAATAGAAAAAATAGGTCATGGTGTTGAAATTTGCATAGTTATTTAAAAACTTGATCTGCAAAGTTTTGTAAACAAAATAACTATAAAGTGGGGCTGTCAGAAATCGATCACGAAGTTCCTTTACAGCCAATCAGTGTTTGTCTTATGAAAGTGAAACATCGGGTTATAACTTAGGCTTGATGAAAATAAATAGAAATGTAGCCTTAAACATTAAACTCAACACATTATTTTCAAGTTCTCTGGATCTGCAACTTGTATAGCATTGATTCTAAAAATATTACATTTCTGAATTAATTTTAGGCTTAAGTTTTTAATAAAATTTTATCTTTTCTTAGTTTTATGGTCCTAAATCTAAAAAAGCACATTTTTATTCCATGTCAACAACATTACGGAAGGAATCTCGTCAACTCGCTGGTGTCCATTAGTAGTTAGTAGGATGCATCTATTTGGACCCGGGTCCCAATAGCCTCGGCCGCTATTGGGACCAGCGAATAAAATTGTTAGGATTTAGTAATCTATATATATAATTCTCTTCTGGGAGCCATTTGAAAACAAGCTGCAAGCGCGCCTTACAGTCCCCTCTCTTCCTCTCTATCGCTACCACCCCCACCCCCTCACATGGACTGGTGAGCTGTGGTTCACGCTGTTTACATTTTACAATCATAGAGACGGGTTTGGTGACGGCCAATAAAGGGCAGATAATTTAGTTTGAAAAGATTTTAAACATAGAGGAGGTAACTAAGAGGAGGCTGCTTTCACGGGGGGGGGGGGGGGGGGTTTAGTGTTTTTAGGCAAATATTTTTAGTGGAAGCATTGGTACTGTCGAATTCACAAATTATGAATTACTGAAAGGTAGAAAAAACAACTAAATAGCGGCGTATGATACGCAGCGGGTCGGCTCGTTAGTAATAATAATTCTTTTTTAAGCAGAATATATCTTTTCTGTTGTAGTGATTTTTTTCTTGTAATTCTATATGATATAGGCTATTAAGTAATTAAGATCTTGCTTTAAATCTTCTTCTTCGTTCTTAATTATTAGTGTTGAAGGGGATAGAGATTTATCTGCCAGTGGGTTTGAACTCGAGACTTTGTTCGAATTTATCAACCATGAGCTTTTTGCCGACTCGACCACGCCTCCAACACAATTAAGCGTTACGTGTCAACTGGTTATGCGTCATTGAGGCCATTGACTTCGATTTCAGCCTGCTTTTCTTTTTGGATTTGCTTCCATAGCCTTTGTCCAACTAAGAACAATCTACAAGGCAGCAGTTGTTTAATTTTGGAGTTGTCTCTCCTAGAAGAGTGGCTGTCCCCAGCTAACGAGCCTCATCTGCCCGAGGGTTCGAACTCGAGACTTTTCGGTTTAGCAACCATGAGCTTTACCGACTCGACCACGCCGACCCTGCTTTAAATATCCGATATCATTCCTGTCAAATGTTATGGCGAGCGGGAGTCGTTAGGTCTATGAACTTCTCTGGCAGAGCGAATGTTGAGCGCGCATGTAAAATGTGTTCTATTTTTCTTTCTTCTGTTAAACGTAATTTGATTTCATAGGCCTATCAGTCCAAATACAAAAAACAAAACAAAAATAACTCTAAAATAGCTCATTATAGGCTGTATTCTTCAGCTCCCTAGCCCGTTTTCTTGAACACTATCTCACATGCATTGTAGTAGGCTTTAATAGAAGCAATATATAACACTTGAACTCACAATTGCCCCAAATCCGTTTTTCCTCTTGTTGGGGTGGGGGGTGGGGCAAATAAGACGACGACAAATCTCAACCAGTTCAAAGTAATGGTCTTGCTATGACGTATGCATACACTATTCGCATCTAAACCAATCTGACCTCACAGTGACCCTAGCTAGACCGTTTAGGTATTTTTCTCGCGCTGACGAGAAAACATGAGCGGGCGATCAATGGAGCAACGGTGTTTATAATTGGCGTGTTTAAAAACCTAAATCTAGAAAAAATATATAAACTATTTTAAATAAAAATTTTTAAAAATGTCACCTATGCAGACAACTCAGCTATCGAGATTGAACATTAAACTTAGTTAAATACACATTACTTCTTGCAAAAACGAGAGCTTAGATCGGTTCCGATCCCGTAACTGGTCGAGATGCTGGAGGCACTGCGTTCTCCACTCGGCCACGACATTTTACAAAAATTTATAGATGTGTAATGATTTTGTATATACAGCTAAATCTATAGTATTTAGAAATAGCAACACAAGAACTAATGATAGCAAATCCGTATAACTGATTACATTAAAACACAAGAAAATACTAGAAAAATCAAATAAACATAAATCTTTAAAGGTATCATTTTATTACAGGTTGTACGAGTGTGTAACGAACAATGCCGGGTCCGTATAGTGGCAATGGCTATAGGGACCCGGGTCCTAATAGCTGCAGAGGCGTCCGTATAGCCACTTCCTAAGTAGTAGGCCTAATAAAAATAATGCTAATAATTACATTTTGATAGATTACACTGTAAAACCTTAGTTTAGCATAGTAAATTCCAGCGAAGCTAGTAATGTGCGGTGGATGTAACTAGTTAATATTTCTTTCATTTGGCCATATTTATGACATATTTTACATAATATAACAGATAATAGAGTAACAAATCACAATTCATGACCAAACCAGTCAAAAATATCCTGGAATAAACTTTAAACTACCCTGTTCGAGACAACAATGAGTAAATCTAGATTTTCTTACTAAATCTAAAATTTACCCAATTTTCAATTTAAACATGACCACTGAATGATAGACATCCATATTTAATCCATTAGGCACTTATTTTGAAGTTTTTAGTTGGTTTTAAACAAAATAACTTAATCTAATATTTATTGTCACTCACTGCCATGCATCACACACCTCTCCATGACAACACTTCTTATGTTTGAAGCTAAAGAAAACCACAAATCTGGTTAGACTTTTTAAGTGGCCATGCACCCAGAATTCCTCACTAGTGATAACCAAATAGTGGTCTCATGGTTTAAAAAAATAAATAAATTTGGTTGTCATTCAAAAACCATCTTTTATAAAAAAAAAAGTGGTTAGCAATATTTAATTTCTTTTTACATAGACTGATAAACCTAATAGTTCTACAGACTTCAATTCATTTTTGTACTCCTCATGTTGATATTTAAAATGTTCTAGTATTTTTAATGAAACCAACTTTTAAATTTAGCCTTTATTTTCCAACGGAAATTTTGAAATGCTTTCCTGACATATAGGCCTATAGCCCTGCCACCTATAATTTGTTGTTATAATGTGAAAACCTCACCATTTTGCTTGTGGTTAACATTTTTAATAGTAATTTGTAGAAGGTCACTGAAATTTACCTAAAAATGGTCGGAAGTCATGCTTCCGGTCGGGACGCCATATTGTTGTTAGCACCCGACCACGCCTCCAAGTTAGCAAGTAGTAATACTAGTAAATACAAGCAGCGGCCATGTTTTTTTTTTACAATTTATCAATTACAGCATTCATATCTCAAAGGAAAAAATGTATTTAAAACAATCAAATTATAAAAAAAATTGTTCCTTAGCTTATTTTAAAAATACATGTAAACCCAAGTAGATCCCTTTCCATCGTGATTTGCATACTTTGCGTCCTTCACCAAGGCATAAATTATCATCAAACAAGATTATTGTTCTATCTAACAACATCAACAAAATCACCCCACAATGTAACAAGATTTAGATTATCAACGGCAAAGATCGAATATGCATTTTGCTGTACAAATCTGTTTCCTGCCAGTTTTTTTCAGGCAACACTTTAATTTCTATGGTGGTGCCTTAGCAGATCACTAAAAAATTATTCATGTGACATCTCCTTAGTACTGTAGTCTCTATCTACCAATAGGTTATAGATGTCATGTTTCAAATCTCTTTAGTATTGTTGTGTACCTCCACTATTTGAGTATTGATCTTTTTCAATCCTCTTAGTACTCCAGTATATATCCACTGAAAAGTAATGTGAGATTTTTTATTTTATTTTAGTACTCCCAAGTATTTACATTTCCTGACTTGGATATACAGTTAAAGAAAGTGAGTAGTTGACATATGTCCATGTTTCTGTTTGATAATGTCTGTTGAATATGGTTAGGCTAGTTTCTGTTTGATAATGTCTGTTGAATATGGTTAGGCTAGTCGGTGTTTTATTGTGCATATTTGTTTTAATGTCTTAACAGGAATGTGTTGAAGCAATTCTAAAATGGCTGAAGAAGCCACAGATTGCTCCGAAAACATCCATCGCTTGCCTGCAAGCCTTTCGTATCATAAGTCGAGATAAGACCAACATGCAGGCACTGACTAATGAAAATGCGCTGAGCACTTTAATCATGGTTGCAGGAATCCAGCACTATGCTCAACAGGATGTAGATGATGCAGCTGTTAGCATAAGTAGCGATGATCAGTCAGGTCAGTCCACTCTTGGTGTATGTATTGATAGAATCCAGCACTATGCTCAACAGGATGTAGATGATGCAGCTGCTAGCATAAGTAGCGATGATCAGTCAGGTCAGTCCACTCTTGGTGTATGTATTGATAGAATCCAGCACTATGCTCAACAGGATGTAGATGATGCAGCTGTTAGCATAAGTAGTGATGATCAGTCAGGTCAGTCCAATCTTGGTGTATGTATTGATAGGATCACTTGAAACTAGTAGCATAGCATGTGGTAAGGTCACTTAGTGTTATGTACTGATAAGATCACTTGAAACTGGTAGCATAGCAAGTGGTAAGGTCACTTAGTGTTAGTATAAATAGTGATCATTCTTGTTTGTTCATGCATTCATTTTTTGTATCCAATCTTTTGTTCTCCAGTGATAGTTGAAGCACAGAAATGTCTTTGTAATGTCATCTTCAATAGTATTGAGGCTCAGAGATATTGCTGGTAAATAATTTCTCTACATTTGACCTGAGACGTGTTGATAGCTTTTTGGTAAATAAACTGTAGCTGGTAGTTTTCTAAACAGTAATAAAAAAGTCAGTTTGTTGTTAAACTGTTTCAGTAAATCTGGATGTGTTGATGGAGTTGTACAAAGGCTAAAGACCTATGGTGACCCAGATGTTCAGTTTGATGTTAAGGTATGAAGTCAACAGGTTATTTCAAATAGAAGACATGTTGACGGTCATTGTTTCAAGATGTTATAGGCTTTAAGAAACCTAGTTGTTGCAGGATTGAGTATTTAAAAAGTTATGCTGATGGCACTATTATATTCTTTTCAGTTTTTTGATATGAGGATTTTATTTCTACTGACTGCATTACCAGCTTGTGTGGAAACCAGGTATTATTCTAGTTTGCACACACACTCCACACACAATGACATGGACACAGGTAAATGTAGCACTCATGTTTCCTGTGTTTGATGTTTACCTCAGACCCAAAGTCCGCTATGAATTGCATGGTTTCACCTACCTGATGGAAGTTCTTGACCTAACCTTGCGTGATGCAGAAAACCAAGACAAGGGCTTGACAGACCAACAGGTGGAGCTGTGTGCAGAAATTCTCAAAATTTTATTTAATCTCACAATATCAATGGAGAAAAAATCTGTGGATGAGGTCAGTTGCTAAATTCATCTTTTGTTCCCTTTATGTTTTATTTTTTGTAGTTCTTTTTACAAGTTTTTCTAATCGTACGGTCTCAATCAACTCTTCCCAAATCTTCTGTCAAAACTAGAGGATGGGAATCTAGTTGAATCATTTCAAATTATCTACTCCTCTCACCGTCACTTTAAAGTTTTCAAACACAAACATTGTAGAAAAGAACCACCATATACATTCTATTTATTTAAGCACTGAAAGGATTTGTTGTCCACTTTTTTTACTTTCTTGTATAAAGAGAATAGAAAAAGCATGTAATCGTGTATAAAAATCACATAAAATTTTGACAGTTTTCACCGTTTTACTTCTCAGTACTTCATCATAAAGGGAGTATAGGGGACGTATTTTAATCGGGCATAAATTCTAAATCCAGATTTATCAAAACTAAGGTGTTTTACGCATAATCAAGTTGGAAAAAACTGGTCTTTGCAATTCTCTAATTGTGTATGTCTATGAACATGATAACTTGAGTACTGTTACAGCTAGAATGTTTTGGTGTTTGTTTATGATTGCATTATATTTGTGCAAATGGATGATAGCATTAACTTATCCTGTACAGGAAGAGGAAGCTCATTTTATGCGCCTTGTTAGCATACTACATGACCTTTTGATGAGCACAATCATGTCTAAAGACAAGCAAGAAGATCTACAGAGGTAAGTTGAAACATTTGCAAGATTTACACACTCACTTCCAGTTCCAGCATGACTAGAGATGCTTGGCAATGGTGGTGTGACATGGTAGATAGTTGATCTATCAAGTATTAGGTAAGTTCTCAAATGACCAGAGATGCTTGGCAATGGTGGTGTGACATGGTAGATAGTTGATCTATCAAGTATTAGGTAAGTTCTCAAATGACCAAAGGTCCCACAATGGACGTGTACCAAAAGTATGGCTAGCTAAGGGGAACTGCTTGCCAAACACGACACTGTAGCCAGAAACTGAAGCTGCTGTAGTCTCTCTTACAAGGTTCTCCTGTGATTACTAAGTGGTTGGCTCAAATTTTCTAATCTTTTACATGGAAAGCATTGTTCAAATAGACTGAATTCAAAATATTTTTGTTGGGAAACCTATGTTGGGAAAATATGAGGTCAAAGGTCATGTTAAAAAAAAAGTACACTGTTGGAAGGAGTAGGTACATTTAGATCTTAAGGTACTGTGAAGATTTATAAGTAATTTCAGATATTTTTTTTTTTAAGTATTTGTTTTTTTTTTTGGCATGAAAATAGTGTTTTTTTAAATTTTACATGTACTTATTGATGTTTTTAGTCACATTGTCAACCTCTTGATTAACATACCTGCGGACTTCTATGAAGAGCTTCTAACTCCAATGGTGGATGATGATAAAGGCATGGACAATAAAGACACAGAATATGACGGGAAAAATATGGAGGCTATACATGTCATTCTGGAATTCTTGGATCATAGATTACGCTCTGTAAGTCATATGCTATGTTATGGAAGTCTTATGTTACATTATGTAAGTCATAGATGCTGTTACGTAATTTTTAACAGCCTAAAACATGTAATATACAAGTCTGTTGAATATGTGTTTCTTGTGCTCTTATAGTAGACGATGTAATGAGCCAATTAGCCTAAGGGGTCATCCATAAATGATGTCACACTTGTATGGGGGAGGGGGTCCGTAATTTTGTGACGATGTGTGATGAGGGGGAAAAGGGGGGGGGATTCAGATGTTGCGACGTCACACTTTTGCATGATAAAAAAGCAATGTTAGAAACGAATTTTAGACGTTATTTCGCGTTTTAGATAACTTTTAATAAATTGTAATAGTTTAGACAAGATTTTAGAAAAATACCGATGTTTTAAAAAAAATTCAACTGCAATTTTTAGGGGGGTTGTAGGTTAAGGTGTGACGTCATTTTAGGGGGGGTGTCTGGCTTTTTGTGACGGTGGGGAGGGGGGAGGTAAAAATCGTCAAAAAAGCGTGACGTCATTTATGGATGACCCCAGGACAGACATAGAGAAATAAAATTAGGTGGATTACACCCATCACATACGGTGAAGCTTAAGCTAAAAAATGTTAAAGATACATTGGTTCCTATTTTACATTGCTTGTGTTGTTTCAGACAACAAAAAACGTGAAAGAAAGTTTGGCTCCTATTTTACACTGTTTGTGCGAAGCATGTCGTCACAACCGGGCAATCAGAAAGTTCTGTAGGCTGAAGGTAATTAAAGTTTCATTCTTTTAGTAGATTCACTTTCTAAATATCTGTCTGTCTGATGGTACACACCTCATGTCTGTCTGTCTGATGGTACACACCTCATGTCTGTCTGTCTGATGGTACACACCTCATGTCTGTCTGATGGTACACACCTCATGTCTGTCTGTCTGATGGTACACACCTCATGTCTGTCTGATGGTACACACCTCATGTCTGTCTGATGGTACACACCTCATGTCTGTCTGATGGTACACACCTCATGTCTGTCTGTCTGTCTGATGGTACACACCTCATGTCTGTCTGTCTGATGGTACACACCTCATGTCTGTCTGTCTGATGGTACACACCTCATGTCTGTCTGTCTGATGGTACACACCTCATGTCTGTCTGATGGTACACACCTCATGTCTGTCTGTCTGATGGTACACACCTCATGTCTGTCTGTCTGATGGTACACACCTCATGTCTGTCTGATGGTACACACCTCATGTCTGTCTGATGGTACACACCTCATCTGTCTGTCTGATGGTACACACCTCATGTCTGTCTGATGGTACACACCTCATGTCTGTCTGATGGTACACACCTCATCTGTCTGTCTGATGGTACACACCTCATGTCTGTCTGATGGTACACACCTCATGTCTGTCTGATGGTACACACCTCATCTGTCTGTCTGATGGTACACACCTCATGTCTGTCTGATGGTACACCCCTCATGTCTGTCTGATGGTACACACCTCATGTGTCTTGCAGGTACTTCCACCTTTGAGAAGTGAAGTAAAACGCTTACCTGAAGAAGGAGACTCTCTTAGAAACAAGTAGGCCAAGTTTGCATATATATATATATATATATATGAACGTCTGTGTGTGTGTATGTCCTTTATGCATTACTACATAGTTCATCTGATCTGCATAAAACTTTGGGATATTTATTATTGGGAAGGTTTCTGCTAAATAAAAAAATGTACGGGAATGATTTTCCCTATATACAGTTCATACAAATAAAAGTGGGATGAGCCATATAGCTTTGGGTAGTTGATGTGGAATACTCCTAGCCTATGGCACCTACGTTGGTATTAAAAGAAAGCTATGCACTAAGGACAGGATGGGCTACTAACCTGAATCTGGACTGTTGTCCAGTTCCCTGGAAAGGGCGATTTTGCGCTACAGGCTTTGCAGTGCGCGCTATGATGCCTACATTCAAGAAATACAGTGTCTACTTCGTTTATGAAGTCATGTTCTAAGAGTTTACAATAGGTACGCGTACAAGTACGCTAGTTTTTCATAAATAAATATATATGTATATTTACACATACATTTATATTTAAGTATATACACAGGAGTGCCGCTTTTGTAGGTTATTCTGGCAAATTCTTTATATATTCTGGAATCACGTTTATAATTCTGGATTTGCAAAGTTTGACTAAAAAGTTTTATAGAAACTGAAAATGCTGATATAGTTTAGAAAGACCTGTCTCTCCCCAATTCAGTCTTAGCTGAAACTGTAGACAGAGTCTTTTAGTCAGAAAACCAGGAGTTTCAAGTTTAATCATAAAACCACGTCCATGTCCCACTACAAGTACATTTTTGTAGACATGACCTACTACAAGTATATTGTTGTTGATATGACCTACTACAAGTATATTGTTGTTGATATGACCTACTACAAGTATATGGTTGTTGATATGACCTACTACACGTATATTGTTGTTGAAATGACCTACTACAAGTATATTGTTGTTGATATGACCTACTACAAGTATATTGTTGTTGATATGACCTACTACAAGTATATTGTTGTTGATATGACCTACTACAAGTATATTGTTGTTGATATGACCTACTACAAGTATATTGTTGTTGATATGACCTACTACAAGTATATTGTTGTTGATATGACCTACTACAAGTATATTGTTGTTGATATGACCTACTACAAGTATATTGTTGTTGATATGACTTACTACAAGTATATTGTTGTTGAAATGACCTACTACAAGTATATTGTTGTTGATATGACCTACTACAAGTATATTGTTGTTGATATGACCTACTACAAGTATATTGTTGTTGATATGACCTACTACAAGTATATTGTTGTTGATATGACCTACTACAAGTATATTGTTGTTGATATGACTTACTACAAGTATATTGTTGTTGATATGACCTACTACAAGTATATTGTTGTTGATATGACCTACTACAAGTATATTGTTGTTGATATGACCTACTACAAGTATATTGTTGTTGAAATGACCTACTACAAGTATATTGTTGTTGATATGACCTACTACAAGTATATTGTTGTTGATATGACCTACTACAAGTATATTGTTGTTGATATGACCTACTACAAGTATATTGTTGTTGATATGACCTACTACAAGTATATTGTTGATAATGATGATGTGCTACTCACAAAACGAATGGTGTGTGCTACTCACAATATTAATGATGATGTGCTACTCACAATATTAATGATGATGTGCTACTCACAAAATGAATGATCTGTGCTACTCACAAAACTAATGATGTTGTGCTACTCACAAAACTAATGATGGTGTGCTACTCACAAAACTAATGATGGTGTGCTACTCACAAAACTAATGATGGTGTGCTACTGACAAAACTAATGATGATGTGCTACTCATAAAACTAATGATGGTGTGCTACTGACAAAACTAATGATGATGTGCTACTCACAATACTAATGATGTTGTGCTACTCACAAAACTAATGATGATGTGCTACTGACAAAACTAATGATGATGTGCTACTGACAAAACTAATGATGATGTGCTACTCACAATACTAATGATGTTGTGCTACTCACAAAACTAATGATGATGTAGTCACCTGTTGAAGGTGTTTGTAATCCTGGAGGAGGGGGTTTCTACATGTCATATATAAAGGGGTTAGTCTTTTGAATAGTTGGTTTAAATAACATCCAGTAGGCTGTTGTTGTTTTTTTTAAATATCCCTCCAAATTATAGCATTTTTATTTAAACTCAGTTTGTGGGTTGATAAAATATGACCATTTATCTCAGGAAAACATCTGATAAAATATATCCAATACAACTCATAACGAACATAACATATACATTATTTCTCCCATGACAACATCAGCCTTGACACATAATGTACCAAACATAACTCTAGACAACTAGATCAAATCTCTAGACCTATGTCACTAAAATCTCTAGACAACTAGATCAAATCTCTAGACCTATGTCAAGTCCAACTACTCTTGTCATGTTTTAGGCTGTGTAAACTACTTACTTCCCCTGTAACAGAAGTCAAAGATCTTGTAGCTCATTTCCTCTTCATCTTATGTAAAGAAAATGGTAGGTGTATATATATATATATGTATGTGTGAGTGTGTGCATATATATATAACTGTGTGAGTATTTAGGTATACATTCGTATAGATGGAGATATATATATATATGTATGTATATATATATATATATATATATATATATATATATATATATATATATATATATATATATATATATATATATATATATGTGTGTGTGTGTATATATATGTGAATATATATATATATGTGTGTGTATATGTGTGTATATATGTTTGTGTATATGTGTATGTGTGTGTATGTGTGTATATATATGTGTGTATGTATATACATATATGTATGTATAAATAGATATATATAGTGTGACATATAGATAGAGATTTTGATAGATATATTTAGATTATGAGTGCCAGAAGGTCTTCTCATGGTAGAGATGTTTTGTGTTGAGCAAACTGTCTTGTACAATCTAGTGAACCGTATGGTCAAGTACACTGGCTATGGGAACTGTGCTGGACTTCTGGCTCAGTTTGGCCTGCTCAAACTTGGGGATAGTGGCCAGCGCAAGGGTGACTATTCCAGCAATTCTGAGGATTCTGAAACGGAAGAATATGCAGAATTGAAGGATGGGTAAGTCTCTTATGTGAACACATTGACCTCTTTGAGCCCACCTGCTCCTTGTTCCAAGTGAACATCGTTGACCTCTTTAAGCCCACCTGCCCCTTGTTCCAAGTGAACATCGTTGACCTCGTTAAGCCCACCTGCCCCTTGTTCCAAGTGAACATCTTTGAGCCCACCTGCTCCTTGTTCCAAGTGAACATCGTTGACCTCGTTAAGCCCACCTGCTCCTTGTTCCAAGTCAACATCTTTAAGCCCACCTGCTCCTTGTTCCAAGTGAACATCGTTGACCTCTTTAAGCCCACCTGCCCCTTGTTCCAAGTGAACATCGTTGACCTCGTTAAGCCCACCTGCCCCTTGTTCCAAGTGAACATCTTTGAGCCCACCTGCTCCTTGTTCCAAGTGAACATTGTTGACCTCTTTAAGCCCACCTGCTCCTTGTTCCAAGTGAACATCGTTGACCTCTTTAAGCCCACCTGCCCCTTGTTCCAAGTGAACATCGTTGACCTCGTTAAGCCCACCTGCTCCTTGTTCCAAGTGAACATCGTTGACCTCTTTAAGCCCACCTGCTCCTTGTTCCAAGTGAACATCGTTGACCTCTTTAAGCCCAGCTGAATATTTAGTTTAACTGACCTTTTTTTTTTAAAAAATTATTTCTTCTAGGTTAGGAGTTAAATATAAACCAAGTTGAATTAACCCCTTGCTACCTGGGCTCTACATTTACTTGCCATACTTGTTGTTTTGCTCAAATTTTAGTATATTTTTTCCTTGTAACATCTCTTCACACTTGTCCAACATGCATGACACGAATGATAAAAAAATGAACTTTTTTTTTAGCTGGTCACAACATTTGTGCCATCAGCATAGTTCATGTTTTGAAATGTGTTAAACAATTTGACCAGCATGACAAAATAAAACAAGAAAATTTGAGACTTCACAGTAGTATGATGGAAATCCCAGGGCTGGATGATGAAAGTATTATATGTCTTACTGGTCCATCTAAATCTAACTGTAATATTCCACTGATCCACTGTACAGCACCTATTGGTGGGCATGTAGAGCATTGAATGGAAGGCGTGTAGAGCATTGAATGGTGTATTGATCCTACTCAAAACACAACCAATCCATGACTGCTTGTATTGACAGAGTAAACCCTGTGACTGGTAGATGGGAAGAACACAAAGCCGACCCCATGGCTGGTATGAGTGATGAACAAAAAGAATATGAGGCCAATCAACTCATCAACACCATTGACAAACTACAAAGGTAAAACTGCATGAATCTTCACTTGTTCTATTCATGAAATGTATAAGTCTTGTCGATGTGACCACTGCAAATTGCAAATGCCAGTTGGTGAGTTAGCCACAAAGTGTGTGTAAGTAAGCCACCCTAGCAAGGTGTGTGTAAGTAAGCCACCCCAGCAAGGTGTGTGTAAGTAAGCCACCCCAAGGAAGGTAAAGTGAGCCGTGTCTTGTTGTCTTGCAGGCAGGGGGTGATTGAGCCATGTCTTGTTGTCTTGCAGGCAGGGGGTGATTGAGCCATGTCTTGTTGTCTTGCAGGCAGGGGGTGATTGAGCCATGTCTTGTTGTCTTGCAGGCAGGGGATGATTGAGCCATGTCTTGTTGTCTTGCAGGCAGGGGATGATTGAGCCATGTCTTGTTGTCTTGCAGGCAGGGGGTGATTGAGCCGTGTCTTGTTGTCTTGCAGGCAGGGGGTGATTGAGCCATGTCTTGTTGTCTTGCAGGCAGGGGATGATTGAGCCATGTCTTGTTGTCTTGCAGGCAGGGGGTGATTGAGCCATGTCTTGTTGTCTTGCAGGCAGGGGGTGATTGAGCCATGTCTTGTCTTGCAGGCAGGGGGTGATTGAGCCATGTCTTGTTGTCTTGCAGGCAGGGGATGATTGAGCCATGTCTTGTTGTCTTGCAGGCAGGGGGTGATTGAGCCATGTCTTGTTGTCTTGCAGGCAGGGGGTGATTGAGCCGTGCCGTGTTGGAGAAGACGGCAAGCCCGTGCCACTGGAACATGTGCTGGAGCTGTTGGAGGGCCAGAGTGGGGCTGAAGGGGGATCTGATGCTCCTGAGGAGGATTGAAGCCTGTATTTGCTTGACTGATAGTTGATGCTGCTTCTTTGTTAACTAACCATTTTAGCTGGATAGGTTAGGTAGCTCCCTTCATACAGCACAGGTGCAGCATGATTGTATAACTATTGTTCTGTGGATGTATCCTTGCTTGAATCTACTTGCTTTTCCTCCAGCACAGAGGACACTCCATGCCAGTCTTTGTATCCAAAGTGTTCACTTGCCACATTGGACAGTGGATTTCTTTCATTTCAACCAAGCCATCTCTAAAGTTGACTAGAATGTGCTACAAGTAACAGGCAGTCATCCCTGCCTCACTTTGATATTTTTCTGTGATCATTTTCTGCTGCACTATTTATTTGCTTCAATTATCTGACCAACTGCCCATGTAATCATGTCCAGTTGTCTGACCATTGTACAACTGCCCATGTAGTGTCATCCATTTATGATGTCTACAAAAGGATGATAGTAACACCACCTGCAGCCTGATGTTGACATCTAATTAGAATGTTTAACATTTGAAAATATTTGACAAGGAAATAGTTTTCATTCTGCAGTCCTATGCAGCTTTGTTATATCATTCATCGATGTACACAAACATCACCTTTGAAATAAGTCATTCTGGATTTTAAATACATTTCATTTTTTTATAACCATCATTCGGACATTTTGTTTGAAATAGCATTGTCCCTCCTCCTGCGTACACATCATAATTGGATGATCCTTGTCACAGTCTCTTGATAAATCTGCCCACATAAAACATTTTACCCTGTTGTTGAATCCTGTGAGTTTTAACTTTAGCTAACAAATTGTGTTTAGAAGCTAGTTTCATCTTTCTGCTAGGTTTAATGTAGACCCTTTTGGTAACAAGTTTTCCATGAACAACCAGTCATACCAGCCACACTTGGCTGTCCCATCACTTAAGACAACCAGTCATACCAACCACACCTGGCTGTCCCATCACTTAAGACAACCAGTCATACCAGCCACACCTGGCTGTCCCATCACTTAAGACAACCAGTCATACCAACCACACCTGGCTGTCCCATCACTTAAGACAACCAGTCATACCAAACTTAATGACTTTGACATGTACATCAGTTTAAAGAATGAAGCCGATGAACTGCTAGTAGTGCTAGTGTAAAGGCTAGAGGAAGCTTTCAAATCAAAAGGCTGGCCATCCCATCTCTTCTGTGTTGGCCTACATGTCTAGTCTGTTGGCCAACATTTCTAGTAAAGATATTTCAGCTTGAGTTAGCATCTCTCCTATGATCTTTTTTTAACATATACATGCATTTTTTTAATGTGTTTTTTTTTTTGTCAATGTGCAATAAATATCAATGACTAAAGACTTGAATGAGGGAACAGCTGAACTAATGCATTGACTGTCTGCAGTTAGTATCTGCAATAGAAGACTTGGAGACATGACGGACAGTGAATTAGTGCATTTATTTGTGTGCAATAGGGTTGAGCAGCTTCAGCAGAAACTGTACATAATTTTTTATAGCCATTCAATCCATATATTCAGGTGTGCAAGTCATTTTTTTGTTGTTTTATAAAAGATACAATGGACAGCCTGAGAATGAGAGAAACCTTATATTTGTCATCTTCTATTGTCAGCTTGGCTAGGAGTCTCCCAAACAGAGAGGCTCTATATGTCTCTTTAAAATGAGAGTGCCCTCCTCATTTAGAAAAAGAGTGCCTCTAGCTTTGCTAGGCAGTGACAACCCATAGGTACTGGTGTGTAATTGAACCAAATTCTCTCACCTCATCTTTTTTTTTTAAATTTTAACTTTGCATCTAATTATAGATTTCACAGATATTCTTACAAATTTTTATGTAAAAAATGTTACATTTTGACAGTAATTTTATCAAATACACAATGTTCAACAATATTTAGTAGGTACCACTTACCCCTTATAGAACATCAGCTGCGTTGTTACAATTTTCTTCATAAAGCTGTTAACACTTTACAGTCCAGGTATACACATATTCTTACTTATGTGCAGGCAGGCAAAAAGAATACTCACTTTCAATTATAACACATCAAATTTAAACAAAAAATATTTTATAATGTCCTTATACATGAAGAACTTGTAGGCTATAACAAAAAGCATTAAATGGGGAAAATGGTCTAAATTAATAATTGTAAAGTAAATCCCAGAAAAAAATAAAACTACACCTTTCACCATTATATGTGTGAAGATATAATTAAAATGAAACAAAACAAACTTCAATGTAGTCAAAGGTACTCATTTTCTTTTTCAATCTCACTACTTGTGAGTATAAGAACACAATAAATAAAAGATTATTTTATCAGCATGTTAATAAGTGTACTATAAATAGTTGTGGCTCATAGGAATGTACCTAAAAAATATCACAGGTGCATAGGACTGTAAAGGGTTAATCTGTTTCAAAATTATGATCACTTCTGTTAAGCTGATTTAAATATGTATATTTCTTTTGAATTAGATTTTTAGAATGTTGTAATTTTATTCTCTATTTGCAGTGCTTATTTTTTTCCTTATGAAAACAGGAAAAATGACAAGCTTACTATTTTCTAAAATCATAAATGTTTATGAGAATACTATACTTTTTAAGTTAAATCTTCAGCAAAATTTGATTGTTACTTTTGGTTGTTTTTTTTTTTATTTTAGTTTGATGGTATTTTTCCTAAATTTTTCTAATTTAGATTGTCAGAAAATGTGTCATTCATTAAAATTGATAAAGAAAAATAATTTTAGAGGAGTTACCTAAAGCAAAGTTTTAGAATGAAAGTTGAGTTAATCTTTGATAGAAAAAAAAAAGCACATCATTTATGAAATTTAAAGGATAAACTGGTATCTGAAGGGGTTAAAGTTTGCTTTAACAATGGTTAGAAATTTGACAGAAAAGATTAAGTTGTCAAAAGAACATTTCATACTGATTATTTGTTTCAACATTCCATGTATTACACATGAAAGAGCTTCTGAACAGTCCTTATTAGATGACAGTACTCCACACACCATTCAATGATTGTCATGTTTCAGTATTTTCTTTAATTTAGTGATTTCTACATGTATAAAAGTATAAAGCTTTGTCACATGTATTTTATGAGTAGTTTAGTTCTGACCTTTATTTCATGTTTATGTCCCATGTTTGGTTGTTGTTATTTTTTACAATTGAAGAACTGTCTTGAAAGCTCCAAAACAATTTAGTGAAATGGCATGTACATTTCTGCTACCTTTATAAGGTGTTAGTACTGTCAAAGCTGCCCCACTATATTACAAGTTCCAACCAGTTTAATGTTTGTAGACAAGATTTTTTTTCAATTAGAAAAAATATTTTTAGGAATCTCCACATTTGTTTGCTTCAGTCTGAGTTGGCTGAGTTTTGTTGTATGTAACCAATGAATCAAACTGTCAAGCTTTGTATTTGGTCCCAGCAAACAGGATGTTTCTGGTGGTGCCACACTTTGTGGTCCCAGCAAACAGGATGTTTCTGGTGGTACCACACTTTGTGGTCCCAGCAAACAGGATGTTTCTGGTGGTACCACACTTTGTGGTCCCAGCAAACAGGATGTTTCTGGTGGTACCACACTTTGTGGTCCCAGCAAACAGGATGTTTCTGGTGGTACCACACTTTGTGGTCCCAGCAAACAGGATGTTTCTGGTGGTACCACACTTTGTGGTCCCAGCAAACAGGATGTTTCTGGTGCTCACTTACTTTTGTATCGCTTTGTAGCCATATTTTTGTTTGTGTAAACGATACTGATATTGTTCACAGTAAACCAAAGAAATGAACAGCCTCTTGTTTATTGCTTACAACAGTAGGTCAGGTTGCTTGATAGCACATGGGTGAATGACGGGACTGTTCCCAAAGGACAATACTAAACTGATAAATCAATCAATCACCAGGCATCAATACAAACCTATTTATTGCAACAGTATCAATGTCAACAGTCAAGTAGAATAAAGAAGATGCCAACCTGTGGCATAAAAGATGCCTGACAAAACAAAATGGAAAAAGGTTGCGAGCTACAAAAAAAAGAATACATTACATACAAGGCAACTGGAAACAGCTTGAGAGGGCCTTGGTTTAAACCTGAGGGGAAGAAAACAAATGCACTCAAAACATCATCGGTAGGATAGGTCAGTAGATAGAACATCATCAGTAGATAGAACATCATCAGTAGGATAGGTCACATAGAACATCATCAATAGGATAGGTCAGTGGATAGAACATCATCGGTAGGATAGGTCAGTAGATAGAACATCATCAGTAGATAGAACATCATCAGTAGGATAGGTCAGTAGATAGAACATCATCAGTAGATAGAACATCATCAATAGGATAGGTCAGTGGATAAAACATCATCGGTAGGATAGGTCAGTAGATAGAACATCATCGGTAGGATAGGTCAGTGGATAAAACATCATCAGTAGGATAGGTCAGTAGATAGAACATCATCAATAGGATAGGTCAGTGGATAAAACATCATCGGTAGGATAGGTCAGTAGATAGAACATCATCGGTAGGATAGGTCAGTGGATAGAACATCATCAGTAGGATAGGCCAGTAGATAGAACATCATTGGTAGGATAGGTCAGTGGATAGAACATCATCAGTAGGATAGGTCAGTAGATAGAACATCATCAGTAGGATAGGTCAGTAGATAGAACATCATCAGTAGGATAGGTCAGTGGATAGAACATCATCAGTAGGATAGGTCAGTGGATAGAACATCATCAGTAGGATAGGTCAGTAGATAGAACATCATCAATAGGATAGGTCAGTGGATAGAACATCATCAGTAGGATAGGTCAGTAGATAGAACATCATCAGTAGGACAGGTCAGTAGATAGAACATCATCAGTAGGATAGGTCAGTGGATAGAACATCATCAGTAGGATAGGTCAGTAGATAGAACATCATCAGTAGGATAGGTCAGTAGATAGAACATCATCAATAGGATAGGTCAGTGGATAAAACATCATCGGTAGGATAGGTCAGTAGATAGAACATCATCGGTAGGATAGGTCAGTGGATAAAACATCATCAGTAGGATAGGTCAGTAGATAGAACATCATCGGTAGGATAGGTCAGTGGATAGAACATCATCAGTAGGATAGGTCAGTAGATAGAACATCATCAGTAGGATAGGTCAGTAGATAGAACATCATCAGTAGGATAGGTCAGTGGATAGAACATCATCAGTAGGATAGGTCAGTAGATAGAACATCATCAATAGGATAGGTCAGTGGATAGAACATCATCAGTAGGATAGGTCAGTAGATAGAACATCATCAGTAGGACAGGTCAGTAGATAGAACATCATCAGTAGGATAGGTCAGTGGATAGAACATCATCAGTAGGATAGGTCAGTAGATAGAACATCATCAGTAGGATAGGTCAGTAGATAGAACATCATCAGTAGGATAGGCCAGTAGATAGAACATCATCAGTAGGATAGGCCAGTAGATAGAACATCATCAATAGGACAGGTCAGTAGATAGAACATCATCAGTAGATAGAACATCATCTGTAGGATAGGTCAGTAGATAGAACATCATCAGTAGGATAGGTCAGTAGATAGAACATCATCAGTAGATAGGTCATCATCAATAGGATAGGTCAGTAGATAGAACATCATCAATAGGATAGGTCAGTGGATAGAACATCATCAGTAGATAGAACATCGTCAATAGGATAGGATAGGTCAGTGGATAGAACATCATCAGTAGGATAGGTCAGTGGATAGAACATCATCAGTAGGATAGGTCAGTGGATAGAACATCATCAGTAGGATAGGTCAGTAGATAGAACATCATCAGTAAGATAGGTCAGTGGATAGAACATCATCAGTAGGATAGGTCAGTAGATAGAACATCATCAATAGGATAGGTCAGTAGATAGAACATCATCAATAGGACAGGTCAGTAGATAGAACATCATCAGTAGATAGAACATCGTCAATAGGATAGGATAGGTCAGTGGATAGAACATCATCAGTAGGATAGGTCAGTGGATAGAACATCATCAGTAGGATAGGTCAGTGGATAGAACATCATCAGTAGGATAGGTCAGTGGATAGAACATCATCAGTAGGATAGGTCAGTAGATAGAACATCATCAATAGGATAGGTCAGTAGATAGAACATGATCAGTAGGATAGGTCAGTAGATAGAACATCATCAGTAGATAGGTCATCATCAATAGGATAGGTCAGTAGATAGAACATCATCAATAGGATAGGTCAGTGGATAGAACATCATCAGTAGATAGAACATCGTCAATAGGATAGAATAGGTCAGTGGATAGAACATCATCAGTAGGATAGGTCAGTGGATAGAACATCATCAGTAGGATAGGTCAGTGGATAGAACATCATCAGTAGATAGAACATCATCAGTAGGATAGGTCAGTAGATAGAACATCATCAGTAGGATAGGTCAGTAGATAGAACATCATCAGTAGATAGGTCATCATCAATAGGATAGGTCAGTAGATAGAACATGATCAGTAGGATAGGTCAGTAGATAGAACATCATCAGTAGATAGGTCATCATCAATAGGATAGGTCAGTAGATAGAACATCATCAATAGGATAGGTCAGTGGATAGAACATCATCAATAGATAGAACATCATCAATAGGATAGGTCAGTAGATAGAACATCATCAATAGGATAGGTCAGTAGATAGAACATCATCAATAGGATAGGTCAGTGGATAGAACATCATCAGTAGGATAGGTCAGTGGATAGAACATCATCAGTAGGATAGGTCAGTGGATAGAACATCATCAGTAGGATAGGTCAGTAGATAGAACATCATCAGTAGGATAGGTCAGTAGATAGAACATCATCAGTAGGATAGGTCAGTGGATAGAACATCATCAGTAGGATAGGTCAGTAGATAGAACATCATCAATAGGATAGGTCAGTGGATAGAACATCATCAGTAGGATAGGTCAGTAGATAGAACATCATCAGTAGGACAGGTCAGTAGATAGAACATCATCAGTAGGACAGGTCAGTAGATAGAACATCATCAGTAGATAGAACATCATCAGTAGGATAGGTCAGTGGATAGAACATCATCAGTAGGATAGTTCAGTAGATAGAACATCATCAGTAGGATAGGCCAGTAGATAGAACATCATCAGTAGATAGAACATCATCAGTAGGATAGGTCAGTAGATAGAACATCATCAGTAGATAGAACATCATCAATAGAATAGGTCAGTAGATAGAACATCATCAGTAGGATAGGTCAGTGGATAGAACATCATAAGTAGGATAGGTCAGTAGATAGAACATCATCAATAGAATAGGTCAGTAGATAGAACATCATCAGTAGGATAGGTCAGTGGATAGAACATCATAAGTAGGATAGGTCAGTAGATAGAACATCATCAGTAGGATAGGTCAGTAGATAGAACATATTCAGTAGGATAGGCCAGTAGATAGAACATCATCAATAGGACAGGTCAGTAGATAGAACATCATCAGTAGATAGAACATCATCAGTAGGATAGGTCAGTAGATAGAACATCATCAGTAGGATAGGTCAGTAGATAGAACATCATCAGTAGATAGGTCATCATCAATAGGATAGGTCAGTAGATAGAACATGATCAGTAGGATAGGTCAGTAGATAGAACATCATCAGTAGATAGGTCATCATCAATAGGATAGGTCAGTAGATAGAACATCATCAATAGGATAGGTCAGTGGATAGAACATCATCAGTAGATAGAACATCGTCAATAGGATAGGATAGGTCAGTGGATAGAACATCATCAGTAGGATAGGTCAGTGGATAGAACATCATCAGTAGGATAGGTCAGTGGATAGAACATCATCAGTAGGTTAGGTCAGTAGATAGAACATCATCAGTAAGATTGGTCAGTGGATAGAACATCATCAGTAGGATAGGTCAGTAGATAGAACATCATCAGTAGGATAGGTCAGTAGATAGAACATCATCAGTAGGATAGGTCAGTAGATAGAACATCATCAGTAGATAGGTCATCATCAATAGGATAGGTCAGTAGATAGAACATGATCAGTAGGATAGGTCAGTAGATAGAACATCATCAGTAGATAGGTCATCATCAATAGGATAGGTCAGTAGATAGAACATCATCAATAGGATAGGTCAGTGGATAGAACATCATCAGTAGATAGAACATCATCAATAGGATAGGTCAGTAGATAGAACATCATCAATAGGATAGGTCAATGGATAGAACATCATCAGTAGGATAGGTCAGTGGATAGAACATCATCAGTAGGATAGGTCAGTGGATAGAACATCATCAGTAGGATAGGTCAGTAGATAGAACATCATCAGTAGGATAGGTCAGTGGATAGAACATCATCAGTAGGATAGGTCAGTAGATAGAACATCATCGGTAGGATAGGTCAGTGGATAGAACATCATCAGTAGGATAGGCCAGTAGATAGAACATCATTGGTAGGATAGGCTAGTGAATAGAACATCATCAGTAGGACAGGTCAGTAGATAGAACATCATCATTAGATAGAACATCATCGGTAGGATAGGTCAGTGGATAGAACATCATCAGTAGGATAGGTCAGTAGATAGAACATCATCAGTAGATAGAACATCATCAGTAGGATAGGTCAGTGGATAAAACATCATCATTAGGATAGGTCAGTGGATAGAACATCATCAGTAGGATAGGTCAGTAGATAGAACATCATCAGTAGATAGGTCATCATCAGTAGGATAGGTCAGTAGATAGAACATCATCAGTAGGATAGGTCAGTGGATAGAACATCGATAGGATAGGTCAGTGGATAGAACATCGATAGGATAGGTCAGTAGATAGAACATCATCAGTAGGATAGGTCAGTAGATAGAACATCATCAGTAGGATAGGTCAGTGGATAGAACATCATCAGTAGGATAGGTCAGTAGATAGAACATCATCAATAGGATAGGTCAGTGGATAGAACATCATCAGTAGGATAGGTCAGTAGATAGAACATCATCAGTAGGACAGGTCAGTAGATAGAACATCATCAGTAGGACAGGTCAGTAGATAGAACATCATCAGTAGATAGAACATCATCAG